AAGCTACCATCTTACTAAGACTAAACACTTAGATTTTTCAAGCTTGACTTTTTACAATTTGAATTTTACACCCAAAAATATATTTTAGGGTAGAAGGTTAGATCTAACCTGTTTTCTAACCTCTTTTCTACCCTCTTGAATTTTACACCCAAAAATATATTTTAGGGTAGAAGGTTAGATCTAACCTGTTTTCTAACCTCTTTTCTACCCTCTTGAATTTGTCATGAGTTTTCCCGAAATAAAAAATAAAGTTGGTTTTTTTAAAAAAATATTTTTTTATTTTTATTGTAAGAACATGTTAGCAACAACAGCACCAAACTCGTTAGTCATGAACCCAACTTCAATGTTAGTAGAGATGAAAAGCTTCATTCCTTCTTCATATACTTTCGAAAAAGAAATCCAGAAGATAAAGCAGGAACTTCTCCAAGGAGATCTAAACTGTAGTGCAAAAGATGAAACAGATGAAGAATATCTTTATGAAATGCAGGATATTATTGACCATCTACCTAAACTTCCTGAAATACAACAACAAAAGCTTACTATTCCAGAATTCGATGAAATAGAAGTCAAAGCAACTGACTCAGTAGAAATAAAGAAGTTCATACGTAAGGTTAACTATGAGTTTCTTGGATTTCATTGCAACCACAAAGTCATGGACAAAGATTGCGACATGGTATATAAGAACATCTCTGACATATATAAATCTGAAGAGTTTAAGACCTACGACAACTTTGTTTCGTTAGTTGCTGAATGTGTATGGCAGATAAGAGATAAAGATAGAAGAGGTAAGATATGGAATGAACAGATAAAACCCGCAACTTTTGAGTTAAAGAGAGCAATTGACGCCTTAGTCATACTAGCAGGTAAGATTTCAATGTACAATGCTAAAATGAACCCACAATGTTCAAAATGTAAAGCAGCAATGAGGAAATATAACTACTCCGTCAAAGAGATAGAACGTATGCGAAACGACTATGCTGACTTAAAGAAAGAAGTAGAGAAACCAGCAGAAGATAAAATGGACATGCTGACATTTCTGAACAAAAACTATCCAACAGCTGACGATTTCCTTCTATCTGATGTCAAGAAGAAATATAAAGAAACATTCGGCATAGTTAAAACATTCGATGTACTGACAGAAGAAATAGAAGCTACGAAATTGTTTAGAATTTCACGAATTCACAATGTTTACCATGTAAAACGCTTATAAAATAACTGGGGTAGAAAAGAGGTTAGAAAACAGGTTAGATATACCCTTCTACCCTAAAATATATTTTTATTGAATTCTGAGTAAAATTCTGAGTAAAATGACATATGGGGTAGAAAAGAGGTTAGAAAACAGGTTAGATCTAACCTTCTACCCTAAAATATATTTTTGCTGAAAAAAATGACCAAATTTCATGAAATTTCTCTAGACCGACTTTTACAGGGGTAGCCAAAACTCATGAAAATCGTAAAAAATAAGAGAGTATTTTGACAACTTCAAACAAGTAGGGTAGATGCACTCTTTATTTTTCAAGCTTGACTTTTTACAATTTGAACTTTGTTCGCGTAGATGTGAATTCTGAAAGAAGTATGAGGGTCTTGTATGACTTTGTACTTCTCCCATAGTTCATGTCTGTCAAACTTACCTGCCATGGACTCTTTCATAAGTTCCATGAAATCGTCTTCGGACAATCCAGGGAAAAGTATGATATCAGTAAGTATTCTTTTAACATCCTTACTTAAACTCTTTGCTGTCTGTACACAAATGAAACTGAGATGTTAAAGTGTCTGAGCTTCTTAAGAATTCGACACATATCTTGTCTCTCTGTTCTTTAACAAAGGATGAGAAGCAAAGTCATCTAAGATAAGAAGACATCTATGAGGGTAAGTCTTCCAATCGTAGATTGCAATTTCTTCGAAATGTATTCTATCTTTCTGTTTGTTTCTGAAGTGTTTCTTCTCTAATATTCTCTGCATTTCCTCATTTGTCTTTAAACTTCGAATTGACATACTCATTTATAGCATTGTACTTCAAAACTCTTCTTTGGTACTTCTTTATCCAATCTAACAACTCAGTATCCTTTATACATACTAACTTAGACTTTTTTATAATATCTTTGAACGAATTTACGGTTTGGTCAAATTGACCAGAAGTACTACAAATGACTACTAACTCATAGAATGGGTTTCTTCTCATCTAGTTCTTGTTGTTGTGCACCATTTTAAGATAAGTGAAAGTCTTACCCGACCCAGGTGGTGCGATTAGACCGTGTTATACCATTCTGAGCAAATAGGAACTTGTCATGTATGGGTTTTATCTGAGCATTTCTAATTCCTCTTGTCTTGTTTAAAACATTCTCAAATTTCTTGTCAATGTCAGCAAACTTTTTTTCTAAACATATTTTTAGAAAATTAAAAAATTTTATCTTTTAGAAAATGTCTAGCGATTTCGCTATCTATATTCGAGACAAACTTTTTGACAGCAAAACATCTGTCGACCATAAATCTTACATAGTGTAAACAAGAAAGGTGAATTTGTTCTAAAGTTCTGTTTCTGGGAATATGACAAGAACCTAAAACATTAGGCAGAGAGTCTTTAAGTTTGTCAATGACAGACTTGTTGACAGAGATGACGCCTCTTGGAAAGATGAAGTCCAACAAAAGTTCTTAGAATGCAAAGAAGACACATGCGCTGTTCTTGAAGATGAAATAGGAAACAGAATAGATGAGCTATTAAAGGACAAAGAACTTTTACAGAAATATGGTTCGGAGAAATTTGACATAACTCCACCAGAGAAGAAGAAGAGAGAAAAGAAAGAAAAGAAAGTAGAAGAAGAGAAGAAAGAACCTGAACCAGTTCCAGAGAAAAAGAAATTTGACATGTAAAAATAAAATTTTATTTTAGAACATTTCTGGTCAATGTCAATGTTCTCTTCCTCTTTAGGAGCAAACACTGGCTTAGACTCTAAAATCTTTTTACCCAATTTACCTTGAACTTCAACTATCTTAGACTCATAATATTCATAGTCGTCTGCTTTCTTTGGTTCATAAGGTATAACAAGTTTGTATGCTTTGCCTTCTTTAAGGTTTGAAACCTTCTGTCAAAATTTTCTTTGACTGCTAACAAACCTTCTATGTCTAAGTCTTCAATTTCGCACCATTTTTAGTCACAATAGCAAACTTAACTGGTTCGATGTTCCAAACTTTGCTGAATGTAGACTTTTCAAAATTGTAGAAGTAAACATTCAAATAAGCGAATGGGTCTAGTTCTTCTTTGACTTCTGTCATGTACTTATTTACTGAAATATATTTCGTCATCTTTTCTATCGGATAAAAAAATATTTTTTTAAAATTTACTCATAAAAATTATTTCTTTCTATATTTGCCATTCCGAACTTCGAAAAGATGTTTTATACCAGCATAGAATTTTTCTCTAGAGCTTGGTCTTTTATCGTTTTCATGACAATATTTTCTATATTCTTCATATAAAGCCTTTTTTTCATACATTTCATAAGGACAATCTAACCAGAATAGCGCATATCCATTTTCGTTATCTAGGTCTCTATATGTTTGTGGAATTTCGCTTTCTTCTGTTTGTAGAATTTCGCTTTCTCTATTTAGTTCTATGTCTATATATTGTGGCTTAAAAAGATGTGGGCAAGAAGGGTCTGGCGCTATGTAAAAAGTTAATTTTTCTGTCATCTTTTCTATCGGATAAAAAAATATTTTTTTTAAAATTTACTCATAAAAATTTTTCTTTGTATATACGCCGTTCTGAACATCTAAAAGATTTTTGACATTTGCCAAGAATGTTCGTTTAGACGCTGTCATATAACCATACTCTTGACAATACTGTTTATATTCATCGTACAATGACCTTTCATCTAAACACTCAAAGTTAGTCTCATCTATAAACAGTTCATATACACTCTTGTTTGCTTCTAACAATGTTTGTCTTTCTTCGGTATGTGGAATTTGTCTTGGATTGAACTTAGAAATATCTAATGTCATGAAATATGAGAACAAGTGGTTGTAAAAGTCAGATGTCAAAGTTTCTGCTAAGTCGTCAAAATATTCTGTATCTTGCATATGAGAATCTGACGTTCTGACAACTACATATCTTCTGTCAGAACTTTCTAACTTCATCGGAACGGCGTTGTTTGAAACCATGATGAAATTTGCAACATTTTCACAAACTCTTTGGTCTTTATATTTCTTTCAACAACTCCAACTTTGTCTGTTATAAGACTCTTCAAAGCATCTGAGTTCAAAACTTTTGTTGTATCTATATTTGAAGTTCGTTACATACTATAAGTTTCATATTCTCTATTGAAGAGTTAAATTTACCGCAGATGTTTTCTAAGTTTGTCATATTCGGATTCGAATAGCCCTCTAACAGTTTGCACAAAATATCTGTAAAGAAAGTATTCTTACCAGTTCCTTGTTTTCCAATTATAATGAGAGCAGTTTCATTTTTAGCACTTGGATGTTGTAAGATGTTTGCAAACCAACATAAGATATACTCATAGACTCTTTCGTTTCCATTGCATATAATTTCTTTGACATGGTCTAACCAAGCTTCTATAATATTTTCTTTCCATTCTACTTGTTCATATTTATATCCAGTGAAGATAGAATAGAAGTTTGGAGAAGGTGTATAGAACTTTATACCACGAACTGAAAAATCTTCTAACTTTGACAATAAGATATCCCAAGCATCTAACATCTTCATGCCAACTTGTACGACTTTTATTTTCTTAAGTTTCTGTCTACATTCTTGTTCTGAAACTATTGTCGCTCTTGGTTTGTTAAAGACAACATCCCATTCTTTCATGACATAACATTCTGGGGCAGAGTCGACATAAATGACTAAACGTTTCAAATTCTCGACTGCTTTGTTATAGTCTCGAAATGGACACATATTTCTGAACGCTTGGAAGTCATAAAAATCTGAAACATCTATTCTGTACATTTTTATAAAAATAAAAAAAATATTTTTTTTATTCTTGACTTTGTTGTTCTTGAGCTATTTGTTGCATTTGTTGTTCTTGAGCTATTTGTTGTTGAAGTTGTTCTTGTAATACAATACTTTCACCAGTTGCATCTTCCAATTCGAAACTTTCTGCCGTCATTGACAAATACATAGGACATAAAAGTTTTACAGGAACAAAGTTTGCGTCAACTAAGGTTAAGTTTATGTTTGCTAAAGTGTTTGAGTTTACTAAAGCTGAAAACTCTGCATTCGAATGAACAATAGGCAAACCAGCAGAGAAAGTGTTGTTTATACGCATGAGTATCTTTTGGTCATAGTAGTTTCTGTCGACATTCGAATAGCACTTTGAACCTAAGTTTGAAACAATATATAAAATAGGTGTACTTAAAGTCAATGGAACAGACAAACCTTGTATGACACCTTTTCCTGTTATAGGAAACTGTTGGTAGTAAAAACCAGATATAAGTTTTGTATTATAGCTCATATCGTTTATACTAAACTCGGTCGGACATCCAAACATAATGAAACCTGCTCTAGTTGCAGCACATGTTACATCCGTCCTTAAAGTATTAAATAAGTCAACAAAACCTGTTGGTGGTATATCTGAGTAAGTATCTTCAAAGAAGTATTTTTACCATTCACAACAACAAAGTCTTCTGGTGTCAAAAGAGCAAAACAGGCTTTAGTCGTCATCGTGTTTAAGGTCAGTTTACAATATCGTCCTTGAGGAACTTTGTAAGTTTGTTGTTATAGAATTATATGACTCAGGGTTTTTAGTCGTAATAGTATAAACCACTATGTCTTCTGCCATTTACTTAGCAACTAAATTTTAATGAAATGTTGTGGTCGTCAAATATTTTTATGACGTCTGGGAAACTATATTTTAAGTTCAACGTTTCACCTCCTTTCATAACGTATATCTTGTCAATGACATTATATGAAACACACAGCAAGCAATGTCGGGTTCTATTTCTTTGATGTTTATATCGTCTGCCTCTGTCAAAAGTTTCAATAGTTCTTTCAAAACTTCACGAGGTGCGATGACATATGAGTTCACTTTTACAGGGTTGTGTTCGACCAAGTTTAACATTATACCCAAAGCTAGATAAATGTTTTAGAACGTCAGGTGTTATATTTCCATCAGCCATGTTCATTTCATACTGGTCCAAAATATCTGCATGTTTCATATCTTTCAATGGCATTAAAGCCGCGCTTAAAATACCAGCTATATCTGGTTCACCATTGACTTCCATTGCGTCTACAACTTCTTGGAATTGAGGTTGTAAGTTTATGAACCACCTATCCGGGTTAGCTTTATGACCCCATCTCATTGTAGTTCCATCGTCTGCAGAAACAAAAGTAGGTTTGTTTCCATCTTGGTTAGGTTCTGAATGAACTTTAAACAATGTTTCATTTCTATATGTTTTCTTGAAATTTAACCTTTTATTTTCACCGAGTTCATCCGAAGATTGAACGTTAAATGCTCGTAAGTAAAAAGGGTTGTTGTATTTGTGTACATTTTTTTTCAGTTCTTCCATTCTATGCTGAATATTTTCATCTGGTGTTGGAGTCTTTTGTATGTCGGCAAACATTTTTCGATATTCTTCTACTATGTCAGCCGAATCTTTCTTAGACTCTTGGAAAGATTCCATATTCACCTCATGCTCTTGTTGAGGGTCAAGATTTTTCGGCTGTTCCAAATCTTCATCTAGTTCTGTGAAGTTAGTTTCCAAAGGAGTGACTTGTTCGTTTCCTTCAGGCTCTTCTAGCTGTTGTTGCTGAACTATTTCTTCCATGTCTGGTTGTATCTGAACTTCTTCCTGTGGAGTTTCTTGTACCTCATCTGCTGGCATTTCATATATTCCGAGACCGTTTTCAACAATTTCCCTATCTACGTCATCCGCATTCATAAGCTTTTGTTCTTTCGTTCCGTCCTCTATTTTTTACGCGTTTCATGACGAAAGTTGAATTGTCATTTAGCTCTGACATCAAATATCTCGGAGTAAATTCATCCATGTCATTTGGATGATATGCTATTAAATCATATCCCTTAGCGAGCTTGTATTTTCCAGGTTTGAGATTATATCCGTTTTGGTGCTGAGCCATAAAGCTAAATAGGTTCGGGTCAGTATTTCCATCCTTGAACTTTCCAATAGCTTCTTTATATCTGTCACTAAAGTCAATACTATCTGGGAAACCACACTCTTCTTTAAGCATTTTTAAGAATTCTTGGTTTCCTTGTTCTCTACTTCTTTTATGTCCTTGCTCTGTTTGTGGTTGTTGTTGTGCAGGGTTTTGAACTGTTGGTTGTGGAGGTGGTTGTTGTGCAGGGTTTTGAACTGTTGGTTGTTGTGTTGGTTGTTGTTGTTGTTGTTGTTGTGCAGGGTTTTGAACTGTTGGTTGTTGTGTTGGTTTTGGTGCATGCCTGTGTCTATGTCCATGTGACGATGTAAATGTTTTAGGTAGTCCTGGTGCAGGTGCTTCTCTTGGAGGGTTTGGTGGTATATAAGTTCCACCAGCTGGCACATATGTTCCATCTGCAGCGTAATGTCCTACCTGACTTTTCGTTTTTAAGAAAGCATTTACTAGGTCTGTTTTGGTCTGTTGTAACTCTTTTTCTTGACTTTTCACAACAGTTGCTCTAACGGCGTCATAGGCACTTTGAACTGCCTGTCTCGTTGCTGCATCTGTTATTTTCGTCATATTTTGTGTGCTACTTCTTTTAACTCTTTGTCGAAACCTTCAGACTTCAGTTTCTTTCCAGATGAGAAGTCGTTCACTTGTTTCACCTTACTATGAAGAGCTTCGAAAGCGTTCTTAAAGTCAGCATTTGTTAAAGCTTCATTTGAACTATCTTCATCCGCTTGTATTTTTGTCCTTATTGACCCTATGAGTTGGGCTGCTTTAGCGTTGGCTTGGGCATCTAACCAGTCATTGTTAGCTTTTATATATTCTGCGCTTTTCATTGCAACTGTTGTTGTGGTGTCAGTTTTACTATTGGATGTTTCAATGCTCCCTTCCTCTTACGTATATTCTTACGTAGCTTACGTGGCATTTTAAGTGAAGTTAAAAAGCGGTTTTTGACAGATGTTTATATGACACTTTTTGTTCAGCACAAAAAACTACTCGGTCAAAGTGTTGTCAGTTTTGTAAAATAACCGTCCTATCTCCGTGCCTATGACGAAGAAGTCTTGAAAATTCAAGAGGGTAGAAAAGAGGTTAGAAAAGAGGTTATATCTAACCTTCTACCCTAAACATTATTTTTGTCTGATTTTACGAAGAAGTCTTGACAAAACATTTACGAAGAAGTCTTGACAAAACATTTACGAAGAAGTCTTGACAAAACATTTACGAAGAAGTCTTGACAAAACATTTACGAAGAAGTCTTGACAAAACATTTACGAAGAAGTCTTGACAAAAAAGTCAACGGCTGGTCGGCTGGGGTTCGGTCCTCCTCTTGGGTCTTGGGAAAAACATCTTCGGGGGCTAGAAGGCACGAAGTGCCTGGAAGCCATCCCCCAAGAAAAAAAAACTTCATTATACTCATTCATCCTCAGGGCTAGAAGGCACGAAGTGCCTGGAAGCCCCACTACCTTTTTTTTTTTTTTTTTTTTTTTTTGTTGTTGCGTGTTGGATGCGGAATCCTGTTATTTCCGAAATCGACAAAAAATTTGGAAATTTAATTTCCGAAATCGAAATTATATTAATATTTTTAATATTCTTATATCAAAAGGATTAAAGTTCATTAAGAGAAAAACAATTCTTCTTCTTCAATCTATTGGCGCATTTATTTCTACACGCCAATAAGGAAGGGAAAATTATAAGACACCATGGTGTCTTCAAAACGCTAATTTTTGATATTTTTAACAACCCTATATCAGTCTTATTCTCACTAAAACTGTAATTCATATTGTCACTCAAACCGTCAGTCATATTGTCATTAAAACAGTCAGTCATACACTCACTCAAATCAACAGTCATATTGTCAGTCAAACTATCAGTCTTATCCTAACTAAAAAGCTAATTCATAGTGTGTGTCAAACCGTCAGTCATATTGTCAGTCAAACTATCAGTCTTATTCTCACTAAAACCATCAGTCATACACTCTCTTAAACTATGAGTCATATTGTCACCCAAACTCTCAATCATACACTCACTCAAATCAACAGTCATATTGTCAGTCAAACCGTCAGTTATATTGTCACTCAAACTGTCAGTCTTATTCTAACTAAAACCGTAAGTCATCGTGTGTGTCAAACTGTCAGTCATATTCTCAGTCATACTGTAGTTCATACTATCACCCAAACTGTTGTTCATACTGTCACTCAAACTCTAAGTCATATTGTCAGTCAAACTGTGAGTCATATTCTCTCTCAAACCTTGAGTTATACTGACAACCAAACCCTCATTCAAAATGTCACTCAAACTGTCAGTTATATTCCTAGACACATTCAAACTTTCAGGCATATTGTCAGCCAGATACTCAGTTATAGAGTCACTTTTTTGTCATTAATGAATTCAGTTATAGATTCAAACATACATTCGGTCCAATATTGGATCATGCAGTTAATTCTACATTTTTTTAACTTGTAAGTCATTATTTATGAAAATATTTAAAATAGTGTAATGGCACAATGATGTGCAGTATTATCTTTAATATTAATATTGTAATATGATATTAGATTTTATCATATGAGATATTAATATTGATTTATGGATCACTGCACAATGATGTGCAGTATTATCTTTAATATTAATATTGTAATATGCAATGTTATATTCTAATTTGAATGTTCCTTTTTAACCTCATGATTTCTCTCACTGATCTGCCTTTTTATGCAGCATTTTGTATTTAATCTCTCTTATCCTTTAGATTCTCTATGCTTTCCATCTTTCTAAACCAGATTCCATTGTTAATTCTTAAATTAACACAAATCTTAAATTTCATATTAGTCATTGATCTGAAGTTATTGAAACATCTGACGTCTTTAGATTATCTTATCTAATATTAAAATGATTGATCTATTTACATTTTTAAAATAGTCCTAAAAAGTCTCAATATTTATAAAAGCATAATAAAATTAAATTTTTTAATATCATTTTGTAAATTATTAGTTTACTTTATGGCATAGTCTTGAAAAAGTATCAAAAAACATTATCTTAATGGTCTCTAAAGAGGTTAAGTAGCATACACACAGATATGCTAATGTGGTAAAAAGAGATTTATTGCAAAAAGTCCAAAATAGTATATTTATTATCAAGATTCGCGTGGAAACGTACGAGTTTGGGACGAATAACTAACATTCTTAAACATTTAGTAATACTCTGATAAGTACAAGTCCTTAGATGCGACATATGGCTTCTTTTGTTCTAACTTACCAAATTCAAGAACTCAAGTTGGCAGTAACTCTGTACTAAACATACTCTAAGAGCTTGTCATTATTCCGTGTATGACAAATCATACTTTAATGTTTTACTCGTTGAATAAAGAATGCTTGATTTTGAAATCGAATGTTTTTGCTTAAATAGTTCCAGATTCTTGAACTAGGGACGGAATTAGAGGACACGTCTTTGCTGGTTAGTCGCGTGCTTGATGACAATATGCTACAATTATAATAAACGTACAAAAGGGACGAAAATTGAGAGGAGAGAGGGTCAAAGTTGCTATTTGTCACTTTTCCACAAGAATATAATGGGGAAAAAGTTATCATATAGTTGATCTAATTCATTGAGGTGAGAGATGCATGTAGTGTAATGGGATAAACAGTGGGATTGCTGCTCTAAGTCCTAGGTTCGAGACACATTGGCTTCATTTTTCTCTTTTTTATTGACGTAAACTATTCAATTTTTGTGTTCTCCATTCAAATTTCAGAATTTTTTTTGCAGATTTCACACTACATTCGAAGTTACCTTTTGTAACAACCACCACTGCCTACGAAAGACGAAAGTGTGTCACGATTTCACCCGGAAATCCGACGGTTGTTTAAGAGTATGCACTTTTGTCACCTACTCAAATTGAGAGCTTGTAACTTTCAACCGCAATTTTATTACGCGCTCCATTGATAAATGTAAAACGCTTTGCGAACCTACCATAAAATAAAACAAATCGTGTTTACACAATGAGGTTAAGGGTATAGTCCACTAAAAATTTTTAAGTTTTGACAATGAAAATAAGCTCTGTGACCATGTAAATATATATCTATGCAAAACGAGAGGTTATGCCATAATTTTTTTAGTTATCAAATTTTCCTTTTTTTGAGAGAAGTCTCTCAATAATTTGAGAAGAATCTTTGATATAAAGAGATACACATTTGTAGAACGAAGTAAGTGTTTTCCAAACATTTTATATGTTCATCCTGTATAACAATATAAAGCTGCATAGTGCCATCTTGTGCGTTTGCTATTTTATGTACTTTTCATTGAGATAATCCCTCTTCTCGGGTGATTTTAACAGTCAACTCAATTTTAAAATAAAGATTTCATCAAAATGATTTCGAAATTCGGATATTGATTATATAAATAGCACTGTTAACATATTTTGGATGAGTAAAAAATACCTTGTTTTGTATGCATTTAGTACACCTTTATTTTTGATTAAAACTATAAAATTTTTATTCCTTATATATAAATAGTATATGTTACATAAACATGAAATTCAATAGCATTCAATTTTGGATTTTTTAGATTTGGTAAATTTTAGAAGAAATAAAATCAGCAATCAAAATAAAGAAACTTTTTTTGTATCTTCTATGATTACCTTTTGGTACTAAATTTTGCATTAATAAGTAAATTATCTGTATTATTCTGTGAGCACAAGCCCTCAGTTATGCTGGTAGTGAATGATGAATCGTCATTTTGCGAAGAGAACGCGATTATTAAGGTAATTTTGAGAATTGTCTTGAATTATTTAAAATTAAAGTTAATTGAATAGGTAGGATAACTAGCCTTTGCTAAATTTGTATAATTTGACCTTATTCTAGTTGGATCTGAGAATATTTTGCTGAAATAATAAATTATATCGCCGATTTATGAAAATTTCTCTGATGGGACCGACTCGCTGAAACGTATTAGTGTTAATGGTAACTTGTCTGAATTTTCAAATTTTTTTCGAAATCCAAAAAATCACAAACAAAAAGCATCAAAATTAGATTTGCATTTAAGGTTTTCATTTTTTTTGGAAAATAAAAATATTTTTTCCCCAATAAAGTTTATTTTTACTTTTGAGAGGAATAGAAACGTTATTTTGGGATTTTGAAAAGACAGAAATGTTCCATTTTTAATATAGATTCTAAAATGGGGTCAAATTTTTGATTGAACCGTTATCCATTGAAAAACCTCGATTTTAAAATGTTATTCCAAAATATTCATCTAATGATATAGTATTATATAAATTATTAATTATTACTTTTCGCGGGATTTCATTTTTTTGTTGTTGTATGGGCCATATTGTTCACCCAAAACGGAAAACAAAGGCAATGCATAACATTTTACTCCACGAACGTCGTCGACTCTCAGCGCGACAGATGCTTGGTGCTTGCATAATGACCGGAATGCCATATACAAAAGGTGCTCGCTTTCTTTCTCTTTGTGGAACTAAGCCCCTGTGAAGAGTGGTGTCATGAGACAACAGAGATTTTGTGACGATAAGATTAGAAGACTTAAAAGTATTTCCCTAATGCTGTCGAGAAAGTCCTTCAGTGGTTACTTATCCATTGATGCAAGATGGACGCACAGGCGAAACTCGCCAAGTTGTACAGTAACTGCGCTCGATGCTGTCACAAAAAGAGTTCTTGCATGCGTGAACATCAAACCATATTGGGTGGAAACAGACAGCATGCTCAGTATTCCGGAGCTTCCAACAATATGGAAAGTGCTGGAACTCGAATCATCTTGAAGCAATTAAAGAAATACAATATCTTGAAAGATGTTAAAGAGATTATTAAAGACGAGATAACAAAAGTGTCTCTGTCTTTCAAGAATTTGGCGTCTCTCATCTTGAAAGATTCGATCCAGGTCATGTATCAAAAATATCTCAAAAGATTTTACAAAGTTCTCAGCTTCTCATAAGACAGTTGAAGTTTTCAACGACAAACTCAGAAGATTGAAAAAATAGAGAGACCTTTCTGGGGTCTGAATGCAAGCCTAAGTATGTGGCTTTGGTCATGTTTTGCCGAAGAAAATATTGACAAACGTACGAAAATGTGGGAGAATTGTGTCTACCATTACGTAGGCAATCATAGTTAGTATACATATCATGTGTACGGAGGCACTGCGTTCCACCGTACCCATTATATGTGAATTTGACACTTTACAAACCGGTTAACGTATATTTACAACACAAACGACAACACTAACTTAACCTTAAATATTTACAAAGCCGCCAACCACTTCACTTCACTAATGTAAAAAATAAACGTTCTCACTTACAAAAGTATTGCAACTCTTCCCATTGCTGTGCTTCACACAATAGTTCATATTCTTCAGTATCGCTGCTGTCGCTCCAATCGTCAGAGTCAAAGTCACTGTCAAAATAAATGTTAGTAAGTTTTGACAAAGCTAATGAAACACGTTTACCGTTTGTATCGTATGCTTGTATAAACTTTCCATTCTTCATTCCTTCATAAACGCTCAAACTAACTTTACCCTTTCTCCCTCGTATCTGATAGAATGTATTTTCACGAGGAACGAAGAACAAATTCTTGAACTCATGACCGTTGTAGTTTGTTATCTCAATAGTTTTCGTCATTTATATAAAAATAAAATAAAAATAAAATATAAAAATAAACTTAAAAATTAATGATATCACCACCCTCACACGTATGAAAACATAGCACAAAAATAAATTTAGGTGAAGCGGTGAGATCTCACCTCTTTTTTCACCTCTTTTTTCACCCTGTTGAATTCATTGCTTTATAACTCTCTTCCTTGGTTTCTTTTTAGTTGCTTTCTTTACGTCCGTCTCCAACTTGACTGTCTTTCTTCTTCGGCCGTAATGATACCAGTTACTTCCACCAGTCAATGGGTCAAATGGTCTTTCGTAAGGGTTTCCATACATTCCATAGGGACCATACGGAAGAACTACTGGTGGAGAAGAAACATTTTCTTTAGTTCCATCGACTCTATTTAAATGCATTGTTTCACCTTTCATCTGGTCATTAAAGTCTTTTGCGTGTTTTGCAAACTCATCGTCCTTTCCTAAAGCATTTTCTGACTCAGTCGCAACCAAATTGGATGCTTTATTTATGAGCCCTATTTTATTTAATCTTAACTTCTTTGCAACCCAGCCTCCAATCTTCCCTTTATTTGCATCTAATGTCTTCGAAAACCTTCCTCCACTCATTTTATTTACTGCGTCATAAGCTCCAAGTGCTTTTGCTCCAAATGCTAATGCTTTTGTTCCCATTGCGCCTAAAGCTGCCCAAGCTACCATTTACACCATATTAAAATCATCTCTCTTCAATATTATCTCATAAAAGTTCTCGTTACTGGAGAAAGTCAATGAAACATAAGCGTTCTCACAGGCTTCGCCCTCACCGCTTTGCGGTCTATCTAACTTATTTCTTATCTCATCTATACGCTTCAAAATGTCTGAACAATTGCTAACATCTTCTACAACAGTTATTTCATGAATGACCTTCAAGAACAAGCTCATTTAATATGCAATTAAAATCATCTCAATAATGAGTCCATCCTTTCCATCTTTAGGTAGCACAACATCTTTCATTGAAGAAGGTTCGACAAGTCTTATGTTAAACTTACTGACAAAGTTTGTTATACTATAATGCTTCGGCGGCGAATACATGTAGTTTGAAAGACATAATAAAGATTCTTCAGCAAATTCACTTATACTGGATTTTATAACAATGTTCTCACGAGACCAAACGCCACCAATTGACAATCTTGTAAGCAATCCTGCTGAACCTTCAACTGTAAACGTCGATGGTAAGATTCCACGAAGGTCATCTATTGACATCTTTGAGTCACTGAATTTAAATATTTTCTTAAAGCAATCGTCATTATCTAACCATGCAATAGCTTTGAAGTTTTCATTCGAATATACATCTGCTTCATTAAATGTAAATCCTGACTTCTTTGCAGAGATGACTTTAAAATCTATTGAGTTTGTTTCAAAATTATATGCTATGGTAACTTCTGAAGGTAATGGATGCCCTTCCGCAGTCAGTTGTTCTCTCACTACCGTTTGAAGCTTTGTATTAAAAACTTTCATGTCATCTCCTGTATCTAAGTTCACATACACAGCAACAGGAAAACTATCTTGCTTCTTTGTTTCATCATTATATCTCAAAACATTAAAGTTCTTCAATAATATTGTCCTTCCTGCTGGAATACTTCGAACCTGTCTGATTTCAATAGCTTTCTCACCTCCTACATACTCTACCCAGTGCCTTGGATATTCATAAGTATACTGACTTTCTTGAATTTTGGTTGGTTTCATCATAACATGTTCATAGTATATCTTTATACTCTTGTCAGTTAGACTCGGTGCTATGTTCTGAATATTTCTGACTTGCATTTTTAATGGAGATAAAATGAAGCATTTAATACATGACGTAGATGAAGACATGAATGAAACTACAGACAAACTTAACTCTTCTCTTATTCTTCCTTTCAGCAAAGATTATGAATTCTGTTCAAATGGTGTGTATTTCTATTGTGGAAAGATGGGTTCAGGTAAGACATTTAATTTAATTCGTCATATACTCATAACAGAGCGTTTAGGAAACGACTCTTACTATGACCAAATCATTATATCAGCAACTTCAGACTCTATGGATTCAACAGCGAAAACATTCATGTAAAGTTCAAGCTCTGTCGTTAAAGTTCCAGACAGTGAACTCATTGAATTTCTTCAACGTTACATTCGACGTAAGAGAAATATTATGCCATCGTTGAATTTATACAGTCAGGAATGCAAAAGACTTCTGAGGAGATGGAAAGAATTATTGACAAACACCACTTACGTCAGTACTCAGGAGTTTACGATATGAAACGACTGACAAACTACATTCTATCAAAACTTTCAAAATACCCTTCAAAAAGTATCCTTCAAACACTCTGCTCGTTTGTGACGACTTCGCCGGAAAAGGTTTAGTGTCAAAGCCTGACTCACCATTAGCTAACATCATTACTAAAGTCAGACATTACCATTTAACTGTAGCAATACTTATGCAAACATGGAGTTTTGCTTTAAACATAAAACGTCTCATAACTGACTTCGTTATCTTTCAAGGTTTCTCACGTTATGATATTGAACTCATTTGGAAACAGTCAGGTATAACATTACCTTTTGAAGAAATTTGGGAAGCATATAAGTCTCTCATCTCTCCTCGTTCATACCTTGAGATTCATATCATGACTAATACCATTAAAGTCAAAAATATTCCATGGGAACGACCAACATTGTTTTAAAGTTTAACCTTCAATGACTGATGGTAAACAAATTCCATGCATCTCTGTCGCCATTTCTGTTAATATTTTTGCTGTCATTCATATCATCCACTTCTCCATCCGTTAGCTTTTGAGGATATGTGTTAGAATAGCTGTTCTTAAATGAAGGCTTTCTCCCTTGAGAGCATAAACTCTATAACTTTCTGCATACTTTATGTTTGAACCTCCTGAGCCATCATTGACATAAATTTTTATAGGCTTCCACCCTTTGTTCATGTTCCTGCTTCTTCCCTTAGCTCTTTTGTTCAGTAGTTCTACATCTTTATACACAGCTCCTGTCTCAGTGAATTCAACAATATTTTCATTCGTTAGCTTTACATTCAAACCCTTGTCGAGTATATTGTTCATTTCATACATATAAAAGGTTTTTATTCTATATGAAATGAGAAGCAAATCCATCTTAGCTGGTGCCGTTAATGTTCCAATTGAACCAACATCAAATGTTGACTCACGAACGACAAACAATATTGTCATAAAGAACTATAGTTCAGAGTGTTTGAAAGAACCAGAACCAGAGCTGAAATCCGTGAATTTAAACTCAGCTTCAAACGCTAACGCTACATCAGATGTTAAGTTAGAGTATCCACCACTGGACCAAATTCTTTCAAGAGAAGCCAACGACAATCCTTACACAAATGTTCAAACAAATCCTTCAGATAACGTAGACCATTACCTTCTTCAGTTATACCAAACAATTTTACTCAAAGACGATAAGAAGCTTTTGACAAATCTTATAAGCAAGAACCAAATAATTCTAACAAAGGAGGACCTTGAAAATGTTATCTCACGAATAACAGGAAACAATGTGTCATTGACTATCTCGACCCTGAAATCGAATGCTGTGGTCAAACGCCACCATTCATGAAAATAGGTAACATCCGCATCATTGAAACACCAGGAACTACAGGAGTTGAGTTTAAGTATAAATATTCGAAACGAGTATACAAAACTTTCAACAGAATATAAACTTTGCTTGAAATATGTTTTAGTAAATTAAAGCAATTTGTAATATCTGTCCAAAACTTCTTCAACAGTATCGAACTCATCTTCATAATGCAAACCTAATCTTATTGACTTGGTGCAGTTTTCACTAACACAATATAGCGCTTTGCGCTCGGCGCCTTTGACGCCTTTTTCTGTTCTCTTGACTGACATAACTAACTCATTTGTTTCATCAAACAGCAACAACCAAAGTTCATGACCTAATACATAACATTCATACTTTATATTTTTAGCTCTGAGTTCTCTTGTAAGCTGTTGCATTTAATATTTTCTAAAAAGTCAACTTCAACAGTCATTCGCACTGGTGCCTTCAGTTCTACAGGCTCGCCTTGAAAGTCAACAGTCTGAATTGCATGTCTTTCAAATTATGAGGACTAATGCGAACCCATTTACCTAAATGAGTTGCTATGACAGGAACGTTTGGAATGAACATTGAATTGACTGCATAACAGAAGGATTTATATTCTACTGAACCTTTACTATTAACTCCTGAAATGCCTGTGACATTAGCTATTTTAGACTCAATGTACAAACAATTACCATAACATACGTATGGAACAGATTTCATCTCAATCGTTTTGTCAACACTTTTCAAAGGAAATGTCATATGGTATGCTCCTAAAAGAAGTTGAACTCTATGACTCATTCGTGTTATCTTGAACTCTTTCTTGCTACTGAACTTCAATGTTCCCTCAGAAGAGAGTTCGACATCTATGTTGTCAATAGTTTCTTCATTTATGAGAGTACCTATGACTCCAGCAATTTTATCTATTCTATACTCTGCTCTGTTAGGAAATGTTATAAAACTTCTTTTGTCATCTATTTCAAACTCTATGAAATCTGTTTCATCTGTTATGACAAAAGTTGCGATAGTATTGAAGTCAACAACTCTGAAAGCAAGCGCTTCATTCTGAAGACCTAAGTTTGTTTGTAGCTTTACTGTCCCGTATTCGTTTGGGTCTGTACTTTGCAAATAGAACAACATTTTATTCTCATTAAAATATGACTATTGCTGCATATGCGTATGAAACAAATGAAGCAAGAAGAGCACATGAACTAGTAAACGAAAACTCAACTTTAACCATTGAAGGCAATGATTTAGTCATTGACGATGGAAAAACTAAAAAAGTCATTGATTTCGATACTTTTAACACTTATGACCCATTCATTACAACAAGCAAGGTTCCCATCATAAATGATGGAACGGTGCAATATATAAATTCTACAGTAGATGCCTCATTAGTGAAAGTATTAAATGTTCTCATTGAATTGTTAAAGAGCTTTCGATTTGACGACAACATTAAATGCCTAAAGAATTTAGTCATGAATGAGAAACAAATTCTTGGCGTTGCTGGTAGCAGTAATGATGTACACCTTATGACATTAGAATATTATAACGAACATAAAGATGAACTGAAAGGAGAGAAGGGTGACACCGGACCTCAAGGACCACAAGGAATACAAGGAATTCAAGGAATTCAAGGAATTCAAGGACCTCAAGGCGAAAACGGTTTGGATGGAAAGGATGGAAAGGATGGAAAAACTGCTAAATCATGGATATGGGACCTTATAAATACTGGTTTAACAGCTGCTTCATATGGAGTTCTTCAATACCAAATCGGAAAGATATGGGCGTACTTGGTGAACAAGTTTTAGATGACGTTAAAAATGCTTTGAACTTCATTTCAAATGGTTCGGATACTATTAAAACTTTATCTGGTTGGATGCAAGAAACAAGGAGTCAAATAGATACTGTAAGACGTATAGCAAACAATGCACGTACGGGATTGGATACTTTACGACAAGCACAAAATACACTAAAGGAAGCAAATGATATTCTTGGCTCAGTATCAGACATGCATGAAGATTGGCTTAAAGGTATTGACAAATCTTTAAAAAATCACAGTCAGTCTATTGCTGACTACAAGAAAAGTATAGATTTTTTACATAGTGCTATGGACGTACATAATGGAAGCATAAGGAACTTACTTAATGCTAAATAACTTACCAGGAACTATTAAAGCATTTATAAAAGTCCTTTGTAAAACCTGGTGCTCTAACATTTAGGTCTTTGAGAGCAAGAGCATTGAAGTCAAGAGATGCAGAAACTCCAACAGAACCTACAGAAGGAACTGAAACAACAGAAACTCCAGAAGAACCACCAAAACCAACAGCTAATGAAATATTGTTCGAATATTTTCCAAGGTACTCTGTTCTCATTGCATACATTCAAGAAAACTTAAGAAAGCAGACTTGACTTTAGGAGATGATGAAAGTTCTGTATATCTTTCGTTCCAGTTTCAAATAGCAAACTTTTGAGACAGATATGCTTAATGTATGACAACATCTCTGATTTCACAAGATATGATGACGACCATGACCCGAACACGGTGAAGAAGAAGTTTTACAAACATCCATTAAGACAGGAAAGGTTTTAACACAAAGTCTCATTATTGACACCAAAGATGGCGAAGTGGACGTTCTTCAAGAGCTGAAGAAAAATACTTCTTCGGGAGGTGGTGGTAGGCATGAACTTGAAATAAATGAGATAGAAGAGAAATTAGCCGAAAAGCAGATAAAGAACATAAACACAACATCTCCGATATAAATGAACTTCAAGCTACATTAAATAGTAAAGCGGACAAGAACTATGTTCATTATATAACTTCAGATGAACAGATTATAACGGACTACCATGGATATTTAACACGAAGTGATGAAGCGAAGACAAAAAATGTTAATGAAAGAAGATATAAATACATTCGTGCTAAAGGTTATGACATAAGCTGTACTGTACAGTATGATGTAGCTAAAGCACCAGAAGCATTTGGTTATACCGGTGAAATTTATGCCTCTACTTTCAATGTTAACGGTGTACTAGTTGAACCAAGATTTACTTTGAGAGTTAAGGCAAAAATAACGTTTGAAGATGCTATTAAAAGTAAAGCTGACAAAGTTGAACTTGACGCAACGAACAAAGTTTTGAAATCTCATAAACACAACATCTCCGATATAAATGAACTTCAAGCTACATTAGACAGTAAAGCTGACAAGAACCATACACATAAATCCTTCACTACTGTTAGAGCAGACGACATAATATTGAACTTTGACCTTGGTTCAAGTGCACCATTAGAAAATCCAAGTACAAGCGTAAAAGATACTCTTAACAATTTAGATAAGAGTTGCAGGAACATTGAAAGTCATGCCAGAAACTTTGAAGCACATGAACTACCAACAATGTTAGATAAGAAAGCTGACAAAACAGAGCTTCAAACATTAAAGACAGAAATACTTCAAACATTATATCCTACAGGCTCTATTTATACGTCAATGAATTCAACAAATCCAGCAACAGTTCTGGGTTTTGGTACGTGGGAGCATATTGTAGACAAATTCTTATACTGTGCTAACTCTTCAAAGCAAACAGGTGGTTCGAAGAAAATTAAAGAAGCAAACCTTCCACCGCACACTCATACAGGAACTACAAACTTTTCTGGCGACCATAGCCACTCATTAAGAGACCATCCATTATACAACTCAGAATATAAAGCTGGCAATGACGTTTTATCTCCATCTTATAACAATTCAGCAAAAAAGACTTTTCGACCAACTGAACCAGGAGGAAATCATGTCCATACTTTCACAACAAATCCAACAGGTTCGGGTGCAGATTACATGCCACCATTTATGACTGTATTTGCATGGTATAGAGTTCAATGAACGCGCTTGAGCCTAGAATAAAATCTTTAATTTTACATAAATGAGCTTGAAAGAAGTATTCGAACAACATCCATGGAGGTCATTTAAGAAGTTCAATGAAGCTGCAAAGAGTTGGGGATTTACTAACAGAGCTGAAGTGAAAAGGTTCTTTGACAAAAATGTTGTACATCAAACAAAAATAAACCCTTACGACTACTTTTTACCAATTTACTCCAACACTCCTGACGCATACCAATTTGACACTCTCATTCAAAGCAGAAAAGGAGGACATAAACCATTCCTCATCTTCATAAATGTTAACACTCGTAAAGCATATGCATATCCAATGAAAAATAAAGGAACTCGTGAAGTGTTAAGAGTTTTACAAAAGTTTGTAGCAGAACATAACCCAAGTACTTTAACATCAGACCAAGACAGTGCATACCTCAGCAATGAAATCACAGATTTCTCATTAAGCATAACATAACTCACTACACTACTGAAGACCATAACCATAACATACTCGGCATCATAAACCGCTTCATAAGGACTCTCAGAGATTTAAACCAAGAGCGAGACTTTACCGAAGAAACAATGAAACATTTTCTCGAAGTATATAATTCCTCAACACATTCTACAACAGGACATACACCAAATTCAATGACACAACAACAAGAAGAAAAGTATATACAAAAGAAACGAAGCCAAACACAAAATATCAGAAATTCAACACAATTTACCCTCATTCCTGGTACAAAAGTTCGTGTAGTTCTTGACGACAAACCGTTGACAAAGAAACGTTTAAGGTTAAGTCGAAATTATTATATCGTAGACTCTACGCAAGGTAATGGATATCTTATAAAAGCTGCCGACGACTCTATTGCGTTTTATCCTCGTCATAAATTAGTTGAAAGTAGTAATGGCAAACTTGCTGAAACCATTGACGAAGCAAAGCGAGGAGTGGTTATTGAAATACTTGGCTACAACATAAACGATGACACTTATAAAGTAAGATATGAAGGAGGTGTTGAAGATGTTATACCATCTAAGAACTTGAGAGAGTCGAAGCCAACACATCTGGGACCATTAGAGCGGGAGTACTGGAAAGACAAAAATATGCCAGAAAGAATAAGAAAATTCTTCTAAACTTTTTCATTAGATGTAAATCAGACAAAAATAATGTTTAGGTGAAGAGGTGAGATCTCACCTGTTTTTTCACCTCTTTTTTCACCTCTTGAATTTTCATGAATTTTCCCGAAATAAAAAATAAAGTTAGTTTTATTTTTTTTATTTTTTTATTTTGTATAAAAGATATGATTTCAACAATCGGCACAACAACAATTCAAGCCGCGAACGGCGGGACTCTGTCCACAACAACAGCACCAAACTCGTTAGTCATGAATCCTACGTCAATGTTAGTAGAGATGAAAAACTTCATTCCTTCTTCATATACTTTCGAAACAAAAATCCAGAAGATAAAGCAAGAACTTTTAACAAGTAATTTAGACTGTAGTGCGAAAGATGAAGAAAATGAAGAATATCTTTATGAAATGCAGGACATTATTGACCATTTACCCAAATTGCCTGAAATCCAACAACAAAAACTCACTATTCCTGAATTCGACGAAATTGAAGTGAAACCAACTGACTCAGTAGAAATAAAGAAGTTCATACGTAAAGTAAATTATGAATTCCTTGGTTTTCATTGCAACCATAAGGTTATGGACAAAGATTGCGACATGGTATATAAAAACATTTCTGACATATATAAATCTGAGGAGTTTAAGACTTACGATAACTTTGTTTCATTAGTTGCAAAATGTGTTTGGGAAATAAGAGATAAAGATAGAAGAGGCAAAGTATGGAACGAACAAATAAGACCCGCTATGTTTGAGATGAAGAAAACCATTGACGCCTTAGTTGTTTTAGCTGGTTTTATTTCAATGTATAACGCAAAAATGAACCCGCAATGTTCAAAATGTAAGGCAGCAATTAGGAAATATAACTACTCAGTCAAAGAGATAGAAAGAATGAGAAACGACTATGCAGACTTAAAGAAAGAAGCAGAAAAGCCAGCAGAAGATAAAATGAACATGTTAGAATTTCTGAACAAAAACTATCCAACAGCAGAAGATTTCCTTCTATCTGACGTCAAGAAGAAGTATAAAGAAACCTTCGGTATTGTTAAAACTTTTGACATACTGACAGAAGAAATAGAAGCTACGAAATTGTTTAGGATTTCAAATATACATCGTACAATTCATGTAAAACGCTTGTGAAAAAACTGGGGTGAAAAAAGAGGTGAAAAAACAGGTGAGATCTCACCTCTTCACCTAAATTATATTTTTGTTCAAAGCTTCCACGAGAGAAAAGATTCCTCATTCGCTAAGGATTCCAAAAATGAAAAAATCATTGATTTCGGCTGAGAAAAAACAGCAAAACCCTTCTTCCACGGGAACAAAGAAATAAAGAAGAAATAAAGTAAATTTTTTATTTATTCCCGTGGAAGATAGAGCACTTTTATGACACTTTTTATTCACGACAAACAAGACAAACAAAGAAAATAAGAAAATACGGCGCTGTCGCGGTTCGAACCACAGACTCTGACCCCTCCATAACACCACCTTAGACCACTGTGCTACGTAGCCTGTCGACATAAGATTTTATAAATTGCATATTTGACGTAAATTTATTTCCATCTAGCTTCCCACCGCATAAGATATTCATACGTGTTTGTAAGACATTCATTAAAATTCTTTTCTATTGCATCTAATCTTGCGTTATTTTTTTCAATAGCTTGTCTGTATTCTTCATCATCTCCAGCAGTGTTTGGGTCTTCACGTTTAAAATATTCATTGTTAACCAATTTTTTATCTACAAATTTTATTAGTGTTTGATTCACTTCGTTATGATAACGGTCATATTCTTTCAATACGTAAGTGAAGACAAAATGCGTCGTACCTTCAATCTTAAAGCTTAAAGAACTTTCAACACAGTTTTGAGGGTCTGTCAGTGCGTCAATGAGATAGTATTCGAAGTCAGTCAATAATCTTTTTAAAGTCATTTCATACAGGATAAAATTTAATGTTGTGAAGAAATAGTGTTTATCTCAGAAAAAATAACGCTAATTTTATTTTTATTTATTTTTTTATTTTGTATGTAAAGACAGTAATGACAACATCAGAGAACACAACAACAGTTATAGTCCATGAAGCAATAAATGAAGAATACGAGTACATACAATATAACAAACAGTTACGTCTCATTCGTTCAGTCAAAGATGACATGTACCAAATGCAAAGTATTTTGACAGCATGTTATGCTCCAGATACTAAACTTCCTAAAGACTGGTTTAGGAACCAAAGCACTATTGAACTATTAAATGAAGCACAGCGAGACATACTTTTTTCTGAAAACAGTGAAGAACAGCGAGTAGGTAAAAAAACCCAGTCGCCAAAACTCTATGAAAATCGTGAAAAATTGCCAAACGGTTTGAGAGGATATTATGTTCATAGACTTCTCGTAAATGTTGTAGCAATGTGGGCTTCACCTCGTTATGCTTGGTATGTTTGTAAACTTCTTGACGAAATTCACAGACAAGAACGCGAACAGATGGAAAAGAAACTTCAAGCAAAAGATGAAGTCATTGAATCCAAAGACAAAAGCATACAGAAAAGAATACCGCGTTCAGTACCAAAAGGAAAGGAAAAGAACTATAAGTATATGATTTATACTGAAGAGATGGAAAATGAAGAAGACAGAGATATGGTTATGTTGCATTTAGTCAGAAGAAACAACAAAAGCTTTTATGACCTTGCTAAGATTTACAAATCTGACAGAAACTGGTTCTATCGTGAAAACTTACCGATTTCAATGACACCGAATGAGCAAATAAAGGAAATTGTCAAAAATACTCTTCCTCAAACACACTATAACATCAAAGGTTGCACAATACTTACATTCAAAGAAGACTTACCATTGTTAAAGGAAAAAATAACAGAGTATTTCGATAACTTCAAAGAGGAAGAATGAAAATCTAAGCTAATTTTATTTTTTTTTATAAAATTTTATCTCATATGAAAGAACATGAATTTAGAATATTCGGAACTCATGACAGAAGAGGAGAACGAACAGCATGTAAAAGATTATGCAAAATTTATGAAGACATACAAAGCATTTAAACAATATCTAAATGCTTCTAAAGATTATGCAAAATTTCTGAAGGTATATAAAGCTTATGAAAAAGCGTATGAAAAGTTTATACATTGGGGAATTGTTGTAAAATATCCATATGAAGACTAACCAAAAATATATTTTTGCTTAAATAACTTCAGGGTCAATTTCTTCAACCATTTCACTTCCTTCGTCAATGTCAATAGAAGCTTCTTCAACCTTTGGTAAGAATTTCTGTATAACATCTTTGTTCGTTATTGTCTTCAGAGATGAAGGATAATATTTCACATTTGTTTCACCCTTCTTATATTCTTTCTGTTCGGAAAGATTCATAGCAATACTGAAGAAGTCAATGTTAGAGTTCTTTATGACAGTATAATGAGTATCTTTGACATTCACGAAGAAACTCTTTTGTTTCAAAACTACTGCTAACTCTTGTGAAGTATAACGTTTGCGGTCAATGACAATAGCTAATGGTCTGACATACTGACCAAACTTAGATTCTTTCACAAACTTCTTGTTAAAGATAACATTAACATTTGAAGCATTATTGAACTCATTCTTGATGGCATTAGCGAGAGCATTGTATGAAAAGAACTTGCAATCTTGCATGTGTTTCATTAAAATAAAAATATTAAATTATTTTGAAAAATAACTTAAAAAAAATCTAATCTAATTTTTTCAAAAATATATTTTTTATTTCCTACTAAAGATGTATCGGAAGTTGTCTAAGTTAGAACACTCGGAAATAAAACAACTTCTTACAGAAGCTAACATAGATGTTGCAAAGCATTACGCAACAAACAAAAAAGCACTCGCTGACTTCATTAAAGACTATAATGGTGCAATAAGTTATGATAGAATTCATGATTACATTAATAACAAAACATTTCCTTTAAATGACGTTGCTATTGACTTATATCATAGACGTTCAATACCTCATGAAGTAAGAAGAGAAATGTTTGACATAACAAATGCAAACGTTGGTCATACTCGTAAAGCTCTTTCGCATGATGTTCGTCAAGAGATGTTTGACATAACAAATGCAAACGTTGGTGAAACAAGAAGAAGAGACGACACACTGAAACAACAGAGAAGAGAGATGTTTAAAAGTGCTATAGAACAAGTTCGCAAAGCTAACGATGTCATTCGTTCCATTGACGACAAACCAAAAGAAGGTGAGAGATGGTTAAAGAAAGATGAAGAGAATAGGAAGAGAAATGTGAAGTCAGGCAATAGACTCATTGACTTTAACATCGAAGCTTTAGATGAACCAAACAGAGACTACTTACACAAACATTTCGGTAAGGTTTTCATGAGACTCTTAGAGAAAATTAAAATAAACTCACAACAAGATGGATGGTATGTTATAAACTTGGTGGAAAGTATGAATGTTCTACGTTAAACCTCAATAATATTGGAACATACTACATCAGCTCTTGAAGGAGAACTTTATATCAGAGATAGAAGCAAATGCTGCAGGTATTGTTGAAATGCACTATGACTTCTTCTTGACAAACATAAAGAATCTTACCGAAATAAAGATGTATGATTTAACAGAATATGAAGGCTTAACGATGTCAGATGTAAAGAAAGGCAAACCAAAAAAGAGACCATATAGAGATGAAAGCACACTGACAAATGACCAGAAAGCCATTTTGGAAGCTCTTAAGCAAACAGGAAACCCAGCACTTATAGAAAGCTTTTGGAAAGATAATGGTGAAAAGAAGTTTTATAAGAAGAGAAGCGGTCAGTTCTGGAAGTATCTTTGCACATTACCTATAAATCTTGAACGCTACCAAATCTTCAATGAACTGAACAAAAGAACTGCAACACTTATGACAGAAGACAATTGTTTCGTTTATGCTTGCATTCAGGCTGGAGTAGATGGAGAGACTATTGACCACATGAGAGAAGTCATTCGTGTTAGAGACTTTCCTCAAAGTAAAGTACAAGAAATTTCTGACGCAACAGGTATAGCATTTAATGTTACCATTGGTTATTCAATGACTCAAGACATAATGAAATAAAGAGATACATACCAAAAGAATGTAAAACTGTTTGAACTATTGACTTACTTCTTGTTGAAGACCACTACATGCTAAACGAAAGATTACCAATGACAACATATTTCATTCGCAACTATATAGAAATTCTCAAAGCTTGTGGTGGAATGAACATTGAGAAACAGATGAAAATATATACAAAGAGAGAGAACAAATATGTAGTTCGTTATGATAGAACAACACCGCTATGGGATGTTATGAAAACATTGTGGGAGTGCAAATATTTCGAACCTATTTCTTATGGAGAACTTTTCACATATACGACTGACTTATATAAACAGAACCTTGCACCATTTAAAGATTTGACATATGCTCCAAAGTATTGTGTACAACTGAAGAAGAAAGCAGAGTCAAAAGAAGTAAATAAAAATAAGTGCAAGTTCATTCCTGAGCACGTTTTCTTTGCTGACTTTGAGTGTAGTACCGATGGCTTTCATAAAGCTTTTAACATATGTTACGACAATGAAGATGGTTCAGTGAGTGAAAGCATTTGGGGTCAGAACTGTGCAACAGAATTTTTGGAACGACTTCCTGACAAGAGTTTAATATATTTCCATAACCTCAGTTATGATATAAACTTCATCTTAAGACACATGACAGAAGTGAAAGGAACTCCCATCATTAAAGGTTCACGAACAATGCAAATAACTGGCTTATATAAAGGAAGGGCAATTATTATAAAAGACTCTTACAGTGTTATAAATAAGAAACTTAAACTATTTCCTGCTATGTTTAACTTACAAACAGGACCGAAAGAAGTATTTCCATATAACTACTACAGCAGTACTTTGTTAGCAAATGACAACAGAACTGGTGTCATTTCTAAAGCGTGTAAGTTTGTAAAAGATATTGAAACGTTCATGAAGAACATAGATTCCATCAAAGGTTGCAGAATAGATGAAAACCATTTCGATTTAGAAAAATATAGCTCATTTTATTGCAAACAAGATGTAAGAATTTTAAGAGAAGGTTTTGTTAAGTTCCGCAATGACATATTGAAAGAATTTGATTTAAACGTATATGACTACGTTAGTATTTGTTCTATTGCTAACAAATTGTTTGAGAACAGAGTGTACTTCCCGAATGGAAATTTATATGACCTCTCAAATAAACCAAGAGAATTTATTTCACGCTGTATTCAAGGTGGAAGATGTATGTTGTCAGATAACATTAAACAAAAGAGCGAAAAGAAACTCATTGCTGATTTCGACGCTGTTTCATTATATCCATCAGCTATAGCAAGATTGTATACTTTAGAAGGTATTCCAAAGGTTATGAAGAAAGAAATGTTAAGCACAGAGTATCTCATGAGACATTTATTCGATGACGACCAAAAGGAACCCATTGGTGAAAAGTTTATGTCTGGCTTCTTTGTTCTCATTAAGATAACAGAGATTGGAATACATAGACACTTTCCTTTAATAGTTTGTGACCCTGAACTAAATCCAGAACTTAATGTTCCCAGAAGTTCAAACACTTGCTGTTTAATGTATGTTGACCATATAACATTACAAGACCTCATAAAATATCAAGGTGTCAAATGTGAAGTGTTGCAAGGATACTATTACGATGGAAACAGAGATATTAGAATAAGAGATGAAGTAAAGAAGTTGTTTGAGTTAAGGTTAAAGTATAAGAAAGAAGGAAATCCTTTGCAAGAAAATATAAAGCTCATTCTGAACAGTATTTATGGCAAAACTATTCTATCTCCTATTGAGTCAAAAATAACCATAGTAAATGACAAAGATGCTATAAGATATGCCATCAGAAACTACAACCATATATGAAGTTCGAAGGTTTGGATGGTTCAGATAAAACTATTTTCAAGCTAACGAAAAGCATTTGCAGACACTTTAACTTTGCCCACTTGGTGTAATATTCTATCAATTCGAAGAGAATAATGTGTGAAGTATTCTGTACTGCTGAGGACTTAGGAATGGACATCTTTTATAGCGATACCGACAGTATGCATCTCTACAATGAAGATATCCTCGTTTAGCTGAAGAGTTTGAGAAACGTTATGGAAGAGTTCTCATTGGTAAAAACCTTGGTCAATTTCATAGCGACTTTGCAGAAATCACACCTGGAAAACAAAGTTTAGCATACAAGTCAATATTTTGGAAAGAAGACTTACATAGACTTACTCACGAATGATTTAAATGAAGTTGCATTTCACTGCAGAATGAAAGGCGTGAAGCAAGATGTTATTGCTTTAACCGCTAATGAAATGTTTCCTGACTCTGTTCAGTGTTTCTATGATGAAGATAAAGGTTTAATGGTTCCGCAAGGAAAATTTGACAAAGACTCTGAGTTCAGTTTAATGAAACTTTACAAAGCACTTTATGACGGTCAGAGATTGGATTTGACTATGTAATCTGCTACACTGCATTTGACGAGAAGTTTAACTTCTCAATAACGACTAAAACAAGCTTTATTCGTAAGTTGAAGTTCTGAGGTCATTTATTTTTGTCAGCAATGAGGTCATTCGTGATAAAAATAATGAGGTCATTCGTGATAAAAATAAGCCGCTAGCGGCAAGGGCGAAGCCCATGAGGTCATTTACAATACTGCGATGGTAGAGTTTAAGAGTTGTGCTTCAATGTAGAGACAGTCCTTATGGTCTGGAGGTAGCAAAACAGGTGCTTTATGGTCAGAGGAACATGTCTATCCAAAACTCACGATTGAAGCCAGTAAGCTGTAATACTTAGGATTTGGCAGTGGTGAAGTTCTTGTATGACCAATGAACTCATTTTCAACTCCTTACTTAAGTTTGAATAAATATAGCTTGCTTTCTATCCAAATGCCAGGTGTTACAATCTTTGAAAATTCATTTTTCCTCGGAAGCATTGCATAATAATTGAAAACATTTTTGAAGTCATCATTTGGTTCAGAGATTTGAAATCTTATACGTAATGGATTTTCTTTCTCTTTAGCGACTTCATTGAATGGTGAGAATACAATGAATTGACAGTCATGAGTTCCATCTTCATTTTCATTAAATTCATAATGAAAGTCTATAAGTTGTGGCTGACTACCTCTTCTTTCAGTTGTGCAAGAAACTCACGTAAAGGCTGTAAAGTTTGTACTTCAATGTTAAACTTTTCTCGAACATTTCATTAAATGAAATCATACATTGCAACAATGTTGTATCGTCTTTAAAGTATTTGTATATGTGAATGTTTTGGGCGCTTAAAGACTGTTCGTCATTTTCTATCTCGACTTGAAGTATAAAGTCAACCTTTCTGAAAGCACGTGTTATATACATAGATGTTATGCCAATGTACTTCTCTTCATTTATGTTCACAATCCAGTCTGTTGGAAACTTAAACGTTACTCTGTTCCCCTTTATTTTGACGTCAGGGTTTTCACTACTGAACGCAACAGATAAAGGTATTTGTCTATACATTTAATTCGGATAAAATAAACCATTTACTCTTTCTTTGCTTCAGCTTCTTTAGCTTTTGCTTCAGCTTCTTCTCTAGCTTTCTTCGCCAGCAAACGTGGGTTCTTTTGTCTTCCAGCAGCTAATGCAGCAAGTTGTTTTTCACTAAGTTTTTCTCTTTGGTCTCTCTGGCTTTTGTTCTTGTTTTTGTTCCTTCAGTTCGGATAAAATTTGCTCACGAATTTCTTTCTTCAATGCTTCAACATCTATGACCCCTTGAGTCTTGTCCATATGACTTGTCTGAGTCATTTGACTGCAGATAAAAAACAAAATTAAAACTTTAACCGATGTAAAATGAGCTTGTCAAAATCAGAACGAGAGTCTATTATATTAAATGACGCAAGAGGAATACAACATCCTTTCTATTACGTAAGTCAGAGTAAAGATGGTAAAATATACGTAAGAAAAAGAAAGGTTCCATTAGCGAATGCAGAAAGCGACAACATTAAGGTGTATGGCAAGGATGAAGTCCACGAAGCCCATATAAAACCTTCTATTCAAACTGAAAAGTCAATAGAACAAGAAGAAAAGAAGCCAGATGTACTTTCAATAACGAACCAAGAGCTTATTGCAAAGTTTGTGAATTTCATTGAAAAACAAACCGAGTCAAAGAACCCTGACCCGCCAGTGAAAGAAGTTGAGACAAAAGAGAATGTACAGTTCATTGAAAATGTCAAGAAACAACTTCCACCACGAATGCCAAGAAGAAGAGTGAGAATAATGAAGTAAATAGATATTTTTATCCGAAGTAAATACATGCAGAACGAACAGTTAAACGAATTTACTCCAGCAGAGCATATTCATCAGATTCGCTCATATTTCGATATCATAGACAATGCAGTTCAAATTGGTGACACTAATAGAAAATATTCTGACGCAAAGATTCCATCACAACTGGAACTGCTAAAGATAACACATGGGTAACATTCAATCTCTCACCTCCTGGTGAAAATATGTTGGACCTTTACAATACATTCATTACGTATAAAATGGAAGGTCAATTTATTGTAGATAAAGAAATTGGTTCAGGTTCCAATAAAACAAACCCACCAGGATTTTGGATTGGTTTCGATGACGCTTTCTATGCAGTTGCTGGATATCAAATCCTTGCAAATGGTCGTATCGTATATTCTCAAGACAACGCAAGAGAAGAAGCATATATAACTTCAAACTCACAAACTACCGAACAAATAAAGAAAGTAGATGTTTTCTCAAAGACTCGACATGAAGATGTATGGAGTCATTCGGAACATGCAGAACAGGACAAATTGTTAGTGGTCCAATTACAGCAGGAAAATCATTTGATTTTAAGCTTCGTTTAAGAATTCCTGTTAGAAGATTCCTTCCATTAGAAGCTATTCGATTTATTCCAGCTTTTGCAGGAAACATTCAGCTTAAAGTAAAGTTCAGTAGTGACGCCTTACAATGCACATCTATATCTGTAAATGATATCATTGCTTTCAATCCAACTCTTAAAGTTGCATTTGCTTCAGATTCAAATCCACCGACAAATAAATTTGTTCCATGGAATGAACCATTCACTATGATAACGAAGTCAGTAGAAGCTAGTGGAACAGTTACTATTACAACTGTAACCCAACAACTATTTCGAACAAAGATGGATTTTAATGAATGTTTCATTCATCCAAAGTCATTCTCTTTAGACCCTAACATTTATACAGAACTTGTAGAACATTATACAAACGAGGCTTTATGTTTTCCTGTTAAAGTTATGGATTGGATTCCTATGGATGGTTCATTCTCAAAGAATACAGATAGTTCAAGTGCAACATTTACAGCAGCTTATACGCCTATTAATGTTAAAAGTATTTGGGCACTATTTAGAAAGAAAGACAACTATTATGTTAATTTTGAGAACCCTAAGTTTAAATATCTTCAGCTTTCCATGGGAGCTTATGGAAATATGCCTGCAGAACCTGAAAAATCATATGGACCTGTATTTTATGAAATGGTTGCGAACGCTTGCAATACAAACAATGATATGATAGGATTTAATGAAGATGTTATGAGGTCATTGGTGGATGATGGTAGTGTGGAACATAAATGGGATAGTTATGACAACACACATTTCTTATGTGGTTTTCCAACAGAAGTGGACTTTTGCTTCCAGCAAGGTCAAACATCTACTGCTCCAATAACATACAAATTGTCTGTTAAAGGACCTATTGAACTAGCAACTGAAAATGTACCAAAGCCACTTATTGGATTTATGAGGGATTGTTGCTTTGCCATTCAGGTGCGTGCTAATGGCATCCCCATAATAAGATTAGATGACTATAACTTAGCTACGGACGACAGTGAGGAATAAAGGATGAACGTTTATTTTTAAAGCTTATAAATGAGTTCTTCATCAAGCTCTCGTGAACCTTCACCATCTATGAAACAAACTTTACCAAAGGATTATGGAGCACCTATTGAATATTTTTACGAGCTGCACAATGGCAAAGAGCAGTTTCACCAAGGTTAGGTGTTCCACCAGCTCCTGTCAAAAATAGCATTTGGTCAAGTCTTATATAAGATATGGTCTCCCACTAGGTTTGCTAGCTACAGCAGGAGCAGTTATGATGTTGAAAAGAAATAAAGCAAATGTTGTAAATAATACTGAAGTAGCTGAAGTTAAACAAACTCCAACGCCTTCACAAGCAAAACCTTCAATGACTCCTGAACCTATGAAAGTACAAACTCCTGTTCAAAAGTCAACTCCTAAACCGACTCCAACATTTAAACCAGAACCTACTCCTCAAATAAATCGTAAAACTCCTGCGTTTCCTTACTGAAAAAATAACGTTATTTTTATTTAATATTAAAATTTTTATTTGATTGAAATGACAAATAAAGTCACTGAAGCAATGAAACAAAAGTTTTTGGTAGAATACATTAAATCAGGAGCGATTCCAGAAGGTTTTTACATTCATACTATGAAGGATGGTAGAGTTCAGTTTAGAAAGATAAAGCAACCATTAGATAGAGAAGGAATTTTGAGAAAGATTAAACTTCATGAGGACAACATTGCTGAACTTAAGAAGAAGTTAGAAGAGTTGGAGAAAGGAAGAGAGTTATAAAGCAATGAATTCAACAGGGTGAAAAAAGAGGTGAAAAAAGAGGTGAGATCTCACCGCTTCACCTAAATTTATTTTTGTGCTATGTTTTCATACGTGTGAGGGTGGTGATATCATTAATTTTTAAGTTTATTTTTATATTTTATTTTTATTTTATTTTTATATAAATGACGAAAACTATTGAGATAACAAACTACAACGGTCATGAGTTCAAGAATTTGTTCTTCGTTCCTCGTGAAAATACATTCTATCAGATACGAGGGAGAAAGGGTAAAGTTAGTTTGAGCGTTTATGAAGGAATGAAGAATGGAAAGTTTATACAAGCATACGATACAAACGGTAAACGTGTTTCATTAGCTTTGTCAAAACTTACTAACATTTATTTTGACAGTGACTTTGACTCTGACGATTGGAGCGACAGCAGCGATACTGAAGAATATGAACTATTGTGTGAAGCACAGCAATGGGAAGAGTTGCAATACTTTTGTAAGTGAGAACGTTTATTTTTTACATTAGTGAAGTGAAGTGGTTGGCGGCTTTGTAAATATTTAAGGTTAAGTTAGTGTTGTCGTTTGTGTTGTAAAATATACGTTAACGGTTTTGTAAAGTGTCAAATTCACATATAATGGGTACGGTGGAACGCAGTGCCTCCGTACACATGATATGTATACTAACTATCATTCTTTTTGCGAACCGCACAATTACAAATGCTTTGAATGGCAAAAAGGTGTCAATTCGATCCAACTTCAATTCATGCTCTATGACTGGGTTCACAAATGGACACCCATAGTTTCCAAAGTTTCTTCCATTGGATCTACCTGCATGAATGAAGCGTTTAACTCCAAAATTGCATGCTATTTGGACAAATCAAGAGCCTGGAAGAACATTAACATTAGAGTTAACGTTGCAATCTTAGAATGGAATGATCCAGAGCATTTTCTCGGAGATATACAAAAAGCATTACATCTTTCCCACTTCCAGAAGATTATGTCAAATCATTTGAAGAGAATTGTTACTCCAAAATGATATTGAAACAAAAAACTGTTACAAAAGGTTCTAAAAAACAGAACAAATACAAAAAATTCATTCAGAGTGTACCAGGAGGAGATTATCAAGTTTTCAAGTCCGAATGGGAATCAGAAGACGAAGACATTGATGACTTTGATTAACGAAAATTACATTTTATTTATTGTTTTTGTTTTTAATTAAATTATTATTATGCTCATTTTCTTATTTTGATTTTTTCTCATTATGATATAAATAATTTATTAATGCATTTATCCAATAATTATGCTATGATATTTTTATGCCTTATTTCATTTCTCTTATATTTGATAATCTGGTAAAATATAGTTCAGACTATAATCATTTTAGATTATTGATATATTTATATAGGTTAGAATAAAATTAGTTTCATTTTCTACTTTTATTTTGAATTAATAATTTATAATATCAAATATTATGGCGTAACCTCTCCTTTAAAATATAGATATATATAGGCCTATAGAGTTTATTGGCACTCTCAAAACTCTAGAATTTTGAGTTTACTATACCCTTAAGCTCCTTATGCATAAAGTAAGAGAAAGGGACAAACTATCCAGTGTCACTTTTCAAAGGAATAAAAAAAATAATAAAGATGGGGAACAGGACAAATTTGCCACACGGCACTTTTTTTAAAAAATTTAATGAAGCGGAGCGATACTCTGCTGCAGGAGCCCCAAGGCTCCCAATCATTACGAAAGGGAGCCTCAGGGCTCCTGAGAATCCATCAGCAGAGGCCTTTTCATTTGGCCTCTGCTGATCAAAGATTCGGCGAAGCCATTCTTCGTCTCAGGAGCCCCAAGGCTCCCAATCATTACGAAAGGGAGCCTCAAGGCTCCTGAGAATCCATCAGCAGAGGCCTTTTCATTTGGCCTCTGCTGATCAAAGATTCGGCGAAGCCATTCTTCGTCTCAGGAGCCCCAAGGCTCCCAATCATTACGAAAGGGAGCCTCAAGGCTCCTGAGAAACCTCTTTGAGAAGGTTTTCTTTAAGAAAACCTTCTCAAAGATGATTGTCAGCATTCACTCAAAATCTACCAAGAGTTTCAAAGTTTCAAATCTATCTGAAATGAAGCTTTGAATCTCTTGTATATCTAATTGTAGAGGTACCTTTTCAAAATGTCTTCTATTGATTAAATTTAATCAGTAAAAGTCATTTTGAAAAGGTACATCTCTATAATTGCTATTGAGCATTCACTCTTGGAACCTTGGAGCTCTTGTGTAGTGCATGAAAACTCCAAGATTCTAGCATAAAACATATATCATAGACATAATTTCTTCAAATATAATTTAAGGTTATTTTTTTTAAAATTAGAAAAGCGTAATTTAAGGTTATTGAAAAAGTGACACCTGGCAAATTTGTCCCGCACTCCATAAAGTAACTTTTTGGAGCTGTTTTAATGTCAAACGATGTGAAAGAACAATATTGGACTATTTAAAACATGTGATTAGCATTTATACCTGATGGTATCAGCAATGCGATGCATGAAAGATCAAAAAATTAAAATATATTAATTTAAAATTTAAAGACTAACAGCTCAACTGAGCTGAACATTTGTAAGGTAGAATAGATATAATGGTGGTTCTAGATATAAAATATTATCGATAATTGTTAGTTTTCATGCTGAAGATGTATTGCAATACAAAATAAGTTAAAAAATACGTTTTAACTTTCAAAAAGCAGGTGCTTTACATTGGTTTATTGTATTTCGATTCATCCATAAGCTGTATTATGGAAAGATGAAATCTGTTCGTCATTTCAAAAGAAAAAATGTAAAACGAACTTGAAAAAAAGAATGATTTATACTATGTTTGGATAATTATTTTGATTTGTAATGATTTTGAGAATTTAGTTGATTTTTTATGACATTTTAAAATTGAATATGACGGTTAAGATTTGAAAAGATGATCGAATCCTCCATATTATTGCACTAGGAACAAAAAGATTCAAATTTATTTTTTGGAAATTTCGTATTTTATTCAATTATCGAAAAAAAATGACAAAGTTTCACTGTTATGATTATAGGTCGATTATTAGATAATGTTATTCCATAGTCCATAGAAGATATATTTTTCATTTTATTTTTGATCAACAGTTAATTTTATAACTGGCAAACTAATTGAGTAAGTTTTTCAAAGAACCGTCATTTTTACAAAAATGACTTTAGAAGGATTTTTAATATAACTATGGATAAGGAAAATAATAAAATTGCCAATTTTGTTTTTTCTCAATTTTTTTATGAATTTTTTTTATTTATCTAATATTTTTTAATGGAGTCTGATAACGAAACTAGACATCGGAATACAGGCCGTAAGTCGCGTGCCTGCTCGGATGCCTCTATGGCATATAGTCCGAGCTATGAAGGACTTGTTGACTTAGCAGGCATCGTCCAAACGATTTCAATCAATGAAAACTTTGCAATTTCCATCGAAACAGTCAACTACGAGTATTATGATTACGAAACATCATTGCTTCTTCGAGAATTACCAGAATCTACGGCAGCAGAAGTTCAAGAGGAGACAACTCCTCCAATGAGACTAATTTCTCTTGCTACACCAGTAGCAGAACAACCAAAGCAGTCCGAACCAGAGCCACAGCGTAGTGTTTCTGGATTTCCACCACCACCAATGCAGGCTACTCTTGTTATGCCATCAGAGACAAAGAGCCCAGAAAAAGAAGGCGAAGGCAAGGATGACATTCCACCAGAAGATGACGAGGAATTCAAGACAGTTTACTACGAGACAAGATTGCTCGACTTCAAGGGAATTGCCGGTGATGATCAAGACAAGGAAGAACTCCGTTACTTTGGTAACGCAACAAAGGCTGAGTTCGAATCCGATCTTAATCTTTCCTTATCCGACGACGACGAGGCTGAAGTTAAAAATGACGAGGTTGATAATTCACAAGCAGACTATTCCAAGTCAACATACGAACGCTTCACCAACTACACATTCCAAGATATTGTCCAAGCTGATCCAACACTCAAGCCATGCCCAGAAATCAAGATCAACCATTCCCATCCAACAGAAGTTGATTTGGATGACCAACTCGCTAACAACGAGCAAGTTAAGAAGTCACTCAAGTCACCATTCTTAGACTTGGATATCGTTAATGAGCTCGAATCTAAGCCGAACCCAATCTACGACAGATCTGTCCTTGATTTCGTCCAAGCAGCAGAAATTGGTTCAAACCCAGTTCTCAAATGCTATGGTCCAAAGATGAACGCACTCTCCTTCAACAAAGAGGTCCAGAACCCATACTGCCCAGAGTCCAAGACACCAGAGTTCATCCACCTCTTCTCCAAGTACAAGACTCCACCAACTCCAGAGTCATCCAAGTTTATGCCAGATGATTCATGCATGAGACACAACTTCTGCTTCGAAAAGGACATCATTGAGGTCCTCCCAGAAGAGTCTGCAATTCCAAAGGCACCGTTCGCCTTCGTTAACTTGATCGATTTCCAGATCAATGCAGAAGTCATCGAACCAATCATCTGCAGCGCCTTCCTCTTCAACGGAGGCAAGATCTGCACAAGCAGATGGCAGTTCACACATCCGAAATGCAGAGACATGATGAAGGATACAGGTGTTTATCAGAACGACTATCCAAGCGCCGGTTTCGAAATTGGCGAAGGCGAAATGTACCTCGTCATCGAAATCAGACGTCCACTTCTCGTTTCTGCTGGTCTTGAAGTCAACGACTACTACATGAAGCCAGAAGATCAGAAATTGAAGCTCAAGGCTATCGAGTGTGTCAAGAACTCATATCCAAGAACAAAGGCAATCTACACAACATTCGCTGTCATCTGCACACCACTTGCCAGAATCTTGGACAGCTCAGCCGCCCTCGAACTTCCAAAGCCACTCATCGTCAACCAGCCAGCCACACCAGAGCTCATCGAGAGAATCATCCAGAAGGACGTCACAACACACGAACTTCAGAAATTAGACTGGACAATCAAGCTTCAAGGCTTCAAGTTCAACGCCACAAATATTACAGAAGTTCAGGACAGAGGATACTACGCCGTTCTCCAGACAATGCCAAGTGTTTCATATCCAACAACATTCTACATCAACAAGTTCTTCTTCGGTCTCAGAAAGGTATCAATCAAGGCACAGCGCCATGTCAAAGCACGTAACATCTTCGCTAAGATTTCTCTCTACGCCGGACCAGAGAATACTCCTCTCAAGTCCATCTACTCTCCATTTACAGGAAAGCGCGAAGCTGTTGTCTACACACAATGCTGGTACCACAACGAGCGCGCCCAGTTCAACGAAGTCTTCATGGCCGAAATTCCATATCCACTTCCACAGAACTTGCACTTCCACGTCGAACTCTTCCACGGTGTTGCCCAGGAATCAATGCTCGACTCACAGTACATTGGCTCTGCCGATGTTCCATGCTACGACGAGAGAGGCCACTTCAATCCACAACTTGCAACAGTTCCAATCAGCATCAAGGACCAGAAGGCCGATGCAGCAGATGAGAAGAAATCAACAATCACATTCTCAACAAGAATTCGCTCTACATTCTACTCAGAAGATCCAAATATCCAGGACTTCTTCCTTACAGCCTACCAGACAAAGATTCTTGTCCCATCCTGCATCGAGAAGGCCCGTGCAATCTACATCAGAATCCACTTGCTTTCCCTTCTCCAGATTGTCATCGCCGCCATCTCAAAGCAGCCGTACAGAGCTTGCAAGGTCATGTACATCATAAACAAAGTCTGTGGTCCAGCAATGGGCATCGAACTTAACAAGGTTCTCCACACATGGGCACTCAACTACGCCTTCCAGTCTGCATCAGAGAAGACACAAGCACACCTTCCAATCTTCTCAGCATGGAGCGAGTTGATCGAAGAGATGAAGGAGGCAAACGAGGATCAGCACCTCGTCAACTTCTTCTTCATCCTCATGTTCAAGTCTCTTGCTGTTTCCAACAACAAGACATATATGGGAGCTGCCGAAGCATGGGTCAACGCATACTTCAAGCACCTCTTCCTTTATGTCACAGACCAGAACCAGATCCGCTTGAGAACAGACAAAGTCGGCTGGTTCGTCAACGCTCTCTTCGACATCGGAAAGTACACACTCATAGGAAAGATCCTCAACCTCGCTATCAAGCACAACTTCGACAAGTCGAACGAGATCGTTGTTCTCCAGAGACTTGTCAGAAGAGTTATCAGTCCACGTATCTTCTACGTTCTTTCTGTCCACTACACACCATTCAAAGATCTTTATCTTTACATGTTCAACAGAATGTACGTATCAATGAACAACGAGACATTCTCAGATTTCGCCTTCACATTGTACCACATCAACATGTGCCTCGACCCAGGAATGAGGAAGGAACTTGCAGCATCATACGACACAATGAAGGGCTTCAAGACACCTCTCCAGGGCTTCTTCTACTCAGATATCGATGCAACACAGATCTCAGATGCAGATTTCCAGTCGTACTGGGATGGAATCGATCACCGCTCATTCTTCAAGATCTTCCACCTCTATGCGACAATCTACAACTACATGATCAACTTCATCCCAGAAGAGTTGGCTGCACGCGCACAAGTTGAAGTCATCCACGCAATGCAGAGAGGCTTCATCGCACAGTTGTTGCCACTCAATAGAGTCACAGCTGATGAAGACATCATGGAAGTCATGCAATGCTACTTCCAGGTTGTTTCAGCTCACTTGGCAATTGATAACATCGCACTCACACTCGGCGCTTTGTGCGATTTCATCAAGCGCCATCCACAACAGACAATCAAGTTGTCCAACCCAATCTTCTCTGTCATCCTCAAGTACGTGTTCAACCTCTCTAAGGCTGACACTGAATCTGCTACGAAGGTCATCGATACAATCTTCGATCCAAACTTCGGAACAGAAGTCTTCGGAATGGCTCTTGCATCTCTCGCAATGGCTGTCTGCACAACAAAGACACCAGTGCTCGACCTCACTGTCCTCAAGCCAAAGAGCCCTCTCGCTAGAGATGTTCCAAAGATTATCCAGATGAGAGAGAAACCACTCGATGAAAACATTTCGGCTTTCATCGCAAAGAATGTTATCTCTGTCTTCTATGAGTCCCAGAGAAAGGAAATTTCTGATTCCTTCAACTCATTCTTCGAATACTTGAAGACAAAGGCTAATGACCCACTTCCAAAGTTCAAATAAGCGTATTATTTTATTTTAAACACTTTATTATAGATAAAAAGTTAAATTTATTCTTATGATTAAATTGAGTGATTAAGAAAAATGAATGGATTCCGTTATTTTGAATTTTTATTTTTATGATGTATTTTGTGAATTGTAAAGTATTCAAACTCAGATCCGTTTGGATTGAAAAATTGAAATGACCTCATGATATTTTATAAATGGAAATGATTAATTCATGTATTTTTCCCAATCATGATTATCTGAACTCGATCCGTTCATGATTAGATGGTTTCAAGAATTATTGATTCATGTTAAAACGAGATATTTAAAAAAAAATTAATCAAAATAAAAATGAAGAAATATTATTTGAATGCATTCGCAATGTGATATGATTTGATGCGATTAAGATATAATGAAATCAAATATATGTTAAATGGAAAAAATATTGAATTGCAAGAACGGAGAAATAAATTCTGAGATCAGATCCTTATCCTGAAATATGTTGTTTTTTCCAATCCCCGTATTGATTAAACGAATCGAATCTGAAAATAAAATAATATCCGTTAAATGTTGAAATCCATTGAGATATTTAGTTGATTTTTAGAATATGCTCTGAATTCTAAACGTAATGTTGATGGAATTATCAATTATGAATCAGAATGGATTCGAATTGAAACGTCAACAAAAAATTGACAATTGGATTTGACAAAATAATTTGGATTCATAATTGTAGCATGATTCGAAAAAGATTTAAAACTTCAATCCAAAATAAATGTTTACAATATTTTATATTAAACATCAATAAAAAACATTCTTTATTAGATTGCATACCTTATTTTAGATTAAAATTAAAAAAACAGTATGATGAGAATTCAAACTGACCTGCTATAACATTCAATTTTTTATAATTGTAAAATTTTTTTAAATCAATATCCAAAGTCACCCACTAAAATATTTCCAAGACTGAAACAGTGACGATTTTTTTGATACTTACATGTCACATCATCATTTCGATTGCCATTCAAAATTTGTGAATTAACTATAAAAGTGTCAAGATTTATAAATTACTGTATATCAATTACAATCAATTGTACAGTAAAATGTTAGAAAATAGATTTCAATGACAATTTTTTTGTATTTAACATGTCACGAAAAAACCGGAGTGACATAATTCAAATAGAAATGATGTTAGATGAGCCGATATCTCTTGATCAGGATGAATTTGGCTGCTCTTTATTCGAACCTTTTCCTCAGGTTAACCAGTTTGAAGAAAGTGCCTCTGTTGTTTTCGCTCCAATCATCATAAATCAGCCAACAGAGTTATCAAAATCCCCAATAAACATGTTTGTCCATAAATCAAGATGGACAGCTGCAGAAGATGACAAACTCACGGATGCAGTCAGGCGCTTTGGAGCTAAAAATTGGGGAAAAATTGCAGAATATGTTGGAACGAGGACAGGAAAGCAATGTAGAGAGAGATGGATTATCCATCATGATCCATCTTATAGTCATGATGTCTGGACCCCAGAGGAAGATCAGATCCTCTTAGAAATAAGATCAAAAATTGGAAATAAATGGTCATCAATTGCGAAGCATCTTAAAGGAAGATCAACCACCAGCATTAAGAACAGATTTAAATTTTTATGCAATCATAATATGGTGGAACCTATTTTAATTGAAGCATCCAAATTTGAAAACCAAGCACCCAAGTGTTATCCTCAACGTGAAGAATTTCAAGTTCCGACCTGTGTAAAAGAACCAAAAGAATCGGTATTTGATGAATTTTTACCGTTAATTTATTGAATCGGGGAAAAAAAAGTTGTTGTTTGGAAATTTCTATTGTTTTATTTGTTAATAAAATTTATTTTAAATAGTTTTTTATTGTTTATGTATGTTTTAAATGCTGAAAAGATTATATAACAAATTTTTATTTTAAGCAGTAGATATTATTTTGTAATTAAAATGTATATTATATAATGTTTTATTTCAATGTAAGTGACTGGTTTACCTATAAATGCTTAAATAAAGATTAAATTTGTTATTATGAATTAATATAATTAGATACAATAAAAATACGAAAACTTATTATCACCAACGTAATGTAAACCAAGGTATGAAGTGTACTTCGAGTTTATTATGAAATGATGGAATATGTTATGTAAATAATTTTAAAAAAATGAATTGTTTCCATAAAAATAAACAAGTTTCCATTGAAACATTATTTTTACAATCATATTCCTAAAGAAAATGAATTATTTCATTTCAATTTTCGAAATCTTTTGAATTGAATTGATTCTGAAAAATGTAAAGTTGCTTAATATTTATCCCAACAAATGTGATTACAATTATCCTTTATCAAAATTTTACAGAATTTCAAATGCTAATCAAAATAAATGATCGCATAAATCATGTTTTTGTACTATGGTCATTGTAGTTCCAAAATTATTCAGATTCGAGTCATTTTTGATCTAACATGTCATGGAGGATAATTCTATCGTAGCCGATTCAAAAACTCAATGTATTTTCCCTAATATATACATGTTTTAGAAAGTAAAATTCAAATTTTAAAAAATCATTTTTATTCGTGAGCAAAATTTTTAGATGAAATCGGTCTGGGATTCTACAAAGGCTGCTTTTAATTCTGCTAAATCTGCTGTAAAAGATAATGCAAAGAAACTAGCAACTAAAGTAAAAGAAGCTTCTACTCCAGAAGATCCTATGGGTTTCAGAGTTTTATTATCTGAATCGCAAGAACTTAAGAGAGAGGCCAAAACATGCGCAAACAAAATTCAAGTCATCAGGATAAACATTCTTAATGTAGCAAGTACTATATACGATATTGCAACGAATACCTCTGAAATTCTTCAAACCGAAGAATCTCTTCAATATAAGCAATCAATTGATGTTTATCATGCAAATATGAAGAAACTTGCAGATGAGCTATTACCTTTATACGTGGAAAAGCCTTACGACGATGTTCTGAAAATGATTAAGGAACTCCCCATTATTCAAAGAAGTTTCAGATATTCATGATAAAATAACCCTCAATAAAGCCATTAATAAAGCTCAATCTGCAATATCAGAGAAAAGTGCTCAAAAATCCAGTGATAAAATTGCTGATTACAATAAACAACTACAAGATCTTCACTCTACCATTACAGAGAAGTTGACACTAATAGATACCGAGATGGCTAATGCCAAAAGAAAATCATTTTTGGCGCTCACATTCTATTTTGAGCAATTTATTACCGCATCTGAAAAAATCGGTCTTACATCGCAATAGAAATATTGTTAAATCTTTACTGTATATTTTTGAAATTATAATTTTTTCACCTTATTAGGATAACATTTTTGCAGGTAATATTGACATTAGTCATTAGTTACTAGAGTTACTTCTTATTTCTGATCCTGGAGAATCAACAATGAAAGAATCGAAGATAAATAGCAAAATAAAAATTTTGGAATAATCATTTATTAATAGCTCGTATACATCTTTCACGTTTTACAAGAACCATTTGATCGTTAATTTAATTTTCTTCATGTCTGATAAAACAATCTGACATGTAAACTTGATCTTATTATTTCATTTTTCTGAAATGTTACCTTGTCTTTTATTTTATGGGCAATTAGTTCACTCTGAAGATTATCCTCAGGCAGGAAGGATAACTGCTGATGTCCTTAATATTAGAGATGGGCCTTCAGTTGGATATTCAATTATTGGCTCTTTGGATCAAAATCAAGTGGTTCAGTTATATGACGAAATTGGCGGTTGGCACAAAATTAAATACTTTAAGAGAGATGGTTATTTTAACAAAAAATTTTTTCAGGAAATAAAAGATTTAATTCCTTCTTATCCCAAGGTCCCTATTTTGCAAAATAATACTCTTCTTGACAAGAAAATACAAATGAATGGAAGCGGTTTTCTTTGTGCATGTTATTGTGGTGGATATAGTGACGTGCAGCGTATAAATGATAAATTCGAACTTTTGAGATCAGAAATTATTATCAATGAAGATGGGTCTGTAAATGACTGGAATCTTCTTGCTATTAGTGCTGCAAAAGGAATCGATTACATGCTTGTAGGGAAATTTGATTTCCCTGCTCCAAACCAAAGAGAAATTTTACAATGCGAAGACAGTCAAGGTAGATTCCATTACGTTGTTGGAGATGGAAGTTCAAAAATTACTTATGATCCCAATCCAGGCAACAATATTGACTACTATAAATGCAAAAGCAAAATCTTCATATCTTACTAATTTACATGATTACATTTGATTAAAAAGTTACTGTTTGTTTTCTTTGAATTATTAACTTTTTTTTAATATATTGCGATATGGATATTGTTGAGTACTAGAAAAGAAAAATATATTGTTACAAACAATACTTTATTAGTTTATATTGAAAGATGAAAAATTATTCAATCAAACATCAGTTTGTTGTATGATGTATAGCACCATTAAGATACAAACTGTAGTCAATGAGGAAATCTCTTTTAATTGTTCAAAACTCCCAAGATTTCTCATTGATATCAAAATAAAAAAAAAACTATTACTACATTGTTAAAAGAAAATAATTTACATTACAAAAATATCAGCAGTTTTCATGAACTACTCGATCTCGATAACGCTATTAAGAATATCATCAAGATTTTCTCTTTCAATCACACTGATAGGTGATTTTATACATCCTGTAAGCTGCATGATTAGATCGTCAATTGATCCGTCACAATAAAATCCCAGTAAAACTGAAGGATTAATACTTTCTTTCTTCATGGATTTCAATTCCAAATCAAAGAATGAATCGTAAGGAGGACTGACTACGGCTTCTTTTGTAACATGTGGGTCGAAATAATAAAAATCTTCTAAATCAAAGCCAACAAAGTAATAAGCTGATGCATTCTGGCCACTAACGAAGCCAAGTGATGATTCAATGCATAAGCATAGTAAAAGGAATGATAAATAGGAATCATCCATCTTTGATAATCCAAATAAACTCGGAATTAGTATCAATGCTGGATATTTAGTATGTTTGATATCATTAGAATCTAATGTTAAGTCTTGTGAGATTATACAGCTCAAATTTAATGTGTCAAAAATTAATTTTATTGTAGCTGCCATAATTGATGGTTTTGCCCATTCGCCGACTGGTAATCCAATAGCAAAAGCATTTTTTGTTAGATTCTGGATTCCAAATGGTGCAGATGGTATATCCAAAAATAAATCCAATGGATTTACATTTTGTCCAAAAACTTGGTCATACAATGAACGAAACTTTCTATGTAATTTTAGAATATATTGGCAAAGTAATCCTTGTGTTGATCTAAAGCAACATCCCCATCCTTTATCAGTTGTAAGAAGGGAGTTCGCAAGGTCTGATAAGTTGTATCTATAGCAAAATCGTGGAATATCCGCAATAACATCTTTGATCTCGCGGTCTTCGCCATTTGTACTTATCACTTTCATTCAATTGAACTGCATTTGACAATTTTATAGGATCCGTTTGATCGTACATTTCAAATCATCTTTAAATACATTTATAATTCATTATTTAACTTATTTGATCCGAAAATCATCAAATCTTCTGAAAAAATCCGCTCAATCTCAAATGGTTCTTGTAAAACGTGAAAGATGTATACGAGCTATTAATAAATGATTATTCCAAAATTTTTATTTTGCTATTTATCTTCGATTCTTTCATTGTTGATTCTCCAGGATCAGAAATAAGAAGTAACTCTAGTAACTAATGACTAATGTCAATATTACCTGCAAAAATGTTATCCTAATAAGGTGAAAAAATTATAATTTCAAAAATATACAGTAAAGATTTAACAATATTTCTATTGCGATGTAAGACCGATTTTTTCAGATGCGGTAATAAATTGCTCAAAATAGAATGTGAGCGCCAAAAATGATTTTCTTTTGGCATTAGCCATCTCGGTATCTATTAGTGTCAACTTCTCTGTAATGGTAGAGTGAAGATCTTGTAGTTGTTTATTGTAATCAGCAATTTTATCACTGGATTTTTGAGCACTTTTCTCTGATATTGCAGATTGAGCTTTATTAATGGCTTTATTGAGGGTTATTTTATCATGAATATCTGAAACTTCTTTGAATAATGGGGAGAGTTCCTTAATCATTTTCAGAACATCGTCGTAAGGCTTTTCCACGTATAAAGGTAATAGCTCATCTGCAAGTTTCTTCATATTTGCATGATAAACATCAATTGATTGCTTATATTGAAGAGATTCTTCGGTTTGAAGAATTTCAGAGGTATTCGTTGCAATATCGTATATAGTACTTGCTACATTAAGAATGTTTATCCTGATGACTTGAATTTTGTTTGCGCATGTTTTGGCCTCTCTCTTAAGTTCTTGCGATTCAGATAATAAAACTCTGAAACCCATAGGATCTTCTGGAGTAGAAGCTTCTTTTACTTTAGTTGCTAGTTTCTTTGCATTATCTTTTACAGCAGATTTAGCAGAATTAAAAGCAGCCTTTGTAGAATCCCAGACCGATTTCATCTAAAAATTTTGCTCACGAATAAAAATGATTTTTTAAAATTTGAATTTTACTTTCTAAAACATGTATATATTAGGGAAAATACATTGAGTTTTTGAATCGGCTACGATAGAATTATCCTCCATGACATGTTAGATCAAAAATGACTCGAATCTGAATAATTTTGGAACTACAATGACCATAGTACAAAAACATGATTTATGCGATCATTTATTTTGATTAGCATTTGAAATTCTGTAAAATTTTGATAAAGGATAATTGTAATCACATTTGTTGGGATAAATATTAAGCAACTTTACATTTTTCAGAATCAATTCAATTCAAAAGATTTCGAAAATTGAAATGAAATAATTCATTTTCTTTAGGAATATGATTGTAAAAATAATGTTTCAATGGAAACTTGTTTATTTTTATGGAAACAATTCATTTTTTTAAAATTATTTACATAACATATTCCATCATTTCATAATAAACTCGAAGTACACTTCATACCTTGGTTTACATTACGTTGGTGATAATAAGTTTTCGTATTTTTATTGTATCTAATTATATTAATTCATAATAACAAATTTAATCTTTATTTAAGCATTTATAGGTAAACCAGTCACTTACATTGAAATAAAACATTATATAATATACATTTTAATTACAAAATAATATCTACTGCTTAAAATAAAAATTTGTTATATAATCTTTTCAGCATTTAAAACATACATAAACAATAAAAAACTATTTAAAATAAATTTTATTAACAAATAAAACAATAGAAATTTCCAAACAACAACTTTTTTTTTCCCCGATTCAATAAATTAACGGTAAAAATTCATCAAATACCGATTCTTTTGGTTCTTTTACACAGGTCGGAACTTGAAATTCTTCACGTTGAGGATAACACTTGGGTGCTTTGGTTTTCAAATTTGGATGCTTCAATTAAAATAGGTTCCACCATATTATGATTGCATAAAAATTTAAATCTGTTCTTAATGCTGGTGGTTGATCTTCCTTTAAGATGCTTCGCAATTGATGACCATTTATTTCCAATTTTTGATCTTATTTCTAAGAGGATCTGATCTTCCTCTGGGTCCAGACATCATGACTATAAGATGGATCATGATGGATAATCCATCTCTCTCTACATTGCTTTCCTGTCCTCGTTCCAACATATTCTGCAATTTTTCCCCAATTTTTAGCTCCAAAGCGCCTGACTGCATCCGTGAGTTTGTCATCTTCTGCAGCTGTCCATCTTGATTTATGGACAAACATGTTTATTGGGGATTTTGATAACTCTGTTGGCTGATTTATGATGATTGGAGCGAAAACAACAGAGGCACTTTCTTCAAACTGGTTAACCTGAGGAAAAAGGTTCGAATAAAGAGCAGCCAAATTCATCCTGATCAAGAGATATCGGCTCATCTAACATCATTTCTATTTGAATTATGTCACTCCGGTTTTTTCGTGACATGTTAAATACAAAAAAATTGTCATTGAAATCTATTTTCTAACATTTTACTGTACAATTGATTGTAATTGATATACAGTAATTTATAAATCTTGACACTTTTATAGTTAATTCACAAATTTTGAATGGCAATCGAAATGATGATGTGACATGTAAGTATCAAAAAAATCGTCACTGTTTCAGTCTTGGAAATATTTTAGTGGGTGACTTTGGATATTGATTTAAAATAATTTTACAATTATAAAAAATTGAATGTTATTGCAGGTCAGTTTGAATTCTCATCATACTGTTTTTTTAATTTTAATCTAAAATAAGGTATGCAATCTAATAAAGAATGTTTTTTATTGATGTTTAATATAAAATATTGTAAACATTTATTTTGGATTGAAGTTTTAAATCTTTTTCGAATCATGCTACAATTATGAATCCAAATTATTTTGTCAAATCCAATTGTCAATTTTTTGTTGACGTTGCAATTCGAATCCATTCTGATTCATAATTGATAATTCCATCAACATTACGTTTAGAATTCAGAGCATATTCTAAAAATCAACTAAATATCTCAATGGATTTCAACATTTAACGGATATTATTTTATTTTCAGATCCGATTCGTTTAATCAATACGGGGATTGGAAAAAACAACATATTTCAGGATAAGGATCTGATCTCAGAATTTATTTCGAGTAGGGGTAATTTTGGCTAAAAGTGACACACCCGTGAAGGGTGTGATTACCGATCGGTAATTTCGACAGTTTAGAATTTAAAATTTTTTATGGAACTGTTGCGAGTTTCATAAAGAATTTAAGGAATATAAGCAAAGATTTGAATCAAAATCTTAGACCTAAGCCGCTCGATTCGCTCGCGGCTTCCGCGAATTACAGATCAGCAAAGATTTGAATCAAAATCTTCGAACTAAGCCGATCGCTTCGCTCGCGGCTTTCTTTATTATTTTAAATTTGCATATTTCCATCAAAAGTTCATAAGGTAAAAAATTTCGTTTATATTATTGCAAAATAAATCTTCATTATCAAAATAATATTAAATAATAATATAATATAATTTATAAACAACTATTATTTAATAAAGTTTAATTGCCAAGGTTCATCTAATTTTTTGATTTTTAATGTTTTATGAATTTTATTTATCATGTATATATCTAATGAAGATTATATATGTAGAAGATAAGTACCTTAATATGTACGTAAATTTTAATGAAATTTATACAACATTATAAAAATTTATGAATAAAAACTTGATATAAAATAACATTTTTATTTTTACTAAGAAAAAAAAAGGTTTTTGATAATAAATTTATTTTATTTCGAAAAAGTAGCAATAATCGTAAAAGGGTATTGATAGGCTTGCTAAAGTAACTAATTTTAGCTGTCAAATACTTTTGTATTTTGAAGTAAATTAGTATAAATTTGTTTTTACTTTTATTTCGAAAAAGTAGCAATAATCGTAAAAGGGTATTGATAGGCTTGCTAAAGTAACTAATTTTAGCTGTCAAATACTTTTGTATTTTGAAGTAAATTAGTATAAATTTGATATTATTTTAACTCCCTTTGAAAACCTCAATTTTCCATACAGAGGGAACGGGAATAGCATCCAATATTCCCTGAGAATGGTTGCGCATTCTCAGTTCCCTCTATATTTCGAACGAAGCTCTCATCGGTCTTTTTTTTTAATACTAAACGTTTTTTTTCCTGTCACTTTTAGCTAAAATTTGGGTTTGCCATCAATAATTTGCTCGGCATCAATGTCAAAAATTATTCTAATTCTATTTGTGATTTAAATTCGATCGTATTATCAATACAAAATATTTCCGCATAAATTCATAAAATCTCTCAAAATTTGTGTATCTTGCGGATAGATTATTGTTTGAAACTGTAAATCCATATCATCGTCAAAATGATGATTGTGATGGAAATATGGTGAATAAAAAAGAATAAACTTATTAAAATACTTATCAAAACTAGACATATAATTGAATCAAAATTAAAAATTGAGAAATTTTGCCATGAGAAAGTTGAATTAGCATATAATATTAAAATAAAAATAATGTAGCGATTTAAAAATTGTTCAATCTAATTATTTATTCTTTAAAAATGAAACTAAATAATTATTTTTCCAAAAAATATTCGAAAATGAAATTTTGAGTTGTATTTTAACAATTTTTAATGATGAATTTTGAATTTGCAAATAATTTTGGAGTTTTCTGATATTAACTAAAAGCAGTAGAAGGAGTTCTTAAATGAAAGCCGTCCAAATACATTCGATTTACTGGAATCTGATCATATATACAATTCTCATGCCTTATCAACTTAAGATCGAGCAGTTTTTCCTCAACATCTAACAACTACAATATTACGCAATCAAACTTATTGTTCGAATATTGCAAGAAAAAAGCTCAAAATACTTTATAGCAAATATAAAACGATTTCAACCTTAACATCATTCCAAATTCGATGAACATTATGAATACAATTACGAGATTATACCAAATATACATTGTTTTTCCTTAATTTACTCTTTATTTCCATAACAAAATACTTTTTTTTTCATAAATTGAAACAGGTAACATCTAATTTGATGCCCATACATTTGAGAACAATTTCTTGATATCCAGGCTATTAAAAAATTATGAAAGTTTAAATAAACTAATTTTTACAGAAGAAATGGAATCGTTATTGATATCATATTTAAAATATGATGGCTACTCAGAAGTTGACTGATACCCTGCTTCTGCTGGTGTTCTGTTTAGATATATTACTAAAATTGAAAGAACAAAGCCAGATAGGACAGCACCGATGATGTCCTGAATAATCTGTAGAGGAGAGAATATATTGAAATGCGTTTGGAGTAAGCTTTTGAAAGGAACTTCAGAGAAATCGATCCAAGAATAAAAAGAAGTCTGTATGAATATATGAATTATATTGAGAACTAAAATACTGTGAAACCCTATGAAAATATTACGTTCAAACTTCTGAGGTAATCCAGATAAACGTAGATCTGTAAATTCCGCATAAAATTTTAAGAATGTAACAACGAAGGTCATTATACCGGAGAAGTCTATTACAAAATGAGCCATATTCAGAAAAGTTAGTAGTGTTTTTATTGATTTGTGCTTAACTCTCCATATAATGTAAATTATAGTTTCTACGGTGAAGTATGTTACAAACATACCGATAATTAATGCATTTTTCCAGTAATGAGAGCTCTTTTTCGATCCATGGTTGTCTGTATTTCTGAGAAATCGTAAAATGACGATTGATATTGAAACATAAGGCATAGCTTGAAGCTGAGGACTTATGATAAGGAAAATGTAGTAAGCAGGGAACGAATTCCATCTGTTAAACTTAAGATATTGCAAAAATAAAAGAGGTGTAAGTAATGAAACTGATATCCAAAAGAAAATAGAAGGCCATGTCCTTTTAAACGTGTTTTTCATTGCATATTTAATTGAAATTATTAATCTGTAAAGGTAGAATATGAACAATAAGAGGAGAAAGATCTCTGTTATCCATAACAAAGAATTCGTATAGCAAAAAGCTAAAGAACCTTCAATATGGCACCCAGTTATATTCATTTTAAAAAAATTAATTTGAGGAAAACATTTCTTCACAAATATTTTAGATTTCAACGTTTCTTCCCTGGGTTTCAAATATAGATTTCTCAAGAAGGGTATAGCATCTCATGTATTTGAAATTACAGATTAATTCTCTGAAATCTCATTTCTTTTATATGAGAAATTATATTATAATGAGATATGTAATAGCTTATGCTAAATTATCCGAATTTACAATAATTTTTTTCAAAATTTTTTTTAACAATAAAAATAATCGCTCTAAACAAAATTCCTTTTTTACTTTTGATTCCTAATGATGAATTTTGTAGTATTTTTCTGAAAATGTTACAAAATTATTTGATTTATTTCAAAATTACAACATTTCTAATGGGATTTTCTACGAATTATAATCCACGTGTTAATCTGGCGATAAATGCCTCTTTCTCTGGATCTCTGTGGTCCTGTGTGTCAATTCTTGGTAAAGATTCTAAGAATCTCATAATTGAACTAGACTTCTTTCTAGCATAGTCAAAAGCTGTCAATCCTTCACTATCCTTTGCATTTATATTAACAAAATTGACAGCAAACTTAGCACCTTTTAGATTATCAAAAATACAAAAATAATGAAGAATTGTTTTTCCAACTTGATCTGGACTTGAAATATCTGCTCCATTCTGTTGGAGAAAAACAATAGAGTCAAGCCATCCTTTAATTGCCAATTCAGTAATATAAGTTTCTCCATGTATGTTTCTGACTTCCAAATAGCCATTTTTAATGGCATATTTTGTAGCATCTAAATCATTTGCCCTTAAAATATCATTTAAGAGAGGAAAGAGATCTTTATAATAGCAATTGTTTGGATCTAATTTTTTGAGACGATTAATGTAATAATTGTCAATAATTTCATTTTTAATTGAAATAATTGGCTGATTTTCTGTTTGATTTTGTTCTATGTTTTTGTTTGATGGTTTAGGAATCTCGCTCTGGTATGTTTCTTGATTATGTTGTTTTTTTATTTCTGTGTTTTGATCATTAGATTTTTTGGAAGTTTTATCTGGAAAATTTTGGGCAGATGTTTGTAAATTGTTTTGTAATGATAAGTTAATTTCTTGAAGAAGGGGTATTCTGAGAAGTTGTGACAAAATTTGAAGAGTTGAAGAAGATTCGTGAAAAGTACTATTAGTATTGATATGAATGTTTTGAATTATTTCGAATATCTCTTGTGGATTGTAAAATTTTGGAAGATGATTTAATATTTCAGAAAACTGGTTGAAATTCAGCCTTGAATTAATCAATATGCTGCATATCTGGTCTTTAGTTCGTAATTGATAAAAGTCATCATCACGGCACCATTCATCTATATGAGTAGTATAATATTCAAAGTCAATATCCATAAAATTATTTTCATGTCATTTTTGACTAATAAAAATGTGTAAATTTATGACTCAAGATCACATAGTTTGTATTCGAAATGTATAATTATTATGATGGTAAAGCTTTGGGGTTCAAATTCCACCTTTGCATTGAACAGAATGATTTTTAAAATTTCATAAAAATATCTGAAATGTATTCAAAGGTGTAAAAATTTAAAAACATAACTTTACTTTTCCTTAATTCCACTAAAATAATCTTTGCTGAAAGTAATCAAAATTCTTTTCAAGTAATTATGATATTTTCTATCCTTACACTTGAATCTCGAGCACTTTTTTAATTGCCATTTAAAATTTCGATCCATTAGATAGGGATATAACAATGACTTTTGTTAGACATGTTACTGGGGGTCGTTTAGAGACGCTTTCCTAAAGCTGAGCACAAAAAATCTAGGAATTCTTCCATGGATTATTAGCAAAAATACAATCCTTCTTTAATTTTTTCATTTAAATAATTTATTTAAGCTTATATAAACAGTAGTATTCAAGGGAAGCAAATCGAACATAGGAAAACATTTCTTCACAAATATTTTGGATTTTAACATTTCTCTGTCAGAATCAAATATGGGTTTCTCAAGATGGGCCTAGCATCCCATGAATTTGCAATTATAGATTAATACTTTGAAACCTCTTATAATGAGATATGAAATAACTTTATATATATCCTAAATTGCCCGAATATCAGACCAGGTTCGGTATTCTCATTTAAGGATGCACTTACGCCTGCTTGACATCCTCTCAATTTTTTGACACTTAATATTAGTACCGAAATTCACCGTAAAATAACATTATTTTTCTTTTCTGATTTAAAAAATTATATGGTTATACTATGCTAAATAAAAATAATAAATAATTTCTGCAAAATCTTTATGATTTGAGTCTCAAATGTCAAAAACTTGTGAGGATGTCAAGTGGGCGTGTTAAACGAAATTCTCTTAATTTCATACTAAATGATTTATGTGAGTGTTAACGGCAATCTCCAGATTTTTTTTGAAAGCATTCTCAAAGTCATTGACGTAATTGGAAATCCCTAAAACAAAAAAATTTCATTTTTTCCAAATAAATATTACAAATGCACTTATCCGGATGTAAGATGTATCGAGATACTTCTAAACCAAGTTATACAAACCTTTATCATCTCGAATCTAAATCAATAAACAACAGACCTTTTTACCATTTGAATGTTTTTCAGATGCCATTATAAGTTTTATCACATCTGTAAAATCATTTTCATATGCATAAGATAGTGCAGTTTTGTTATGATAATCTCTTATATTTTTATCTGAGCCATGAGAGATGAGGATCTCTGCAATTTCTACAAGATTATTTATTGCTGCTAAGTGAAGCGGCGTATATCCATGCACATCTTGCTCATTGATGTTTGAACCATGTGAAATTAGTAATTCAACGATTTCTTTTCTTTCATTCTCTATTGCAATAAAAAGGGCAGTTCTACCTCGATTATCTTTTAAATTTACATCAGTACCATTTAAAATAAGAAGTTCTGTCATTTCTTTTCGAATTCCATTCGATGCCCAGTGAAGAGCAGTGTCCCCATTATTATCATTTGCATTTATATCAATACAATGTGTGATAAAAAATTCTGCTGTTTCTATTTTATTATTCATAGAAGCATAGTGAAGTGGATTCCATCCATTGCTGTCTTGTGAATTAATGTCTGCACCTTGAGAAATAAGATATTCTGCAATTTCATTATAATTATAATCAGCTGCAATATGAAGAGGAGTTATTCCCGATATTAAATCATCTTTTGCATTTATATCAGCACCATGTGATAAGAAATATTCACATAGAGATTGAATTCCAAAACAAGGAGAATGTGAAAAGAATCTATTGATATCATTTGTTTGATCCAAATAAACAAAGAACGCCTGAATATTATGGTATATACAACAATATTCTATTTCAATTTCTATATTATGTTCATTCATCAAGAAAGTAATAAAGTCAATATTGTGAGAAATAATTGCATATTTCATGCAATCATCATCAGGTTTCTGTTTTTTCAAACATTCATACATAATATCAGGATTTCCACCCAAAAATGAAAATTTTAGGCATTTAAGAGTGATATACGAGTTGAATTTTGATATCAATAATTTAAAACAATTAACTGCACCATGATAACAACATAATTCTAGCAAATTACACTCTAATCTATTCTCATGCGGATATAATGCACTATATAGGAGAGTATCTTTATCAAAGTCGGATCTTTCTGTGAATAATATAAATAATTCTATGTCATCATCCATAATTGCTCTGTAAATTGTTTTTTCTTCATGAATATCTAATGAATATATCTTGTCATAACAGTCATCATAATAATTTTTATCCCTTTCATTAAGAAGAATTCCATATTCTTTATGAACCAAAAATTTGAATAAATTAGAGATGCCATCGGGCTCTTTTGGTTGATATTCTTTAATAATCTTAATGAATAGAGAGTAATATGACTTAAAGTAACGATTGTTATATTCTGATGCAGTTGAAATCATACTTAATATCCGAGATATTGAAAAAATCTTAGTTTCAATTAGTTTGCTTTTAATATCATTGTAAATTCTGTTAAGTTCTTCTTCATCGAATGTATTTAGCCTATATATCAAATAGCATTGATCATAATAATCTTGGAACGTTTCCATGAGCTCATTATAATTGCATTTCTTCATGAAATTGATTTTAAATAAAAAGTGACATTAAGAATAGTTTGAATTACCTTCAGATAATGTATTTAACATTACAAAAACAAATTTACGCCAGCTCAATAAAAATATTATTTCAATAACATAAAAAATCAGCAAAAAAAGAGATACATTTTTAACAATAATGTTTAGTCTTAACAAAAATATTATTCAATTTTAAAACTTATCTGATAAAAATCTCCAAATGATAAGATCGCCAAAAATATCAGAATTATCTTTCAACTCTTGACATTTTTCAACAGTCTGTAGGACAATATCAAGCTTCGGTTTGAGAGTTCTCTGTAAAACTTCTTGTGCTTTATGAGGAATCGAGATTCTATCAAGAAGTTCAGGCATTGTGACAGCAGGGACTGCAGAGTTGTACATTTCTGTAAGATCGTTAATGCAGTTGTAGAGATAATCCTCAGATAATTCGTGGAAGTTGACAAAGTTGGCAAAGACTGGGAATGAATACTCATTGACTTCATCTAGAAGTTCATAGTATTCAATTAGCTTCAATCTGTTTTCTTTCCATTCTTTTTCGGTATTTTCAGCTAAATGCTTGATTCCGTCTTCATTTACTTGAATTCCTTTAGAATCATCGTAAATTTTTGCTTGTTTTTCAATAATTGGCTTGTATTCGTTATAAATTTCAGAATAAATCTTGGAAAATTTCGGAAGAATCTTAGAAACTTCGTAATAGAATTCACGAATACGGTCAATGGTAGACATGATTTCGGCAGGTGAAACGCCTTGACTATCCATCATTTCTTCGAACAAAAGAGGTGAATTTTCATCAATTGGATGTATTTCTTGAGAAATTTCTTGTATTTCTGATTTATGGTCGGATTTTGCTTGCTTTTCAGTTACGCAATAATCTTTCAACTTTTCTTGATAATTTTGTGCGATTAAATGAGGATTTGCACCGAATGAAAGTAAGAGATATACAAAATCTGTAAGGTTATTTTGTAGTACTAACTCTAAAGGATAAAGCTTTTGTGTGTCTGTTGTAATTGGAATGTTTGGTGAAATTCCATGCTTTAATAGCTCTTCTGTAATATCAAGGTCGTGAAGCATAATAGATGATATAAGTGGAGAGTTATCATTATCATAAACTTTAGTTGGAACACCTTTTTCAAGTAAATATTTTGCAATTTCTGTATTTTCGTATTGCAAAGCTTCGAATAACAGTGACTTGTAAAAAGAAATAGAACGTTCTGATATATTTTTGAAAGCGAAGCATCATTTTCGACAAGTAATTTTACCATTTCTAAATTCTGACGAATGACAGCTATGAAAATAAGTGGTGGATTTTCAGCTATATGCTGGTTAACATCATCCCCTTTTTCAATTAAGTACTTTAAAGTATCAATATCATCGTTATCAGCTGCTCTTAATGATAAATCAGTAAGAGGAGCACCATTTTCGATAAGTAACTTCATGGAGTCAAGCTTTCCATCTTCATAGCATATAATTGGGAGAGTTTTATCATAAAATTAAAATGAACGTCTTGAATTAATGAAGAATTATATAAAAATATGAAGGACTATATTCTTTACGTCATTGCCTGAGTCAATATACTCTTTAACATGATCGATATCTGTTGGAAAAGAAGTCATAATTAATGAAAAATTATTTTGTATGCGATAAAAAAAATTTGTGAAGGTAATTTTGAAAAATCAACATCGAGCGAAAAATAATGGCATAAAAAAAGGAAAACTCACACACTTAAGGATGTCAATTTGGAAGAAAAGTGAGAAAATTCCTAAAATGCTAAAAATGAATTTTCCAAACGTACTTTTTTATCTCATTTTTTTGATTTTGAAAAAAATTTGGAGAGAAGAACTCTTCGTTTTTGAATTTTGTCACGATGGTTTTAAAGTATATTAGACACATGTATTGATATTACTATTTTTGTATATTTTGAGAGAAAATCCCTAAAAAGTGAGAAAATCTGAGACGGTTTGAGAAAATATATAAACTATTGAAAATTTGAATTAAACTTCTAATTTGGAAAAAAGAAATTTGGAAAGAAGAAAATTCAAAAATCGAGATTTAGACTCAGTATCAAATGGAGAACAAAATGTTTCTTCATATGAAGGAAAAAATTTTCTTGAGAAGAAATAGAGTTTTTAAAATTTTATTGTATGTAATGAAATAAACAAATATTAAAATTATTTTTTGATAACAAGAAAATTCCCAACAGAAAATATTTGAGACAAAGAAAAAAAGAAAATTGAAAAATATTATTCTCCTTTACATTTCATGAGATTTTCAATTTATTTTCATAAAATTGACAATTTTATACGTTTAGATGAAAATAAGTGATTTTGCTTGAAATAAAAATTATTGTTTGTTTACAGCTATCAAATAGATTTTTGCTATTTTGATTAAAATTTGTTAATCAAATTAATAATTTTTTTTCTAAATATCTTAAATATCTGGATCACTCACTGATACGATGAATTAAACGATAAAAATAATACAAACTCAACTAAGTTTCCTGTCTTTCAACCAAAAAATATTATGCAATTTAAATTAAATTGTTTATTCAAAGATAAAACAAAGATAAAGTAATTATAATTATCATATACTTTATGAATAACTCTCTAATTGGATAAGATTTTCGTACAAATATTTTTATTAATATCGATAAGAATATGTTTACCTACTATCACCATATGTCGATAAACAAGAGTAGAGTGATTTTTATCATCAAAACTTTTTAAAAGCTGTAAGCAGGAAGTAATAATCTTGTTTTTTCTGAGTTAGTTGTAGAACTATTGATGCCCGAGTTATCATTGTGATGCAGAAGGATATCAATGTACTGACTGAAGGATATGAATTGAATTGAATTTTATTGAATTTCAATTTGATCAAAATTTGTTGAAATGATATGAATGTGTCAACTTCTGTATCATTCTCCTTCACTCCTTCCTTATTCTTTCGAGAACGAAGCTAGCTCAGCTTTCGCTGAGCGAATTGACACTTTTCATGCCCTAAACGTACATACTCTCAAATTTATCGAAAAAATTAATACCACCTAAACTAGTATATTCTTATTTTAAATATGATATTATCCTTATATTCCACACTAAAATTCATTTAAATCAACTTTTAAAAAAAGTTCGAATCCTGCGCGTCTCACTTTTTAAATTTTCCAAATGGAAAATTATATTCTCCAAAAGTGAAAACAATTTTCCAAATTGACTTCCTTACACACACATTTGATTTGATTGAAATGAAGATATTTTTGATGAAAGAATTTGAAATCTTAGAAATAGACTGTTATATTGGAAAAGGACAACATAACATCAGGATGGGCTATATGTATTCAGTGATATTCTTGTAAATGTACTCTCAAATTTTGTGTTTAATGTGTCTCACTGGCTTAAACACAATAATGGAGGTACTAGATATAAATCTCATTAAACTTTGAATATGGCCATTTCGGCTGGAAACATAATATCAAGATGTACTATATATACCCTCAAATTTTTACTTTTTCAATATCCCTGAGATCAAAACATTTTCATCAATGTTCATGTAAATGTACACCTAAAGATTTGATTGAGCTAAATGATCTGAGCGAAAAACAAAACAAAACAAACATCGAATCACATTCATATGGCACATATAAAAGGAGAAAAGAAGATATTAAAAGTCAAAATAAATTATAATTTTTCTAATGGATATTTCATATTATTCAAACAAAATTTTGGTATTTAGTGACTAGTTATTAACTTTAAGATCATGGTATTTATATGTAAGTAAAATATATAATATAATAAACAATAAAATGTGTTTAGAAAAGACCGAGTGCTAAGCCCTCGGTAAGTGAAAAGACAACAAATGGAGAATGATATCGATAGTTCTCTGGTTTCTTGCATGTGACAAATGTACATTCACGTATAGCATTGAAATTCAGATAACATCTTTTATAAAGATTATCGATGAATGCTTCTGTCTTATTCTCAACATCAACACCGCATATAAGCTTGATGCAGTTAGAGAATGTGTTTGGTTGAATATCGATGACTGATAGAGGAATGTTGATATGAGTCAGAGATGTACACTCTGAGAATGCATAGCGACGAATGTATTGAACAGAGTTGTCTGGGATAAGAATGTTGACAAGGTTCCTGCATTCGAGGAATGACCTGCTTCAATCTCTCGGATAGTTATCGGGACAGAGAAGAACTTGCATGGACAACCAGGAGGGAATACAACTAGAACTGTTTTGTTCTTATTGAAAAGAGCAAAATTCTCAACGGTGAAGTACATACTGTCATTACAAATGATTGTTGCAAGAGATTTGCAACCAGAAAACGCGGCAAATTTGATATTCATTAATGAAGAATTACTATCAATGATGAATGTACTGAGATTAACACAATTATGCAAACCATATTCTGAAATTGTATGAGTGTCACGTGGAACTGTGAATGTCTCGATATTTGTCCATTGAAAAGCATTTGAATTGATAGCCTGAATTGTGGGAGGAAGAATTAAGTTTCTTAGTTTGTATGCATTACTAAATGTATCTGTGTTAATAACAGTCATTGGAGGCTCTCCTAAAAATGTGATGTTTTCAATTCCTGAGTTATCAAATGCATTATTATAAATACTTTCGATTGTAGGAGGGATATCCAATGATTTCAATGAAGTACACTTTGAAAAGCAAAAATCTCCTATTGATGTTATATTTTTAAATATCACTGTCTTCAAATTTGTGCATCCTGGGAAAGATTTAGAAAGTGTAGTTCCTTGAGAACCTTCAAAAATTATTGTTTCCAAAGATGTGCACCCGCCAAAAGCGCTAAAATATATATTTGTTACATTTTTGAAATGGAGTTCAACTAAACCCGTACAACCGCCAAAAGCAGAATTATCAATTACTATTAAATTATCTGGAAAATAAAGAACCTTCAAAGAATGACAGCCCACAAACGCATAAATGGCAATGGTTGTAACTGTATTTGGAAAAATGAATTCTTGAAGATTATGGCAACCAAAAAATAATTCATAACCTATTGAACTTAATTGAGAATCTGATGTGAAATTAATTGTTTTAAGACCTGTGTACTCCTTAAAAACTCCAGCTGAAAATGATTTAACTGTTGAAGGAATTTGATAGCTTTCGAGATTACTGAGACGAGCATAAATATGAGTTTGATCAGTATTGTAAAGAAGGCTTTGATTATCACAATTAAATGGTGAGCCATCTTCAAATTCAAGTTTGATACCGAGATCGAAACTTGTGCCTTCAATAGATGTAACACTCTTCGGAATTCTGATGCTTTTTAGATTAGGGCAGTTACGAAATGCACCACCTCCTATGCTTTTGATATTTTCTGTGAAAATAATGTTTGAAATATTAGAAGAACTGAATAAACCGTTAGAAATAGATGTCATACCACTACCAACAATAACTGTGTTTAGATACTTACAACCCGAAAAAGCTCCATCTCCAATACTGACTAGTGAGTCAGGAAGGGTAATATTAACAAGACGTGTGTTTACAAATGCTAATCCCCCAATAGATTTTAATTTTGAATTGAATGTTATATTATTCAACTTCACACCTGAAAAAAATCTATCCGGTATTGATGTTATATTTTCAGGAACTACGAATGAAGTTATATTTCTTCTGAATAGTAAAACAAAGGAGGCTTTTCCTTTCGTGTACAATACAGATACATTCCAACAGACCCAAGCATTGTTGATAAGTTCTATCTTGAATACGAAGATGATGTCACAAAAGATATCACAACAATGATTGTTAGAATCAAACAGGTTTTCCAAGGTGTTAAATTAACATATTACAACAATGCAAACAAATTGGCAACTATTGATGCATACAAGAAATATTTGACTGATAGAAACAAATTCACTGTCATGTTACAATCAGATTTCAATCTTCCATCATTGTCTGCAACATGGGTTGGTGTTACAGATGGCTGTTTTTATCCACCAGAAACTAACCAATATAGATTCATTTCAAACCATGATGAAGGTTGCATGATTTACGTATCTGAGAATCCATTCAATGATGATATGGATCTCGATAAAAATCAACAAGTTTTATATTACAACGGTTACGGTGGATGGAACAAGAACAACGGTAAATTTGTTAATCTTATAAAAGATCAAAAGTACTATATCAGATTCATTATCAACAATATTGGTGGTTCAGGTTATGGTCAAATTGGTTACGTTCACAATTCAACAGATAGTATCAGATATCTTACTGCAGACAGAATCTGGTTACCTGGAGCTGTTCCTGGAGAAACAGATCAGAATCCATTCATGCCGAAGATAGAGAATGATCCAACATTAGGTATTTTCTGGGATAAAGAAGTAAGAATCAAATATCCATCAGATAATTTCAAATTATTGAACACTTTGCCAACAGAAAATCCAACAGCTAATTTAAGTGCACTTTTGTTTGATGGAGTCACATCAAACCAACAACAATCGAATGTAGTCCAAGAACTTCCAATTGAATATGATATTGATTTCGGTCAAGAACTTACATTTGATAGATTATACATGCCACAAGGAACAAAGGCAATCAACGGAAATGCAACAATTACATGTGATGAAAATGTTATTTATGATAATGTTTTCTCTTCAACAATAACATTTGATAGACCATATTATTACAGAAATGTTAAATTAACTATCAATTCAAATAGAAATGGAAACTACTCCTGGATTGTAGAAATCCAACCTATTTTGCTGAATTTTGCAACATCAAGGAATATTATTCCAGCAACACACACCAATTTCAAGATTATTGGTGATGGTAATTTGACAAAAGAAGGTTTGTATTATAACGGAAAAGGATGGAAATTACAAGAAAATGCAAATCTCACATTCTCAGTTGAGTTAAATGAAACAGGTGATAGCATCGGAATCATTGGTGATAAATCACCTTATGGTGGCAAATTTGATGTTTATCTTGATACAAAATACCATGGATCTGTTGATACATCTTATATCTTTGATGATATAAAGGGTAACTTAATTACAACTGCGATGTTCCAGCAACCTTTATATTCTATCAGAAATTTAGTCAACAAATCTAACCATGTTGTTTCAATGGTTGTGACATCCGGAAGTGTCGGAATTGCTGGTATTCTTGCTGATGGTAATTTGGTTCCAGTGGTTGAACCAACACCAGGACCAACACCTGATCCTACCTCAACATCAGAAGTTGAAACATCTTCATCATCTTCAACTGATTTTGAAACATCCTCATCATCAACATCATCATCAACAACTTCATCATCAGATGAAACATCTTCATCAACAACATCATCAGATGAAACATCTTCATCAACAACATCATCAGATGAAACATCTTCATCATCATCTTCAACTGATATTGATACTTCTTCATCATCAGCATTATCATCAGAAGTTGAAACAACTTCATCAACAACTGTTGAAACTTCTTCTTCTTCAGTTGAAGCTTCTTCACCATCAGTTGAAACATCTTCTTCAACTGATATTGAATCTTCTTCTTCTTCAACATTATCTGTTGAGAAATCACCTTCTTCATCATCATCTGTTGAAACACCCTCATCATTATCATCTGCCGAAACACTTTCATCTACTTCATCATTCTCTGTTGAAACAGCCTCATCAACAACATCATCAGTTGAAGCATCATCATCAGTTGAAACATCATCACCTGTTGAAACTTCTTCTTCATTTGTTGAAACGCCATCATCATCTTCTTCATCTGTTGAAACATCATCATCTGTTGAAACTTCTTCTTCATCTGTTGAAACATCATCATCTGTTGAAACATCATCACCTGTTGAAACATCATCACCTGTTGAAACGCCATCATCAATAGCATCATCAATAACATCATCAGTTGAAACATCAATAACATCATCTGTTGAAACATCAATAACATCATCAGTTGAAACATCAATAACATCATCAGTTGAAACATCAATAACATCATCTGTTGAAACATCAATAACATCATCTGTTGAAACATCATCATTTGTTGAAACACCATCATCAACAACATCATCTGTAGAAACATCATCATCTATTGCAACTTCTTCTTCTTCATTTGCTGAAACACCATCATCTTCTTCTTCATCAGTAGAAACATCTTCTTCATCATCTTTCATAGAAGTTGAAACACCAATGCCAACACCAGTTGTTGAAACTCCTCAACCAGAAGTCCAAACACCATCTCCAACAAATTCTGATATTTCTCCACCAGAACTCCCAATCCCAACTGCAACACCAGAACAAAATAATAATGATAATCTTGTTGATAGAAATGGTAGCAAGGCTGCATCCCTTGGTATCGCCCTCGGCATTGTAGTTCCATTAGTAGTCATTTGTATTGGTGTTGTTTTATACTTCATCTTCAGACATCGCAAAGGAAAATCCTTTGAAAGGCTTGACAATGAAGATGAAGCTGCAATTGATCTTTAATTATTATTCCAAAACTTATATTATTTTGTAAGCATAATATTATAAAAAGTCAAACTTTAATACTAGTAGAAGCACTTTTTTACTACTTCACCGACATTTGTTGAAATTTATATTATAATAATTTGGGAAGAAATAAAAGTTGTATTTTGACTAAATTTCTTTTTTATATTATTATTTTGATTACCACATGTGTTGATACTTCATTAAATTGATTTATCTTTAAAATATTTAAAATTATTTATATGATTTTGATATTATTTTATAATACTTCAATAAAATTATTATATTTTTAACCATAAAGTCTGCTTTTTTTCAATGAAATTCTTTATCGGAGATAAGAAGAATAAATCAAAAATTAAATTGAGGAGAATTTTTCCTAAATATAGATCTGCAATTTTCCCAAATGAACGGGGTGGATAAGATCCCAGCCCTATCGTCATCCCAGTGTCAATTTTACAAAAAAAATTCTTAATAAAAAATTTTTATTAAAAAATTCTTATCTTTTTTCATTGAAATTTAAATAATAAAATAAATTTGGCTGTAAAAACCATCAATTATTATAATTCTTATCGAAACACATGTAGAAAAACACTTATCTTTTATACTCTTTCTATTTGAAACCTGTTTAGTTCAGTAATTAATAATAAAAATTGTGAAAATAGTGACTATTTAACTAAAAATATATTAAATGATGTAATAATGAGATATACATATATTTTTACGAATTATAATTAGAAATTATTCTGGTCTGGGAATCCCAACCCAAAATCATTGAAAATTTGAATATATGGGATGGGCTACCCATCCCAAAACTATATTGAAATTTTTGAATTGATAATAAATGTATCTATATCTAAGGTATATTAGAGAATTTTTAAAAATTATGCATTAAAAAATTGAATTTATTCAAAACAAATTGAGAATAAAAATGCTTAAGTAATCACTTCATTATTTCAACAATGATTGATGCAGTACCGACGTACTATAAAGACATTGAGGTCGGTACTAAGCATCAGTATCTTAGATATAAAAAACCAGGCGACAAGTACGGAAAATATTATGTTAAATGCAATGAACTAGTAAAGCGTCCTGACGGAACTATATGCCACTGTGCAATGGAAGAAATGCGTGAGGATCATTTCAAAAAATGGATCCAAAACAAACGGCACATATGCACACCAGGAGAAGTAGCATCACAACAAACAATCGATCAATACTATCAAAACGTCCCAGCAACAGGGCTTACACCTATATCGTTAGGGGATATCTATGAACAGCTTGCTACATTTACTGGAAGATTTAACTTGGCTCTGAATACCTTCTCAAGCCCAGAGTTTACAAAGCTAGTTAAAACCATTATAATGTATACTGCAGACTCGATGATATTGAAGTTCCCACAGTTACACAATGTTAACATCAATGTTGATAAACTAGCTTCTCAAATATACCAGCCTATTTCAACTGACAAACTAAGGCAAACAATGATACAAATTGCAAATTCAATCCATGTTGCAAAAGTTGATGAGTTTGCTAAGCTTGCCTGTACCTGTGTTGCCATTGATGAGGGGAAGACTCAGCAGTTTCACAATCTGGACTTCTCCCTCACAAATCCTCTGCAAAGCAAGCGGCCCTATCCTGTTGAGTCAATCCAAATGAATGGTGGAACATCTGAAGATTATAACAGAATCTTCATTAGAGATGTTAAGATCAGCAGTGTAGTTTGCGATGGCAATAAAGCGCAATTGAAATGTTTTCAGAAAGGATGGAATCAATCGTTCTACAACTCAAATGACCCAAGGTTATTCAAAATCTTGTTTATCCCGTGTTTATGCCACAGGATTCATAATTGTTATCAATATATGACAACAAAAGACGTAGCATTAGGAGCAATTGTGAAACATATCCACGAAATATCAGCTCTTTGTAGAATCCATGTTGAAGACATCGGAGCTCTCTGTCCAAAGCATGTATCCACCAGGTGGATCTATGATTATAATATTTGTATGTTTATTATCAAGTATCAAGACAAAATTTCAAGATATACGCGTATTGATATTGAAAACATCAAGTTCTTAAGAGACTGCTTGGCAATTCTCAAGAAGCTTATTTCCACGTTCGAATCAGATAAAACCAAGATATCTGATTGCTACGTATGGCTTTGCAAGGGTATTGAAGCACTCCAATACCTTTCCAGCAGCAACAACAATCCTTTTGCTGGAATCCTTTCAAGATCGTTGTTGAACTATACCCTTGGATCGGACTTTGGAGGTCTTTGGTGCTTAGCCTTCGCTTTTACACCGAAAGGTAGGTATTATTTCAACCAAAAATTCGTCCACGGAGCGCAGATCAACGAATCTCCGGCAATTAATTCATTTGATATTACAAACGTAACTTTCGTTAATCCAGTAGAAGACATTCAATCTATCTATATGGACTCTATCTTTGAAGAAGGTTCGACTGAAGTTTCTCTTGATATGGTTGAGGAGGGATCAATTCGTCAGGTAACTGCTACAATTGACCCTCCTATGCTTGATCTCGCAGATGTAACATCTAGTTCAAATCAGCCGGTTAACCATTTTGTTGCAGCTAGGCAGTATCTCAAAAGTATTTTGGAACAATTTCGTATTCCGGGTCAAACAATAACAGATATTATTACACTATTTAACACGTATATTAATAGTGATAATGATATCTTCTCTGATGATATGATTCAAGAACGTCAAGAATACGGTTGGGAAGAAATCTCTCATAGAGATGGCAATGTATCAATCTTTGCAGATATCGCCCTTCGTGTTATCTCCGCTTCACCTTCAGAAGCAACATGTGAGAGAACAATAAAAGACCAAAGATTGATACTAAATTTGAAAAGATTACGTTCTCACAAAATTTTATTAGATAGCCGAGAAATTTTAATGGCTACAAAATAAATAAATTGTTTTATATTTTATCTGTTCAATATTTATCTCATATAAAAATTTGAAATACTTAATCAAAATTTCTATGTGTTTGTTTGAAAGAGATCGATAGCAATTCATATATCTTTTGAATTTGCTAATTGTGGTGATGGTACTATTATTATTAATTTTTTATTTTTATTTTTTTTTTTTTTTTTTTTTTTTGATAATATACTATTTAGATTTATACATTCATTCAATATTATGAAATAAATATTTCTAAATTGATCTGATTAATTTTTCATTAAAGTTTATATTATCACCAAATAAATTTTCGAACCCTTAGAGTCATAGTTCAATGGTAAGAGTCATAGTATAATCGTAAAGTCCATTGGTTCGAATCATGGGGATTTTCACACTTTTTTCTTTTTTAAAATTTCAGAGGTTTATTTTTAAGGTTCTCGCTGGCGACCCCCGTTCGTCGAAAAAAAAATTTTTGCTGGCGACCCCCCAATCACCAATTTTTTTTCGACGAACGTGGGGGTCGCCAGCGAGAACCTTAAAAAAAACAGAATCCCAAAAAGGTGACATTTTGGGTGTATCGTCTATCCCAGGGATAGAAAAATGACTTCACCTTGGATCTATAATTCCTAAATGTTAGTCACCGTTACGGTTTTTTCTTTGGGTGGCGAGCTTGCGAGCCCCCCAAAAAAGAAAAAACTGTAACGGTGAGCTCACATTTCGGCATAGTTTAAGTCTAGGTTTTGCATTTTAAAATGTTTGTTACCTTATCTTCTTTCAAAAAGTGGCAAAAATTTGTTTGAAATTTGAAAAAGATATTTATATTTGCATAAATGACATTCAACTAAGCTGTAGCATGATTCTTTTGCATGCTCTAGTTTTTTTCTCAGTTCAATCTCCTTCCATACTCTTGCTTTTACCAGTAAGATCGCACCAAAATTCTCAAAATTTAAGATCTCCAAATTTTATGTCCAACTCCAATTATCAAACGCCCTCATTAACGCCACTCATAGCCATCTTTCATGCATGAGAAATCGTTATGAGAAGATTTTTTACGGCTAATTATCTGATTCAATTCAGATCAATACTCAAAGCCCCATTATTTATTTATAAATCCTTGTTTGTCGCCTATGCGAATAAAAATTATTTTTATATTTTAAACAATTTTTTTCACTTTGGAAGGAGAAAGGTGACTAACATTTTAAAAATGCAAAAACCGACTAAACTATTTTAAAATTTTTTTACAAACAATTCATAATTCAAATTATTGTTTTATCTTCTACGAAAATGGGCGACTCTGAGAGGAACTAGATCAAAACTTGTTGGGCGAATAATATTGCAAGCTGATTTATTAATTTTTGATGTTTCTAACTCACAAAGTTTTGAGTCACCGAATTCATCTGTAACATATGCTTTTGAACCACTATCAAATGCATCTTCTGAACAGGAAAATCCAATTGAACAATAATGAATATTTTTGATTCCTGTTTCATGGAAAGCCTTTGATCCAATATGCTTAATTTTATCTGGAATTATTAGCGAATGAAAAAATCTGCATCTATAAAATGCTAAATTCCCAATTGAAGAAATATTTTTAAGAATTCTACGATCAAGATTTATGCAATTATAAAATGCTCGCTCGTTAACAGTAATCCCATCCATGTTGAAACGTACTGTTTTCAAACTTGTACAATTTTCGAAAAGAGAAGCGCTGATTACAGATTCATAAATTGCGGCTGATTCAAGATTATTGCAATTAGAAAATAAGGATTCTGGATTTGAATCTGGCAATGAAACTACTTCTTTGATATTTTTTCTAACATCTGAAAACATTAAATCAAAATACTGTTTTTTAAAATCATTAATATTAGATATTGTTATTTTGATAACATTTGAACATTCAAAGAAAACGCTTCCATCTACAAGAGGAAGATAATTAAATCTAATCTCTCGAAGATTTGGGCAATTTGAGAAAGCATTTGATTTGATATATCCAATAGAATTGTTGATTTCCAATACTTCAAAATTGCATTTTGAAAAGCATGAATTTCCAATTGTTACATTTCTCGATTTTCGCGAGAATTTAATTTTTGATAAACTACTACAATGATAAAAAGCATCATTTGAAAGTCCCATTAAATTTGAATGAAACTTAACTGATGTGAGAAATGGGCATCCAAAGAAAACGCTTGAATTGATACTAGTCAATCTACATCTATTTTTGAAAACAACTCTTATCAAATTAGAACCCAAAAAAGCTTCAGATCCTATTGACTCAACATTTGTGAAAGTAATTTTCTGGAGTCTACAATTTTGAAAGATCTGCCTGCCACAGTTTTTGGGCCGCTAGTGAATGTAATATTTGTTGCATAACATTCTTCAAAGGCACCATAGTCAATACTATCCACTTCCTTAAATTCAATTTTTTGGATATGGCACTGGTAAAATGCATATTCACTGATTGAAATTACTTCACTTTTTATCTCTAGAGTCTGCAATTTGCTCATCATCGTGAAACAATAAGGGCCAAGTATTCTAACATTATCTGATAATTTAATATATGTTAAGCCACCAGTTGCTGCAATTACCTTACTACCGTCATTGTTATAAATAACTCCATCTTTTTCAGTATAACCATCTGGTATTTTTGATTCAAATCTTGTCAAATTACTTGAGTATTGAAATCCTGGATTTGGAAAAGAATTAACTGTACTAAAGTTAAAATAATCGGATGTTCCTTTACTCACATATAGCAGAGTTTTATTATGAATAATAAATCCATTTTCCCTGCCAATACTTTCTTGAGTATCAAAATTCTGTATATTTGGGCATCCTGCAAAACTATTTGCATCTAAATTACAATTTCTTCCAATAGAAATTCTATTAAGGTTAATAGATGGATTGAATGCATTACCTTCAACGGTTGAATTATCTGGAATGGCAAAAAATGAAATTTTAGATCCATAAATTGCAAAGGAATGGATTATTAAATTGTATATTCTCGGTGTTTTAAATGCAATATTGAATAAATGTGAGTCAAACGCTATTGAATTATTCTCGATTTCTTTTAACGTATCTGATAAAATTAATTGTTTGATATTTGAATATGAAAATGAATGTGGTTCAAGTTTTTCTAGAGCTGATCCATTTTCAAACTCTATTATATCGATGTTTGCATCATAAAAAGCTCCTTCTTCAATTTTATTAACAAATCGTGGAATAATCAGTTTATCCATTTTCTTTAAAAGGTGAAATGAATGGCCCTTGAGTGTACTAACTGTATTTGGAATTGTAAAAATTTCTAAATTCACAGGAACTTTGTAAATTTCGGATTTAACAATATTATACAAAACTGAGTTTTCCACTGCAAAATGGGGATTATTTATATCAACTGTTATAATTGTTAAAGATGAACAGTATCTGAAGGCTGTTTTTTGAATTGATGAAACACCTCTTGATAAATGAATCGAAACCAGGTTTTTGAAATTGAGGAATGCATGGTCACCAATTTCGATTTGGGCGTTCTCATCAAATATTATATTTGTAATTAAATTAATATTATATGAAGCCGTTATTAGTTCAGGAATCAATTTTCCACTTGATGATATTGTCAGTGTGCCATTGTCAAAGTACAATTCTGGATCAGCTAAAGCAAAACTTACAAAAAGCAGAGATAACATTAATAATTGTAAACTATTGAGTATTGAAATTATTGTGATAAATTGGCAAAAAAATTGAATGTTAAATGGATAACTTATTGAACGGTCCATAGAATTAATGCCTAATTAAAGAATATGAAGAAATCGGATTTTTTTAAGAGTCTATTCAAAATCTCTAAATGGCTAAAAAGTGACAATATTCAATTTCCAGAAAAACAAAGACCTCCAATTTAGTTAAATGCTTAACCTACAGGAAGATGAATATCACAATTCTATTGGAAATAATATATTATGGTTTAACATTAAAATAATCAATCCCAAACGTATTAATATTAATCAAATTTTGGTTTTTTATTTGATCTAAGCAATATTAGTTTTGAACATTAAGATATAATTTGATTTATACTCATTGAGTTAAGTGCCGCATTCTAATTCTTGTGGATAAAAAAATTGGAATCATTTACATCGTATTTTCTTCCATTACAAGACATGAAAATAAAATTTTGTATGGTATATAAGATTAAAGCTGTTTATTAGGCGAATTCCCTATTAATAATATCCCCCAAATATTGTATTCTGCAATTAAGTTTCTTAACATGGGTATTTGTATAGCGTGCTTTGACCCTAAAAGAGAAACTCTTTAAAATGAATAAGAACAAGTTAATTTTTCTCAAATTTACCATTTTTTTGCAGTGTTTTACCGACAAATATTGTTCAATATAAATTTAAATCATAATTTTAAAGTAAAACATTCTTTTTATAAAAGCTGTTTTTTTCGAGAACTTTACAAAAAATGCTTGAGCCTGAAGAAGTTGAAGAACTGCTTAAAGTTTTCGAAAAATCTGCAAATGTTAAAAATACATTCTTGCAGGCCCAGCGTTTGATATGGGAAAAGTCTATTTTCCCCTCCAGATTTGTGCCATGTTCTGCATTTATGTGCGCTACATGCCAAACAAAGCCTAGAAATTTATCAATTTGTCTTTCTTGCGGAAATATATTCTGTTTAGAACACTTTGCTGACCACCCTTGCAGCAATCCTTTTGGAATTGATATTCAGACTCAACAATTATTTATATATACTCAGGAGCACGGTCGTAGATTCATTTTCAATGCACTTATAGATCGTCTTATCGTATCTGCGAAGCTTGCAGTTGTTGATGGCATGCCAATGACTTCAAATCTTGATCCACCGACAGCAATTTTACCAAAACAGCGTACACCTTTGCCATTACAGAATCTTGGCAACACTTGCTGGCTAAATTCTATTTTACAATGCTTTATGGCTCATCCTTTGATCGAAAAGTGGTTTTTATCGGACAAATATAAGCTCGATGATATCGATACGCCAATTGCAGCCGTTCATAAAATGCTTTACAAGATGATGCTTGCTACAAACGGCCGTGGCAGCTTTTCAATATCAGATTTTCTCTTCTGCATTAATGCATTATATCCAGATCTTAGCTCTACCGAACAGAAAGATTCTCAGGAATTTTTCATGCGTCTTAGAACTTCTCTTGATGACTTTTACCAACAAAAATTCGAATCTCATGACTTTGGCGATATTTTCAATTGGAGATTCCATATTGTTGAGAGTTGTGAGTTCTGTGACCAAACGCAAACCCATATTGACCCAGAATCAATGTTAATTATTCCAATTGCTACTTCCAACTCATTAGAAGAGGCCATCTCCCAATTCCTTTCCGGTGAAAGCCCAATGACATGCCAGTCCTGTGGACATTCTGCTAAGAAACAATACTTTTTCCACACATTACCTCAAACTCTCTCAATTTGCCTTGTTAGAACAACAAATGAATCCAGAAACATCGCTAATATTAAGATACAAGAGATTTTAGACCTAGACAGATTCGTAGAACCTGAATTAAAGAGAACAATCGACGGAGCAAAGTATTCTTTGATTTCTACAGTTGTAAGACCTAAGACAGGTGACTTAGGACACTTCTGGGCTAACGTTAAGAGGAATGGTCGTTGGTTTACTTGCAATGATATCACTATTAAGTCGATTGATGTTCAAGATGTACTTAAGGAAGATGTTTACATTCTGTTTTACATAAGAAACGGTTTTGTATCTCGAAAGTGAAAAAATTAATTGTTTTATATTGGAATATTTATATAAGTAAATTATTTATAATTATTATTCAGATATTATTTGATACTTTTTTCATAGGAACCTTGTAGATTCATACTTTGTCTTTATTTTATATTTGTCGATCAAAAATAAAATTTTCGAATTTAGATTGCAACCAATTGATGATTTTCTATTTACACTTACTTCGAAATTATTTATTAATAAATGGAAATCCAAATAATTTTTTGAATGAGTCTTTCCAAAATTATTTCCGTAAATATCTGAATTGTGAAAATAATTTTATATCAATCACGGAATTATTATTGTACGAAAGTGACAAATGCTAATATTCCTCTCTTTTCTCGGGTTGGTAAGGTCAGAAGATTGGCCTACACCATCTCCATCATGGAATGTACCTGATTATCCTCCGGAGTGGCCAACGCAATCACCAGAATGGCCCCCAGAGCAATACCCAAAACCTGATTGGCCAACACCAACAGAAAAATGGCCTGATACTCCTATTTATCCACCAACTCCAAGCAAACATCTTACAGCATTTCAAATTGCAATGATTGTCGTTGGAAGTACTGCTGGACTTGCAATTATTGTTATTGCTGTTATTCTTATTATAAGAAAGAGGCCTCATAAGAAATCTCCAGAATATCACAATCCTAATTTCTCAACTCCAACAGATTCTTTATTACAAAATACGGACGAATTATAATTATAATTTTTTAACAGCCAATTTAATTGGTGCTATTTGTAGTATTTCTTTAAAATTATGTGTATTTTTTCATTATTTTTTACTTAAGGTTATTATAATTTTTTTTATTTCATAAATAATGTAAATATGGTTGTTTTAAAAGCTGTTTTATTGCACACTCTAATATTGGGTCATTTGTATTTCTTATCACTCAAATCTAGTTAAATCAAATGAGAATCTCTAAATTCTCACTCATAAATCACCTTTTATCTCACATGCATGATCTATGTACCACTGGTATGAACATAAACTCATGTGAACCTTGATTTGAGTAATATCTTATATGGGTCTAATGACTTTATAAGAATTTCTCATGGCTTTGTTATACTATATTAAATTTGAAAACACTGTCTTGTATATGAGCTCTTGATGCCAATTCTCATATCACGTATTTTATGACAAAAAATCATTCAAAACATGATCGGTATCTCTCAATCTCTGACAAATTGGCAAATATTAAGAAGCAAATTTCATGAAAAAAGTTCGTTGATAAAAAGTAAATTTTAATTTCATAATAAAAAAATAATGAAAGATTAGTTTTCATTGAGGTTGTCAAAAGCAGATGGGTCGACATAATTAACCTGCTTAGCTTGTTCTTCTTTGTGCTTCTTAACGCACTTGCAAATAACGACTGTAACGATAATGATGATAATAATAACAATTGCAAGAGACAAAATAATTCCAATCCACTGTTTCGCCTTATTTGTATCAGGTTCAGGGGAATAGAATGTTGTAACAAGACCGGCTTGCCATCCGATAGGAACACCGTTAATTTGTGAATATCTGAAGACTTGATCGTTTTCCAAATTGAAACCAAATTTAAGTATACGAGCCTGGAGAGACATCTCTAAGCAGTCTTGAGCGAGGTATTGTTCTGGGATGGAGGTTTTGCGCTTAACATCTTCGAGAGGTAAAGCGCAGTATTTATCTGCAGCTGTAATGAAATCATCGAGGGTAATATTCGAGAAATTGGCCATCTCTGGGATTGTGTCCTTCAAACTTTCGAATAAGCCTTCGAAGTTTGAAGTATAAGAATCTCCGGTTGCATAAACAGGTGTTGATGGTAATTTAGGTCTTTCGATCTTGTTAAAGAAGTAGCCTTCTTTATAGCCGTAGTATTGTTCGAAAATAAGGGTCTGATCGTTGATTGTTTGATTGCAAGCTGTATAATTTCCTTCTCCCTTAATTGAAATGAAATCGTCTTCATCGGATTGATATCCTGTGAGGTAGCATGACGAGTTTATAAAAGCTTTGCCTGCAAGGCTTGCAGATGAAAGAGTGTAGTTATTTATAAGGGATTTTGTGGAGAAAGCTGGATATGTAAAGACCCAAATAACATCCTTATGGGTTCCATATGTAATGGTATCAGAAGAAAGGAGGCCATTACTTTCTTTTGTAGCGACGAAATTATTTCCGCCAGATAAGCCTATAACTGTCTGAACTGAAGTATCCTTTGAAGCTATATTGACTGTAACATAAGTGTAGATTGCCTCGGATTTAGCAGAAAGTGTTGTAACTGTTTCATTTGTTATATTAAATTTACATTTTTGTTTAATGTAATTGTATGTATTATTTTGTACCATGTATCTATCTTCTATATCAAGATCTCTCATTAAAGATGTTCCGGCGACGAAAAATGGAACTGTTGAAAGACCTACAAAATTATTTGAATCAGTATTGATGATTTCTTCAGCCTTTGGGCAAAGCTCATCGAAAATCTGGCTAATAACATCGAGATTGTAGTACGCATTAGCTAAAGTACCTTTAGATGTGTAAGTTTGATTGACGAGCTTGATATCAAATGATGTTTCATTTTGAGTTGTTTTGAAAACATATAACTTTGAATTTGAGCCAGCGTCAACAACTACGTTATATGTTGAAGATAGTGCTAAAGTTGAAAAAAGTGGAAGCATTGGATTTGTCAATTTTTGTAAATTGAGATAATTGAGATAAAAATCTTGTTGTTTTATGGATTATTCTTAAAACATGATTGAATTAACGTATGCAATACCGTTATGATATTTTGATTGACAAAATAGCAAATTTTCATTAAAAACTATTTGGAGGAATCGTATTTCTGCTTTAAAGAAACATTCTCTTCAGAGGAAGCATTCAACAAGCGTTTGGGCAAGTTTGTGGATCATTGATAGATAATTCCACATTGAAATATTAGCAATTTGGAATTTATTTGTATTTATAAAAAAATTCATTATTGTGGAGTACATAATAATTGTAAGTTATTCGGTTCGTTTATATGAGTACGCCCTAGAATCAAGTCTATCTTAGTTTCATGAAAAATGATCGATCAGATTTTTCGCATGATAGGGTATAGTTAATGTGGGTATGTTAAAATATAAAAATATATGTTTTATTCTTCAATATCGAAAAAAAAATGTGAAAAATCATTGAAAATTGATAAACATTTGCAAACAACGTTTAACAACTATTTGTAGTTATTGGTGGTATTAATTAGATTTCTATAATTGATTAATTAATCCAAAATCGAAAGTCTTCAAGATATTCTGATTTTAGATATAAATATTCGTCTTTAATAGCTTAGTATCTTTGTACACATGAAAATGTCTCGTTGCAGATGATAATTTCGTTATTCTTGCCGATAAATTTGCAAAAATTAAAATTATCTATTAAAAAACTTGAGAATTAACAAGAAATCAGTCAATCATTATTCGATTTCATTTAGTGCTGTGCAGGTTTCTTCTTAACTTCGTCTAGGAAATTACTAATTGAGGTTTCTATTGAATTAAGTGCAAAAATTGCATTGTATTGGGTAACTCTTGCTTTTTCATCTGGAGATACATCCCAAGAACATCCGAGCATGTTAAAAATATCTTCCAATTCTTTAAATACTTCTGAATACATTTTTTCATCTTCATAATTGATTTGCGACTGTTGTTGGTCCTGCTTTTCTTCAAGAGCTTCAAGTTGTGTCTCAAGAGAATTTGCTTCTTCCTGTAATTTCTTCTTTTTCTCATTTGTTTCGAAAATAGAACTGAATAAAGTATTATTTTCTTGTTCAAGTTTTTCTGCTTCAGCAAATATCTCATCAAAACTTTTAACATGAAGAAACTCTATTGCTTTATTCAGTTTATCTTGATATACATTAATACTATTTTGAATTGTTTCATTTTGGTTTGCTTGGTTATCTGACTGTCTGCGAATTATTGCACGCTTCATATCTATTATTTTTGATAGATTCTCGAGTTCTTGTTTAACCATTTTTTCATCTTTTGAATCAATCGATCCAATATGCAATCCTTCGCTTTTTTCTTTATACATTTGAATAAAATTATCAGTACTTGACTTTGGAGTAGCATACTTTGAAACTTGCTGGCTCTGTTCTTGAATTTTCAATTTCTTTGCCTTAATTTCTTCTAATTGAAGTTGTTTTGCTGCTAATCTAGCAGTATTTTCGTTATATTGTTTTAAGTTATTCGCTAATTTCATTTCAATTTGTGATATTTTTGATATTAATTCATTTTCTTTTAAAATAAGTTTATCATTTCCACTCCCTGATCTTAAATTGATAATACAATCATCTAAATATTTGTATTTTGTTTCTTCTGAAGATAAATCTGCGGAATATAGCTGTAATTGATTTTGTAATCCTTTTATTGTCCTTTGTAATCGATCTAAATCTGTTGATTCAGTAATAATACTTCGACTTGATGATACTTCTCTGCTAGAAAAATGTATTGATGATTGCTTATTCTCGTTATTTTTATTTATTGAAGCAAGAAGGTCTCTTCTCATGTTAAGGATGATTTCGTTGCTTGGGAAGTCTAACCTCTTAAGCCTCTGCTTGAAATCTTCCGGTGATGTATCATAATACATCTGGAATTCTAAAAAAAATGAATTTTATCACAACATCATAAGGATGTCAATTTGGAAGAAAAATGAGAAAATTCCTAAAATGCTAAAAATGAATTTTCCAAACGTACTTTTTTATCTCATTTTTTTGATTTTGAAAAAAATTTGGAGAGAAGAACTCTTCGTTTTTGAATTTTGTAACGATGGTTTTAAAGTATATTAGACACATGTATTGATATTACTGTTTTTGTATATTTTGAGAGAAAATCCCTAAAAAGTGAGAAAATCTGAGACGGTTTGAGAAAATATATAAACTATTGAAAATTTGAATTAAACTTCTAATTTGGAAAAAAGAAATTTGGAAAGAAGAAAATTCAAAAATCGAGATTTAGACTCAGTATCAAATGGAGAACAAAATGTTTCTTCATATGAAGGAAAAAATTTTCTTGAGAAGAAATAGAGTTTTTAAAATTTTATTGTATGTAATGAAATAAACAAATATTAAAATTATTTTTTGATAACAAGAAAATTCCCAACAGAAAATATTTGAGACAAAGAAAAAAGAAAATTGAAAAATATTATTCTCCTTTACATTTCATGAGATTTTCAATTTATTTTCATAAAATTGACAATTTTATACGTTTAGATGAAAATAAGTGATTTTGCTTGAAATAAAAATTATTGTTTGTTTACAGCTATCAAATAGATTTTTGCTATTTTGATTAAAATTTGTTAATCAAATTAATAATTTTTTTTCTAAATATCTTAAATATCTGGATCACTCACTGACACGATGAATTAAACGATAAAAATAATACAAACTCAACTAAGTTTCCTGTCTTTCAACCAAAAAATATTATGCAATTTAAATTAAATTGTTTATTCAAAGATAAAACAAAGATAAAGTAATTATAATTATCATATACTTTATGAATAACTCTCTAATTGGATAAGATTTTCGTACAAATATTTTTATTAATATTGATAAGAATATGTTTACCTACTATCACCATATGTCGATAAACAAGAGTAGAGTGATTTTTATCATCGAAACTTTTTAAAAGCTGTAAGCAGGAAGTAATAATCTTGTTTTTTCTGAGTTAGTTGTAGAACTATTGATGCCCGAGTTATCATTGTGATGCAGAAGGATATCAATGTACTGACTGAAGGATATGAATTGAATTGAATTTTATTGAATTTCAATTTGATCAAAATTTGTTGAAATGATATGAATGTGTCAACTTCTGTATCATTCTCCTTCACTCCTTCCTTATTCTTTCGAGAACGAAGCTAGCTCAGCTTTCGCTGAGCGAATTGACACTTTTCATGCCCTAAACGTACATACTCTCAAATTTATCGAAAAAATTAATACCACCTAAACTAGTATATTCTTATTTTAAATATGATATTATCCTTATATTCCACACTAAAATTCATTTAAATCAACTTTTAAAAAAGTTCGAATCCTGCGCGTCTCACTTTTTAAATTTTCCAAATGGAAAATTATATTCTCCTAAAGTGAAAACAATTTTCCAAATTGACTTCCTTAAACATCATTATTACAAAAGGCATTGGTATGCTATGGTTATGTGAGAGAAATCAATTTTGTAAACATTATTCGTTTTTCTAAGGATTATGAAAAAATTGAGAAGGCATTTGAGCAACCTTTAGATTTTTTTGTACGAAGATTTTTGTATGAGATGCAGAGGAACGGCTTTTTCTTTGCACTGATATTGAAAGATATTCGTACATCCTCCGCAACTCTCAACTCAATCTGTAATAATGTTTCCCCTTCTTCAGATTTTGCTTATAAAATTTCGGCCGGAGAACCAAAATGTTTGTTAACTTCATCTGGATTCTTCTTTGGACAAAATTTAACGCTAACCGGTTATTATCTCCCCAGCGATTCCCTTGAATACGAAGACATCGGATCAACTGATAACGCTGTGCTAATTCTTTTTGAGAGTCAGATCGGATACACTGTTATAAAATCATCAACAACGCAAATTATACTTTTTGTACCTTACGAATATACAAAGATTTGTCCAAATAACAAATCTGTAGTTGCACAGATTTATGTAACAACATTTTCGCACCTTACAATCAAGATAACTCAGACAAGTAATATTTGCGAAGGTCTGCTTGCAATTTCAGCTTCTTCGATTATATTAAATTATACAAATCCAAATTCAGATATATCAATATCGTATTACAGTAAATCATCTTATATGGATGAAAAGTCATCTCAATACGACGGTGGAGGAATTTATGATAATTATGCTGATATTGCTATAGATAACAACGACTCTGCCACACGTGTTATTGGAGTTACAGTTCAATTGAGAGAAAATAAGCGAATTCCTCAATTTCTTGGTATTATGCCCCAAGCTGCTGGTATTTATACCGCAAGCGATATAACGAATTCAAAAATCCCTGAAGCAGCATTTGACAATATCCCTGGGGTTGTTTCAGATGATGATAAATATTCAAAACCTGATTCTTTGTTGACTATTGCGATAATTATTTCTAGTATAGGTGCAGCCATATTATTAATTATATTGATAATTTGCTGCTGTCGTAGAAGATCAAGAATAAGGAGAAGAATTAATTCAAAGAAGAATTAATCGAATTTACCTTTATTTTATTTGTTTAATCATATTTGTTTGTATAAATATATTAATGTTCATGAATTTACACATATATAACATCTCTCAAGGCCAAAAATACGAAATTGAGATTTTCATTCAATTTGAATTGAAAACACAAAAATTTTTGGTTCTATGATGATTCAGTTTGATAATGGATTGAAAATTTATCAAAAAATGTGTATAAGTTTGAAAGAATGATTCTGACACTTTTTTGATATTTTAAACGAGCAAATGAGTGATGAGCAGCTGAATAATCGAGTTTTAGAGACAATGAAGAAAAACGGAACATTCATGAAGTTGTATTCCTTTTTTCTTGCAAAAATAGACGAAGAAGCTCAAAAACAAGATATTGATGTGATGAAACCATACAGACAGTTCAAAAAAACAAAGCCAAATCAGATAGCTGCCGATTTTGTCATTGAATTTTTAACAAACAAGAAATATAACAATACGTTAGATGCAATAGCTATTGAATCTAAAAAATCAGAAATATTTGAAGTATCAAATTACACGCCACATGATAAAGAATTGCAAATACCAAAAAGTTCTCATCCTATACAAGCTTTAGAAAAAGAATGGATGAAAAACGTTACTGATCCATTTTACGAAAACAGAGATAGGCTTTCTGCTCAAATACAAAAACTTTATTCGCATTTAGATGAAGGAACAGAGGCAACAAAATCACCATTACCAAAATATTCTATTCCACCGCCGTTAAAGCCTGTATACGGTGAATCACCCAAAGAAGAGAAATCTAAGAATACAAAAGCTAAAAAAGAATCACCAAAACAATCAGCAAAATTACCACCACCTTTAGTCCCATCAAAACCAAAAAAGAAAACATCAAAAGCAAAGCCCAAGCCACCAAGTGATGATGAGACATATTCAGTTACTGGAACAACAACAGAATCAATCGAACCTTGGAATCCATTGATGGGTGTTCCAAAACGCGCCCCTCCAAAGGGAAACCTTAACCTTCCGAAGCCAAAAGGTGGAGTGTTTCAATATCAAGGCAGCAAAAATAGTGTAAATTCTTCGTATGAAACTTCTGATTAGTTGTTGATATAGATATAAAGTTTGTATTTATTTATGATATTAGCTAACTGTGATCTGTTTTTATGTTAGAGTTTAAAAAATTTGAAATTATTGAAATTTTTCTTAATAAAATTTGATTCAACAGTAATTAGTGTTATATTTTGATACTCGCGCGTATTTTATCTTTATTTTTTAATCAAGATGCATTAAAATTCATTAAATTTTACCGATCAATTGAATTGTTCTACTTTCTGATCGTATTTGATATATCTAAGCTAGACATTTTCTTTGTATTGGTGCATACATTAAGTGTATAAGATATGTTAGTGTTAAGACCATTATTTAAATTTGATCAACATAATATTTGTATTTTGGGCAAATTAATGTACTACTAAGATCATCTAACTAGAGTTATGCATTTGTGAAAGTACGATATTTATTGATCACAATTTAAAAATTCTGACAGAGAAGATTTTAGAAGTATTCAAATTAAATATTTCCTGACTCATCAGTGCATAATGAATATTGTTCATATTATAGATCAAAATACCTATATTTTTATTTTTAGCCGCATATAATATTATAATTTATTCAAAAACAATTCATATAACAGTTATTTGCATGCTAATAGCATTCAATTCAGATGGTATTAGCATCGATCTGGAAGATAGTTCTAAAATCATTACTATCAAGTATATATGGTATTTTTGAAAGCGCTGATAGGTAATGTTGGAGATCTTCAGAACGCTTCTTTAAGAAGTTAATATTTGTATTAAAAATGTACTTCTTAGGAGGGAAAGGAGGGAATTCTGTGTTATTTGGAAATTGTTGGTGCAGTTCTCTGTTTAATTTTTCTAACTGTGAGTACCTTACTGCTATATTTTTCTGCAGAATTTCATTGTCATCTTGAATTCCAACCTGTATTATATAAAAAGTAATTCCTGAATCTTTATCAATGTAAAACGATTCGATATGGATATAAAATGGTTGCTCGCATGCTGATTGATGCAATTGGCTTTTCTTGCTCTGACTGAGCGACATGAAAGATACGTAGGTCATAAATAAAAATAGATTTTACTAATCAAAAAATCAAATTTAAAACGAAGGCCAGATTTCCATTCAAAAATTCTGTTAGCACTAACAAAAGTTGAGCGTTGTCAAAAATTTTATATCTATCAAAAACTTTCAATCAAGGTGAATGTATTATTGATGGACTAGAATATATACTTACTTTTATAAAATGTGGCGGACATTCTCTCCGATTAAATCATAACGATAATTATAAAATCAAATAAAAAACGTTTAAATTTGTAAGGTTTCAATTATGATGACAATGATTTTTGAATTGTTTTCTCATGGTCTTAATAACTGTGATTTAATGTATCAATTCTGACTTTTTGAAAGGAGAAAAAAAGCTCTCATATATTTTTCGTTACTAAATTTAATATCTTTACTCATAGATATTGATTATTTGTAGAAAATTTGAAAAATCAAACTGTCGAGTTGGCCAAATTTGATATAAATTTTTTTGAATCATTTATAAATCACATTATCAGACTAATATAAATATTTCAATTTTCGTAAGAAAAGCAGAAAAGAAAATCATTGATTATTCGTTTTGTAGCCTAAACCTTTAAATTATTTGGGCATTACGATGCATATGGGTTTGTCGTTTTTCTGACTTGTCATTATACAGGTTATAACTCTTACGCATTTGAACTCGCTGCATTTTCAGTAAAAATATCATTTCCTTATGTAGAAGGCATAAAATATATGGGTCTCCATATCATAAACTTTACAATCGATACAAGTAGTAACAAAGCATATTTCTTTTAAAAATTATACGATTTCGGATCTAAAATTCTTTTATCTCCATATAACGATAATATATTATGCATAAACATATTGTCTCTTGTATTAATTTCTTTAGATTTTGATTACAGCACACTTTGATTCCAAACATATTTTAGTAGAAACTATTTTGTATTTTAATATGGTTGAAAGTGATATTTCATGAATTGCGGAAGTAAATTGTGAACAAAAGTTTATTTCTTTCAAACTAATAACTCTAATAAAATATAATATTAGCAATTCTTTGTGTTCTTAAGGAAAAGCTTCATCATTTAGATCAAAAGAGTGATGCTTAAGTTAGTAAAGAGATTTTAAAAATAAAATATTTTTTTCAGACAATTAGTACATTTCAAATTAGGGTATAGTATTTGCGCAATAAAATCACGTTTATATGATTTTTTATAAAATAATAATTATCGATTATATTAAAAATCTAAAATATTGCAATTTGGTTGTAGAATTGTCTATCTTTGTATTGAGTACATGCATGTTTAAGCTATTTCTTGTTCTTGTCGACAAATTATATATTTGAAACAACAAAGTGGAGAATACTCTTAACCGCGATTTACTATGCATTGGTATCAATCTCCTAATGTATAATTTGCGTGAATTTTAATGAAATTTGCTTATCATCTTTTTAGAATTTTCTGACGCAAAGAACAAATCTTCTCTTGTAAAAAATTTTGTCAACGGTTCAGAAATTTTCGCAATTTTGTAATATTGTATCATGCATTCTACATATTGCAGAAATATAACTGACAAATCGGCATTGCTGAAAAAATCGAATTTGAGAAGATGAATTGAACTCCGGTTTATCAAAATTCTCAAAGACATATATTTGAAAAGCAGTGTTTAATTGTAGGAAACCCACGATTGGCGACATATTCAAAAATTTCAAAGTCATCAAAAATTGAGAATAAAGCGTATCCTATTGAAATAAATAAACCGTTACTCATTATTTTTATAAGATTATGATCTCAGGAAGCACATCATCAAGTCAGAACATCAACTTCGCAGCGATTAACAACAGATACGATGGTCTAATAGATATTCCGATATCGGAAAAGATTTTTAATTCGTTTATTGCTTTCTTTAACTACTGTGATATCTTTGTTCCTAAAATGCCTTCGTTCTATTCTTTAATGTCAATACTCAGATTGTTCCAACTAATGGGTGCATCCTTTTTTGAAGCAAATTCATTAATATTTGAGAAAGGAACGTTATCTTATAATACAATCTCCATCATATCCATCTTATTTCATATAATACCAACCCAATACAGGGATGACGGCGCTTATATTTTATTAATAATTTTAACATCAATTATGATCATTTTGGCAATTTCGCTTATTATTTCGTCAGCAATATATATGAAAACAAGTAAAATCCCTAAAACCACTGCAATTATAATTTATATCTTGGTTTCCATTATTGCTTTCTATTTCCCACCACTTGTTGCACATTATCTTGGACTGATGATATCAGGATTCATTACAAAAGCTATTGCAGTCAAAACAAGCCTAATAATTTTAATAATCGTTACTCTTGTTGTTTCATATTTGTACATGGTTTCATTCTATAGCTCGTTCAGTAACACATTAGTATTCAGACCCACAAGTTTCCTGACCTTAGAAGGAAGACCACAAGAATTTTTGTTTTTCGGAGCAATTTTAGTGAATTTATTTGCAGGTTTGGCCACACATTTCTCCAAATGGGCGACTCTCGTGATGATGATTTTTTCAGCCATAACATATTCCACTTGTATTTTATCGGTTTTCGGATATGGAACATTCCTTGATCTCAATCACCAAGTTTTTGTCATTTCTGGTTCAATTGTTGGTGTAATAACTTGTCTTCTAAATCTTGTTCCTTTGTTTACAAACAAGACTTGGAATGAATACTTCTTTGCCATGTATTTTGGCATTTCTTTTGTTGTTTTCCTTACATTCTCTTTCGTTTTAAAGAACCGAGTTAACAAAGATTTGAAGATTCTAGATGAAATCCAAGAGACACAAGACATCACTGTTAGCTCAAAGAGAAAATTCAAACAGATTCTTGTTTCTGGATACACAAACTGCCATCCTGTTTGTACCGATTTCACAATCTTCAAATTGGCAACAAACGAATGGCATGAAGATGTTTCTATCTGGATGTTGTTCGCCAAATTCACCGCTATTTATCCAGATCTAAATCGTCAGTTGTTGTTCATTGCTGAAACATTGGCAACTTTCAAAACTGATGATGGATTAAGAAAAATGATTATAATGAACATTGAAAACATCACTAAAACAAGAGAAGTAGCTCTTACAAGTCAATTAAAATCAAAACTCTCAAAAATGAACAAACAGTTCAACAAAACTAAGAACAAACTACGTAATGTTTGGGATTTGGTTTTACAAGGTAACATAAATGAAGTCAATTCAGCCGTAAAAACATCATTAGCAAACATTGAAGAGTGTGACAAAGAGTTGTCCAATTTGATGAGACAATATCCAAATAACAAATTTGTCTACAAGCAATATGTAACATTTTTGCAAGATATCAATGGTGACAATGTTGGAGCAAAGAATGCAAACTTAGTTCTTAACAAGATGCAAAGAGGAATCAGAGTAAATACAGATTACATCCATGATTTAGGTATTGCAGCAATGCCAAATATTCCTGTTTCATGCAAAGATGCAAGTTTCATTGCAGAACAAATTCAACAAAATGCAAATGATGAATTCAATGACAGCATGAATAAGATATTTACAGAAGATGACACCAATTTAGACAAATACGAATTGATCTTGAAATCTGTTAACAAACACAAAATTCCTGCTATTAATTTCATCTATTTTTCAACATTTGCATTATGGTTTATTTTGATTTTCCTTCCGCTGTTAGTTCTTATTCTTTTGTTCAACTATTATGTTACAGTTGTTAAAGAACCAATTGCAATGTTCCAAGGATTTTCTTATGTCAGAAACATGCTGACAATGGTTCCAACAATGTTGCAAACATATATAATGACAAGACTTGATAATCCTAAAGATCCTTCAAAGAAACTAATGAAACCAATAGAACTTGGTCCTAAATTTGAATCACAAGGTTATGCTGGAGAAAAAGATAACCTCGGAATCTTGCAACATATGATATCTATTGTTGAATATTGCATTACTTTCCTTGATGGAGTTAGAACATATAAAGAAGGTAATGAAAGAATGGACCAAATGAGAGAGTACACATATGGAAAGAGCATCAATTTCACGCAGTACTTTAATCTCGAAAACACTTCAACCTTGCAGTTAAATGTAGAAGATTCTGTCTTCCTCTTATCAGTGAAAAGCTCTGATCTTTTGGGATATGAAAATTATACATATGACATTGTTGAAAATGGAGATTTCTTGACTGTAATGAATAACTATTATTCACCAATTAATAATCTTAACAATGCATCAAATTTATTAGCTAATGAAGTCAAAGATACAAACAGAAAGCAAATCAAGGCTTTCAAGATTGCATTGATTGTTCTTTGTGCAGTAAACATCATTGCAATTCCTATTGTTTATACAATACAATACAAGAAATTGATGTTTGACAAGAATCAAATTCTCCAGAGCTTTACAACATTACCAAAGACTGTTTTGTCAACAATTTCTTCATCATATAACACAATTAAAGGAAGTGATTCAGATCAGAAATATTCTGACCAAGAGATAAATAGACAAGAAGAAACAATCATCAAACTTTTTAGTTCAATTTCAGATTCAAGATCAGCAGAAACATCAATTGAAGTTTCTAATTTCATGTCATTCTTTTTAATATTAATATTAGTTGTCGTTGCATTTGCAATTTCATACAAGAGTTTCAGAAATACTGCTTTAGTTATGATAAACAACTGTTCTCAGTTAGATTTCCTTTTCGGAATTGCAGCATATTTGTATGGAATAATTGGAACTATCTTTAAGTTTGGATTTGCATTCAATAATTACATTGTTAACAAAGAAATGGATGTATCAGGAATCAACTTGATTCTTCCATTATTAATCAAGTCAATTAATACTGTTTTATTAGGCGGTAAATCAGGAAATAATGAATTACCATTCCCTAATTTAGATACAGTTATTTCAAATGCACAAAGATTCTTGACATGCACTGTAGATGATAATCAATACAAGTCATTGATGGATAGTGTGCATTGTTTCACTTTGTCTGATCAATTATTTATTGTCGCATCTTATGTTAAGAGATATACAACATTCATGGAAAATGATACAAATCCATTATATATTGATGTAAGCAGCGATTTCGCAAGAGATTTGTTCCAAGTTGGTCCAATTGAAATATACGAATCTATTCCTTACCAAGGTGGTATGCGCTATGTCACAGAAATCCAGGCACAAATCGATGATGAAAAGATGGAAATGATAAAATGTTCATCAATTATTATTGTTGTTGCTTTTATTATCATTATTTATATAAAGCTTGTTACAAAGAGAGAAGATAGATTGATGAAGTTCTATTTCACATTATTGCTTAAAGTTCCTGCAGATACATTACTTGGAAACCAAAGATTGATGGATCTTATTAATGGTGATTATTCTATTAATGATCAATCGAATTTAGAAAAATATGCAAAGATATCTGATGAAATTTTCAACAGTATCAATGATATCATCATTGTTGTTGAAGAGCAGACAGGGAAGATTGTAGCTGTTAACCATGCTTTCGAGAGTTTATTCAATTTGAACTCAGAAGATGTTGTTAAAAGACATATTTCTGAGTTCTTCAATGAAGAAAAATTCAAATCCACAGAAAAAGTTGAGGATGTTTTCAAGAAACAAACAACTTTGATATCATATTGCTCGAGATCGAAATCTGATGCATACATTAATTTCACATCAATATTTGTTGGATCAAATAGAATTTTCTTTGGTAGAGATCAGACACAAAATTACAGACATGAAAAACTTATTGAAGATGAAAAGAAGAAATCTGATGCAATGTTGGCATCAATCTTACCACCAATGTTGGTTGTTAAAGTACAAGCTGGTGAAAAGAATATTTCTTTCGCTTGCCAATCAGCAACAATCTTGTTCTTGGATGTTGTTGAATTCACACCTTGGTGTGGTTCTCATGATGCTCAATATGTCATGAGAATGTTGAATATCATGTTCAAAGAATTTGATGTTATTACAAATGCTCATAAAACAATGACAAAGATCAAATGCATTGGTGATTGTTATATGGCTGCCGGTGGTATATTTGATGAAGTAAATCAACCACCTGTTCATGCAAAGGAAGTTGTTGATTTCGGATGCAAAGTCATTAAGAAATTGTTAGAAATTGATGAACAAGAAAATGAAAAACTTAGAATCAGAGTTGGTATAAACACCGGTGGTCCTATTGTTGCTGGTGTTATTGGAACAGAGAAACCAACTTTCGAAATACTTGGCCCTGCAATTAACATTGCTCATGAAATGGAAAGCCACGGTATTCCAATGAAAGTCCATATCTCAAGATCTGTTTACGAATTAATCTACGGACAGAACTTCGACATCAAAGAAAGAGGAGAAATTGATGTCAAAAAAGGAAAAATGTTTACATATATTGTCGAACCATGAAAATTATTATAATTGTTATATAAAAACTTGTTTGAATTTCTTTCGTAATTACCAAAATATCTTTTTCCTTCTGTATACCTCATATATTATGTTGTGAAGTTGATTATCCTTTAAAATATTTTGAGATGAAAAATTGTCCCAAAAAACATTGTCATTACTATAGAATACCTTCTAATTATTTATAAGTGTAGTAATTATTATACTGTTAACAAGAATTTTTTTCTATATAAAAATAATTTTTTAAAAATGTTAAAAGATGAATAAATAGATAGTATAAGTTTAATATTACAAACAAAATAATCTATAATTTATCAAGTAGAACTCTGAATTTCTCTGATTTCTCGGATAAGTTCTCATCGAACGAAAACAAAGCTTCTTCAACTAAATATTTGATAGTTGGTGTTCTTAATGATACGGAGATATTTCCTTTCAGTACATTTCCTATTGTTTCAAGTAGATCAAGAATTAAAGACAAAATTTGATCATTAAATATCTTGTTTTCCCATATTTGAGATATGAATGTTGAAAATACGTTTTTCTTAGTCCATCTAATGAACTGTTGGTCATGATTTTCTTCAGATGTGGCAAATAACCTTTTCAGAGTTTGCAAAATAGATGGAATGACTTCTATATAGTTCTCTTTTTCATTTTCTTCGACTTTTGTATTCATAAATGATGTTAAAATTTCAATAATCTGAGAAAAAACATTATCTGGCATTTGCTCTCTAACTCCGGTGAGAACAAGGCCAACACATGATATAAGGCGACTGTAAACAACTGGATATTGAGGTGTCGCATCATTTTGTAAAATATATAAAATATGTTCCAAAGTTTGACCGTAACAGATAGCATTGGCTCGGTAGGCATACATGTATGAACCAAATGCTTCTGCTGCAGTACCTATTAGATCAGGAATCTGAGAATTAAGAGCATTTTCTATAAACATCACGAAAGCATCCCCAAATTGCAAGAATATGTTGTCTTTGTCATTTTTGATGACACTTTCTATGACTAAAAACAAGTCAACTCTTATTGGCAAGTCAAAATTATTATAAATATTAAATAATTGATTAACAATAGCCTCATAATCAAGCAAACTGCTTGGGGTATTATCCAAAAGGATGGAAACCGACAAACAAGCAAGCTGTAGCTTTCTATCTGGAAAAGGAACGCTATCAACTGAATTTTGGAAACTTGTAAGGGTTGTTTCTATTAAATTTAATAATGTCTCAATTGTTTTGATGTTAAGTTCCCTAAAATGCTCGCATTTTCTTTGAATTAAAATGTCAAATGCGTTAAAAGCTTCAAAAAGAAGGTTTCCTTCATTGGAAATGGATTCATTCGTCATGATTTCAAGTAAGAATGAGTATACATCCTCATAAATATTGTTCAAAAACACTTCATTTGTTATTTCTAAAACAGGACACAAAAAATGTAAACCATAGGTAAGATTTTGTGGATCATCGACACTTTTAACGAATTCAAGGGCAATTGAAACTATATTGTCTTCATTTCTCAAATCATTTTGAAAAACTTTAACAATTTTAGACATTACAACAATGGCTAGCTTCTTTATCATTACATTTTCATCACCGAATCTGTTTAATATATATTGCAACTGTGAAATGACAAATTCTGAAAAAATTATTGTTTTCTTTGAAGAAACAAAAGCGTGTAGAAGGAGCAACGCTTTGTAAATAGCTTTCTTATCATTACTTTGTAACCAATTACATATGTCATTTCCGTAATTATCAAGGATTTGCTTTGGAAGAATAATTGAAATGTTTTTTAAAGCTTTTGTAGCCTTTTTGCATGCATCATACTCTTCTTCGCTTGGATTTTCTGAGATAGACAAGCATTCTACAAGTATGGGAACAATGTTTTCTGCATTATTTAAAATTAAATTTTGAGAATTCTTTGTTGCATTGATTATTTGCTTATTAATCTTCGCCACATCAGACCAGAAATCAATGGCAATGCATTTGAATGATAAATTCTCCATTTGGAGTCCACAATTTCCGATATAATAAATTTGTTGAAATCCTTCACCAATGTTTGCATAATATTTACGTATAATGAGTAACAGTATTGTATGACATATCGAAAATGACTTCTCTTGTGTATAAGGTAAAATTTTAGGAAGTAACTCGAAAAATGTCAAAACAGGGTTCGTGTCTGTTGTAAATTGCTTCAGTTCTAGCTTTAAAAAGAATTGATATATACATTCTAAATAAATTTCTCTTATTTTCTCATCAATTTCAATATTACTCAAAATTGATATAAAAAGATTGTATATTTGTGCGACAATTTCTGTTTTTGCATATCTTATAAACTTCCTGAGTTCCATTGTCGTTAAATTTAAAAATAATTCGACAAAAATATTTCCAATTCCAACAAGTACATTGATATCTTGCTCAGATGCAGATGTCATTTCATTTATTCTATTGATTATTGTATTCGTATAATTTTCAATGTCGAATCTAAAGTATAAAGCTGTGGAATGACAAGCTAATGATTGTAACTTACATTCAATCTGAGAGTAGTACATAAATATTTCAAAAATATCGTTCTTTTGATTTGCTGGTTGAATTTGATTTAAAGCTTCGAGAATACTGCTAATATTATGAGAATAGGAAGGAGTTATGAGATTTTTAAGGTTGATTAAAGCAAATAGTCTATAATTTTCTTCTACTTCTTGTGTAATTAAAATTCTATAAAGGTATATTATGAAATTTGATGGATTCTGTTGCGCAAAAATGTTTATTGCTGACTCTGATGCATTTCCAATTCTTTCATCATTCGAAATAGAATTCTTAAACACTTGAAAAAACTCATCAAAATCCATTTGTCAAAAAAAAAATAATTTTGGGTTACCACTCTATAGAGTATACCACTGTTAGTCGGTAGAGTCTTATGATATTGTACTATACTTCTTGTAACTGTTCTTTTGATATTCACGCTTTCTTAGAGTTTTGGATTATGAAACTCATTAATTCAACAGTATTTGAAAACTCTCAAGACTATTTCAATATGATGGTCATTTATATAGAGAAGTATCTCAAAAAGTAAGTGCTAATAAACTTTGAATCAACATTTGCAATGCTATATAATATCTTTTTCGTAAAATCATAACATTTCTAATGAGGAAGATGAAAAATTTCGCTAAATAAGTAATAATACAGTACATCTAAAATTCCAAATTTTTTCCATTTTTGTTATTTTCACATAATTTTTATATTTTTTCAAATTATTTTTCATTTTTCAAACTTTTTTTGGAATTCTAAAGTTTAAAATTATCAAAAATGAAAGGTATGGAATTTATATACATGAAAATGGATTTCTATTTTCATGATCATTTCTCCAAAATTACTCTTTTTCAATAGAATTTGCATTAAAATTAAGCATTACTAATGCTTATTTATAGATATCTTAGTAAAAAATCAGCTCACATATTGCATTTATAATGATTCATATGATATACATTAGTTTATTCTTCATTTTCAAAGATTATATTTCGACCAAGAAGAAAATCAAGCTTTGATAATGATGATTTGTTGATATTTTAGTAAAACATCAGCTCACATAATGCATTTTTATCGATAAAATGTGAAGGCTAAGATTATATAATTTCGAACAAGAAGAAAACCAAAGGTAATTATTTTCAATCACTCAAATATTATATTTTTATATATCATAAAGAAAAGAAAAGACAAAATATTAATTTCATTTCTGAGCCAAGATTGCTGAAGCAGAAGCAGCAACAACAGGAAGATAAGGAGCACCGTTTGTCTTGAATGTAACAGAGAAGTTATCACCGTGTGTAGTGATTTCGCACACAAAGAAAACTTGTCCTTCTCCAAGAGCGAACTGAACAAATGTCTTCGCCTGTTCCGCGTTCTTTCCGACGTAGAAGACGTTCCTCTTCGCAAGCTGCTCCTTAGTTGCGAGTGTAGCACTCTCAACTTCGCATGTGAATTCATTTGTGAACGAAGTAAATCCTTGTCTGAACGCGTCCTGTCCTTTATCTCCTTCCTTAGACAAGAAATACTCAATTGGGAGTCTGTCAGCTGCGTAAACTGCTCCGGCGCTGGTCTTGATGGCCATCATGAGCTCTGTCTTGTCCAAAACAGCTGTTTTAAGGTCACTTTGTATTGGAATGGTCACTTCACAAACGTCCATTGTATTTAACTGCTGTGGGAAGTCACCTGGACCCTTAGCGGAGATGCCGAGAGCATTGACATTGAGGGCAAAGGCAAATTGTGACAGTGGTTGGCCGGACTTGTTCACAATTCGTAAGTAAATGTTATTCGAATCGTAATCTGCGAATAAATCGATAATAGATGAATCGTTGAGTCTTACTTGATGCCAGTCATGAATATCCTCGCCATCTACATCCTCATCGTTCTCTGGAACGTATCTAACTCGCCTGACAAAATCAGATGGAACAACGTGAAGGACTCCGGAGACAGTTCCCATGTTCTTGATGAGCTCTGCAAGGATGTGTGGCTCAAAGTTGATGCCGGAGTGAACAACTGTAGACTTCGGGAAAATAATGATTTTCTTCGCGATACTTGGGTCGTTTGAGAGAATTCGCCAGTAAACAACGGCTCTGTTCTTTACATCTGGGAAGTTGCCTTCCTTCGTGGCCTCGTTTAAGATAAATTGAAGCTGATCTTTTGTTTGTTCTGGTCTTTCAAGATATGCCTTAACGAGAGCGGTAAGGAGTTGTAACTGAACAATTTGCTGTTCATCGTGGAATGTTTCTAAGTAAGTATCGAGGATTTCGTCGACATTATCGATATGTTGGCAATATTCTCCCAAAATCCAGATTGCTGAGGCTTTTGCTCTTGGCTCCTTGATCATCTCAAGGTTGGAGCAGACGTTAGAGATAATGCCTTCGAATTCGCCTGGGAATTTGCGGAGAAGGTCGCATGTAACGCAAACGGCTTCTTCTATAGCGTAATCAGCCTTGCCTTGTACAAGTGAGGTCAGGATATCGACGCAGCGGCGTGCAGCGCTTTCAATTTTGATGGCAATTTGGCCGACAGCTCTAATTGACTTACGAACGAAAGCTACATCGACGGAATTGCAGTACTCCTGAAGCTCATCAAGTATAAGCTTAGCTGACCTTGTATTGCAAATCGTAATGATGATATCTAATTTTTCCATTTTTATGTAGGAAGGATCGTTGTATTTGCAGAAGAAAACGCGTATTTCTTTTGATAGTGCCTTCGGGTATTTCTGGACGAATAAAGAAAGAGTTCTAAGAACAACATATTGAATTTGTGGTTCTGCAGATGTAACAAGGGTAATAAATGGAGGAATAATCTGCGGGAAAAGTTCCTTTGTGTCTCTTGCATCTATTTCTAAGAACATGAAGATGCATCTGAAGGAACCAATTACAACTGCTGGATTTGAGTGCTTCAAGAACGGAATGAGACGGTCAATGAGGAATGTGGCATCCTCCTTTGACTCCGGAGTGTAGCGAGCAAGTGCGTCGAAGAGAATTGTCATACATTCTTGGCTGCAAGAGGAAAGAGCTGAAAGAATAGGAGCAAGGGTATCTGAGTTGAGCTTGAATATCGGGGTAGTTCTTCTTTCATTGATTTCGAAGATTGTGGCTGTTGTATTTGAGACAACCATTGGATTTTCGTCCTTCAAAAGAAGAAGGAGATCTTTGAAGAGGTTGGCGTTTTCAACGGCCTCTGGAATAATTTCGTAGAGTTTTGCAACACTATATGTCGCTGTTTTACGAACATATGGATCAGAATCTTGTAAAGCGCGTTTAAGTGGCTGAATCATATGCTCAGCGACACTTTCGAGTTTAATTCTGCACATGGTACGAACAGCAAGTGCTCTGACAATTGGGTTGTAGTCTTGTGAGTCTTGGATAAAAGTATTAACTGCCATGATGGCTTGCTCTGGTTCTTGAATAGAATATTGAACAAGATAGAGATATGCTAACTTCTTAAGTTCTAAATCTGATGTTTTGACGCAGCGAAGCATTGATGCAAACAATGAGCGAACATTTTCACCGCTTCTCATTAAAAAGACTGTTCGCTTGGCTGCTCTCTTCCTTTCACTAGGGTCATTTCCATCTAGCGCATTACGAAGATTATTTAATTCTCCTTTTCCTTCAGACTCAAACATTGAAAATTGAAAGGTCTGTTCGGATGTAATCATGGGTATTATTCAGATATTAGTCTAAATATGGAAGGAGAAAAATGCATGTGTACAAGATCACTGGTGATTAGACGTTGGAAAATAAGATATTAAAATTTTCAAAATATTCAATCATGAAAAAACATGATAAATAACAAACTACCAAATTGATTTTTACAAAATATACAATACTCTTAATGAATATGCTTCAAATCGATTATATTTCAAATCAATATTTTATATTTTTGAATAATCTCAAAATCACAACATTTACTTAGCTAAAAGTATGTGTGTAAGGAGAATGAGAAATCAATACTTATTAGACAAAAATTTCTTAATAATTTTAATCAATGAACAAGAATTATTCAAAAGATACAATATATGAAGTTAGGCAATATATGTTTTGACACAAAAATAGTCTTCATGCTTCAAAGATATTCGAACGTATTAAACTTTAAGTTTTTAAATCAATAGAACATAAGAAATCATGTAGATTGAATATGTGTAGTAAAAATGTAAGATATTAGGTTATTCAAAAGGTAATTCGAAATATCATTGCCAATCTATCAATTAGACTCGTATGTTTCCAACAAACTATCCGCGTGTAAAAACAGTATATATTGTTGGCTTCGAATAATTTGCCTTGGTTCATTTTGATCGCATTCTATAAAATATTTGCCACTTTTCAAGTGCAACGGTGTTTCGGGTTTTAATTGTGTAATATTCAACCAGTTTTGTGGTCATGGCATTTTGATAATTTTATCAATTGTAAACTTTTTAATCCCGTTATTTCTTAATTTCATCTCATTTTTCAAAATGAATTTAAATCTTCGCGTTATTGAAGCAAAGGATATGCCAAAAGAGGATTTATTTGGAAAGTGCGATCCATTTATTGAAATATATATCGATAACAAGCACGTCAAGAAGACAAAATATGTGAAGAATACTTATAATCCAAGGTGGGATGAAACATTTTATCTTCCACTCCATTACCCAGGAAGTATCATCGAATTTCGTTTTGCTGACTATGATGAAAACACTTCCAACGATAAATTCGGATACATTAGACTTAATCTCGACAATTTACCAATCGGAAAAGTTGTTGATGAATGGTATTCATTGACACCATACAAATCTGGCAAGAAGGTTGGCAAAGCGCACTTTGCCATGCAGATTGCACCAGAAAAGCATACACCATTCACTCCTTTTGACGGTCCAGCTAATTGGACACGCCAACAACCAGCCCCAGCTCCATACCCACCACAAGGCGGCTATCCACCACAAGGATATCCTCCTCAAGGCGGATACCCACCGCAGGGATATCCTCCACAAGGCGCATACCCACCACAGGGTTATCCTCCACAAGGATTCCCACCACAAGGTTTCCCTCCACAGGGATTTCCAGGAGGCCCATGCCTCTTCCCACCAGATGCTAAACCAGGTGAAGTTATAGTTACAGCCGCATATTCACACAAGCATTGCCCTTCACATGTTGAAGTACTTAGAGGTGAGGCAGCAGTTGCACATCTTCAAAAAGCATGCCGTGGTAACAAAAAATTGTTTGAACAAATGTTAAAGGCCGCCACTGTACCACCAAATTGGGGCCAATATCCACCTCCAGGCTATCCTCCATATAGATATCCACCACAAGGCCCTTATCCACCACAAGGATATCCTCCTCAAGGAGCATATCCACCACCGGGACAATACCCACCACAAGGCGCTTATCCACCTCAAGGACAATATCCTCCACAAGGACAGCCACATCAAGGACAGCAGCCACCTCAAGGTCAATATCCTCCACAAGGACAGCAGCCACCTCAAGGCCAATATCCTCCACAAGGACAACCACCTCAAGGACAGCAGCCACCTCAAGGCCAATATCCTCCTCAGGGCTATCCTCTACAAGGCCAGCAGCCACCTCCTAACCAACAAGCACCACCACCAAACAACTCAAATCAGAAGTAAAACATAGTTTGTTAGTTAATATATTATTTTCCTTATTTTTTTTGTTTCTGCCAATAGTGATGTTTCTCCATATTATTTCCTTTTCATTTGAAAAGCCAATAGCAAATGTCACTTGCAAAATATAATTAAATAAATTCTAAAATACATTTCACATCACTTTTCAGTATTTCACCCAAAATATTTTATTTGAAAATGCCAATTTCGCCGTTTTTTCCTTCTCAAAAATTTCATTAAAGAAATAATTTTATATCAATATATAGCAAAAATAATTAATCTTGCTATTTTTATTTACGATTTTTTTGTAAACTTATCAATTCCATTAATTGAAAAAATCATATCACTTTTCGGAATGAATTTGAATTTACGTGCTATCGAAGCCAAAGATATGCCAAAGGAAGACTTATTTGGTAAGTGTGATCCATTTATTGAAATATTTATTGACTCTAAGCAAGTTGAAAAAACAAAAGTCATTAAAAAAACTTATAATCCAAAATGGGATGAAACATTTTACATTCCTCTTTACCATTCTGGTAGTACAATTGAATTTCGCTTTTCAGATTATGATACAATGTCATCAAATGACAAATTTGGCTACATAACGTTTAATCTTGACACAATACCAATTGGTAAAGTCATTGATGAATGGTATCCGTTGACACCTTATAAGAAAAATAAGAAAGTTGGTGAGGCTCACTTTGTAATTCAGATTGCCCCAGAAAAACATACACCATTTACACCATACGATGGCCCAGCAGAATGGACACGCCAGCCACCAGCACAGTTCCCATCTCCATACGTTCCACAAGGTGGTGCAACAGTACCATGTCCACCTTCAGCCGGAATGTCTCTTTTCCCAGCTGACGCAAAGCCAGGCGAATTGATCTGTTCAGTAACAACACTTGGACAGCCTAAATTCTTAAGAGGTGAAGAAGCAATGCAGCACTTGAGAAACATATCTGGAGGCAATCCAGCAATGCTTGAAATGCTTGTTAGAACTTATACTGTTCCAGCAAATTATGGTCAAGGAACAGCCCTTCCCCAAGCAAATCCACAAGTTCCATATAATGATCAAGCTGCGGCAGTTTCTCCTCAAGCTGGAATTTCACTTTTCCCAGCCGATGCTAAACCAGGAGAAGTCATTGTCACAGCAACATCTCTTGGAAAACCACAGTTCTTGAGAGGCGAAGAAGCACTGGAACAATTGAGGAAAATGTCCCGTGGTAACCAAGCTATGTATGATATGCTGGTTAAAAACTTCACAGTTCCAGCAAATTATGTTCCACAATAAAAAATAACTACAAATTAAAAATATTTCATCTAAGTTATATATATTTAAGCCTCCTATTTGATTCTAATCTTTTAATTAATATAAATAAAACTTAGTAACATTATTTAAGAACTTAGAAAAGCAAAATAATAATATGAAAATACATCATTTATGTTTTTGGAACTATTGCTTTTAAAAATGGTTTGCACTACTATTTGGTAATGAAAATCATGATGCTCATACTTAAAGACTCAAATTAAATAATTATTATTGAGTTATTAATTATTTTCCTTAGCAAAATTTATAACAATTCATTTCAGAAATCAAGTAGAAAGTTGAGAATAAAAAAAGAAAAAACATTTTTATTAATTCTTTCCGATTACGGATTCCTTTGCCTTCTGAAAGTCTTCATGAAGTTCTGGATGACTCTTTTCTATTTCCTCTGCCTTGCTGCGGTCTTTATTGATGCAAACCGCATAAAGTAGCTTAATATTTTGAGATTTTGCAGCAATCTTCTCCAATTCATCAAGACAGGTGTTGAAATCTTCCGGAGAGTATCTGCTTTTGTCAATACCTATAAATCTTGCAATTTTTGCAGTATCAATTTCGGATTTTATTAAAAGCTCAATTTTTTCTTGTGCAGCGACGAAATATGCCGGGATAAGGGCTCCGAGGTCAATAATTTCGGATATCAAGTCTTGGACATTTTCAATTGGCGAAATATCTTCTAAAAAGTGTTTCAAATCATTTGGATGGACAGCAACGACAATATCCCTCTTAGTAGGTGCTGTATATTCTTTAAATGCTCTTCTCCATGGAATAACTCTGTTTTTGGCAAATTCAAATTTATCTGTGAGTTTCAACTTTCTCCAGGTGGCCAATATCACGTCAGAAATCTCTTTATCAGTCAGGACATCAAGGATCTTCGCGCAAATCTCACTGACGTTCTCTTTTACAAAAGATAATAAAATTGTATGTGAAAAAACGTCGGGAAGGCAAAGCATACCGCGGTAAAAATCGGCAAATTGGCGGAATATAGTTGGGTCATGGCTCATTTCAATCATAAAGTAAGAGGTGAAGTATCTAAATATTGGTTGAAGTTTTCCGAGGTCCCAGATCGAAGGAAGGAAGAATGTTCTTGCGCAATCATTGTAAAAGAGGGCGCCGGGGAATTTGAAGCATTTTCCTTTGTAAATCATGATGAAATTCTTCGAACGCTGAATAATAGTAATATCGGGACATGAGTTATTCCAACAGTATCTGACACCTTGTTTGATCGGTTGGCCTGTCAAAAATGAAGATTCCTTCTTGTTATTAGTTATAACAACTTGATTTTCTCCGGTTAAGAGACAATTCGTTGTATTTGGAGGAATCTGATGTTTCTCAAGCGATAAATAACGATCTCCAAGTTTAATTGGCGTTTCTGAATCAGTAATTTTGATATCAGTTGCAAATTCTTGGCAACCGACAATCATGTAATCTTTTCTTGTTGATATGTAAAGTGGGATATGGTTTATCTGAAAATCTGTGACTTGTTCGCAATTAAAATCAAAAACTGAAGCTTCGTACCAATCATCGTGGCGCTGGGTGAAAACAACGATGTATCTACCAATAAAGCCGATGTTTTTGACAGGAATAGCGTTGAATTTTGAAATTGTATTAGTTTTATTATTTATAAAGATAAAACCATTGGAATTTGCAATTACGAAGTACTGATCTAAAAGAGTAATTCCGAAACGTATCGGAAAGATCTCTTTTGGCAATTCCTGGATTGTTGCAAGAGTTTTTTGTTGATATAACGAGAAAACTTGGTCAGGAGTGAACAAAACAGTGTTATTTGTTTCTCCGATGTATATGACTCCTGTTCCATCGAATTTTGTATAAAAAATCTGTTGATATAATGAATCAAATTCTGCATCCATGATTCCTTCAATTTCTTTACAACGAACTGTACATACATTACCTGTATTCGAGATATATAACATTATCGTGCTGTTGCTTAACATAATAAACAGTGTAGAGCCATTTCTTGACCATTCAAGCTTAACAACTCTAACAGGAGTTGGTTCGAGTACTTTTACGGCTTTTGATGATGGATCGTTGAGTTGTTTAACGAAAACAGAGTTGTTTTCGACTGAATATGCAAGAATATTTTTGTAAGCGCAAAAACTAGTTAAAACAGCATGCTTTTCGTCTTCGAATTTGAACAAAAATGGTGATTTGTGTAGAATTGCGTTCTCATCAAGAAAGGCTACGAAAGGAGATCCAGAAAAAATCGCTGTAAGAGTGCGTGGGTAGATAAATTTAACGCATTTGAATCGTGCAATTCCTTTTTCGAAATCTAATGATGATATTTGTTTGATATCGCGATCATAAAATAAAATCGTTGAATTTGATTGACAAATTGCAAGATATCCAAAAGCAGAAAAGGTTGCTGTAATCGGCATGTTCAAATCGTGTACTTTAGGTTCTTCTATTTTCATGTTATCATCGAAATTAGATACGAAAACTGCGCCATTACATGATCCCCATACAAAAGTCGTTTTGTCTAGCCACTGAAACCAATAGTTTGGTCCATATGCGCGTAAAGAATCTTCGCTTCTTGCATATCTGGCGATTTCTGGACATTCATATTTCGAAGAATCACAAATATAGAGGATTTCTTGCGCAACAAAGGCAATATATGAATTCACAGGATTCGACTTGATCAAAAAGATCGAACTATATGAAGTCATTTTACCTAATGAGTAAGGGATGAAATGGGGCATGATAAAAAAATGATAATTTACTTCATTTAAGAAGCCAATATGCATATAAATACATTAGCCATTTAATAAAACACCGAAAAATTAAATTTATATACAAATTAGTTCGACCATTATATTTCTCATTAAAATGAATCATTTATATAAGCACACTTACATAATTCTTCTTAACATAATTGGTAGCCTACAAATTTAGAGTTAAAACAATAGTTTTGATATAATTATATAGAAAGTATTATTTTATTAGCTAAAGAACAAAAATTTATATTTTACAAGGTTTTGTAGTAACAATATCTCTAATTATCGATTTCATCTAATATTTGATGATATCTTTGTATAAATATCGAATGAAAATGAGTTGATATATCTTTTCCGAGCTGTGATCCTGATGAAAAATGCAATTTATATCCAAATTCGACTAAAAATGGCATTGATTTCATAAATGTTCCAACTAGATTATCAAAAATCAATGCTGAACCTTGAAAATCCGAGCCAATTAGAAGCCATAGAGCTACTAATTTGACAATTACGTAAATCCAGAACGAACTTAATACAAAGTTCATAATTTCCATTATTGAGAAGGCAATTGCAAAAACAACGAAATGTTTCAAGTACTGATCAGTAGGCTTACATCTAGCAAGCGCTACATACAATCTGAAAGATGTATAAAAAAAACCAATTGGAAAAACAATGAAAAAATCAAACCAATTCATTACACCAAAAAAAATGATCAAAACATATATTTATTGCATTCATAACATATATTCTATTTTCATAAACTAACATATTTATATAACAAAGACAAGGATATTGGAAAGTTTTTTCAAAATCATAATTAATCTCATTGGAAAGCATCTTCTTCCTCTTCATAATAGTATTCATATTCATCTTCAAGACCATTATACAGGTATTCCATATACTTAACATATGAAAAGCAATAGTCTGGCTTTTGAAGTTCTAACGGACGTGGAACTCCAAGGTTTTCTGGTACATCGAATTTAACATGCAAAGAATTCTTAAGTTCTTCAATGATTTTTTGGCTTTCGAGGATGTCTTTATCTTCAACTTTAATCTTTTTATCATTCTTTGAAGATATCACAATAGGGCTTGGATTTGTGTATGAATTTTTGACACTAGCGTGTGTCTTCATTAAAGCTTTTTCTTTCTGCTTATAAATCCTTTGATATTCTAAATGTGAAAGTTTCTTAGTGAGCCTTTCAAGAGTAGTAATATAGGATACAGAAATTGATGATTTGTCGATAAGGTCATTAAGTTCAGCACTTAAAAATTCTTCATTCTGGTCTAATTTTTCTAATTTATTCATCAATTCTTCAGCTAATGTTCTTTGCTGTTCTCCTACTTGCATAGCCTCTTTGATTTGATCTGTCGAAGTTTGCTTCTGAATTTCCATGATTTTTGATTTTGTATTATTAATTGATGCCTGTAATGACTGAATGCGTGATCTTTGTAACAAAATTTCATCCTGAAGTTTAGCACGAAATTCAGGATTAAATGTTTTGCAAGCAACTTTCCTTTCTTTATCAGCAACAGTTAATTCATCTTGCAATGATGATATATATGCACTAAGGGTACTCAACGATGTATGACTTGTATTAGATAAGGAACTAATTCTTTGGGTTTGATTATCTTGAATGAATTGCTGTATTTGCTTGTTATATCCTTCAACTTCTTTTTTAAGACTATTTATATCATTAATTAGATGATATTTTTCATCAATGAGTTCTTCTTGTTGGTAGTAGTTCTCATTTTCATTTGATTTCTTATATATTCTCGGCATTAATGGTTTTGAATTTGATCTTTGAGAAGATGGTTGCGATTTTTTTACTTTAATAACTTTGTTTGGATTAATTTGAACTAATCTTGAGTTTAGGTCGATTGGAGGTATGTCTTTTGCTTTGAACATCAATAGATCCTATTTTTTAAACGTACACCTTCGAAATTTTATTTGACATCAACAGTCTTCAATTTATCTTATCAACAAAAAAATACATTACCAAACAAGACGAATATATTTATTTGATTTCGGCATTACCAAATCATGGATATCTTCAAATGTTCTATTAAGATTTTGACATTCAATGAAGAAGTTAACTAATACCATATACTATGTATGCACTCCTCAACACTGGGAAATATGATCCAAATCATGTATTATCAAAATGAACTGCAAACCAAATGGGGCTATGCATCTATAACATATCCCATTAAACTTTATATTTTTATGTTTAAAGAATACTCTTATTAAAAATGCTATTTTGGATAGGATAGTCTTATCAATCTAAATCATCCATAATTTGATGATATAATCTGAACCTTTCTTTGAGTACTGACACATATGCATACGTTTTCATGTTATGCATCATTGAAACTAGAATGATCTCAATTTTGAAATTTTAACACAAAAATGATTTCTATAAGAGCATGTTGATGAAGTCCATACTATACTTTATATTTATTATCATTCTAAACTCCCAAATAATCATTTGAATGAATGATGGTAATCCTAATGTTTCGATGATTGAATTTCAAAACATTATTTCGGATGCCAATCTTTATTTTTCAGAACACTCAGTAAATCCAGTATGGAAAGATAAGATTATATCACTTGTTCAAGTTTTTTCAAATTTAATTCAAGGAAAATATATATCATGGAATGATTTCAAATCATTTTTTAGTATCGAAATGATAAGCGAAGGGCTTATATCCGATTCATTTTTCTTAAATGATCATAGAATTGATTCTGGAATTGCTAACTGCACGATTTCACGTATTTTAATAAATCCATCTATAGTAATAGTTAGAACAGCCTTTCCAGATCCAGATTTTGGAGATAATGAAATGCTAAATGAAATAATGAACACGATTTTACAATTAAAAGTCCAATTAATTCTAAGTGTTGATCAATTCCCTCCAAAACTACTCGGAAAATGCATAATAAACGAAATAGCAGTAATTCATAATATTAAACAATCAACAATCGATTATTTTTCAAAATTTACCAATATTCCAATAAGTGACTCTTTTATTTCACTTTACAGCTCAATAAATCTTACATACAAAGGTATATTCTACGTCGCGAGTGGTGGATTCGAGCCAAACATCGAAAATCAAGAAATAATTCCAGATCAACTTTACAAACTCATAAAAAGTGGCAAATTAGTACCAGAAGGTCAATCAGTTGCCAACTTTATAAGTACAGATGCAATACCATACGGAACTTTCATTTTGGCGGGTTGCCAAGATATTAAAGTCAAAAATTCACTTTTTGACCTCATTTCTTTTGTTTTTGACCAACATTGTTTCAACAGTATAACGAAATACATCGGATTCACCCCGAAAGAGGAAGATAAATTCAAAAATATGTTCCCTTATTCTTTAATTCACTTCACCTCACCAAATTACAGCGTTTGCACGACAAAACTGACAGATATATATTCAGATACGGATTTAAGTCTGAACAGGTTCTTCGAGAAGTCCGTGAAACACGCTTCGAAAGAAATAAATTTATTTAAAGACAAAAATATCGAAAATTCGCTGTTTTCGATGCAGAAAGGCATACAGTTCAGGATATTACACCAAGATATGTCACTCACGTTCTCTTCTTACGAAGGAATCGTTACAGAAAATTCATTATTAAATTTAATTTTGATAAATAACGAGATTAAGACGATTTCAGAACCACAGTTCTTTGAAGTATCGTTTTCGTCATTCGTAAGATACCTTTTCCATGCAAAATACGTTCCAGATTTCATAATTATTCATAATTGCAACGCTTTGCATATTTGTAGGTCACCATCGAAGGTAGTTTTCGATATAGCTAAGCCTATTCCACCTCCTCATTACGTAGATTTCAGAGGATTTGAGTTAAATCGAAATTCAGATCCAAATTTACTGAAAAACATCGGAATTTACGCGAATATTGTTCATGCAACAGAAGTTATATATGCACAGAGTCTTTCCAAGTGCCCTCCAGAGAGTTCTGCCCCTTTATTTTCATATTTGAACACATTTCTGAAATCATTTGCCCAAAAAGTAATTGCGAACACCGAACTACCATGTTCGCTGAATTCCACGTTCTTCACAACCTTCTTCAACTGGTACATGAAGATGGACAACATATCAGAAAAACTAAGAAATGTGAAATTACCTGATTCAGTGTCACTTTTTGTGACCACGATTTGCCGAACGATTATTTTAAGGTTACTATGGTTTATTGACTTTCCGCATTTAGGGGAAGTTCTTTCTGAGTTGAAAGACTACTCGGATAACGAAAACAAAGGAGTTCTAGCGCTTTGGCTTTTTGATAAGAATGATGGCAAGAAACCAAAGAGTCCTACGAACTCTGAGTACTTGTATTCGTTTGTTACTTTGTTGTATTATGCAGAGAACACTTATTTCTTTCCAGATATCGTAATGTTACATAATGTGAACTTAAATCACACGAAACTCACTTCTATTCTTGCTTTCGTGTTCGCATGTGATAAGTTCCATGTGCATCTGCTCAATAACTGCCCGCCAAACTACTCCCAGTACTTGTTTAACGCAGAAATGACAACAACTCTGTTTTCTGAGTATTTGACGGTTTTCCCTCAATTATCTCCAAAATTTTCCATCGAATTAGAAGAGAAAACACCTCTCCCGTGGTCCCTCACACGTCCCATGAAGGTCCAAATCGATCTACACTTCCCGACTGAGTTCACAGCAATGATGTCACTTTTCGGTTATTCATTTGACACTTTTTGTGAAATTTTGAAGAAAGGGAAGTCATCAATTACATTTGGTGGCAAGAGCAATGCTCAATTCTTTGTTACTGATGATGGAAGGTTCTTAATTAAAACGATAAACCAAAGTGAAATGTCAGAAATGAATAATTTTCTGCCACATTATTTCAGGTACATAACTGCGAATCCTTCATCACTTTTGACAAGGATATTTAGTGTTTTTACTATAGTTGTCGATGGAAATACGACGTACAAAGGAATATTGATGGAAAACTTGAGACATGGTTTTACAAGTGATGATGTAATTTTGTATGATTTCAAAGGAGCAATGAGAAACAGATTTTTGAATGAGAATAATCAGAGTGTTATGTTAGATACAAATTACGAAAAATCTGCTTTGGATAATAGAATAATTTTGACTTTGTCTAAAAAGAAAAATGTCTTGAAACAATTGTTACAAGACAGTCATTTCCTTGCGAGTTATAATATCATGGATTATTCGTTAGTTGTTGTGCTGTCGAAATCAACAATGAAAATAAGACTCGGAATTGTTGACTATTTTAGGAAATATACAATTGATAAAGCTCTGGAAACATGGGTAAAGAAAACTCCAATTTACGAAGAATACAAAATAGATCCAACAATTATTTCGCCGGATAATTACTGCGAGAGATTTGTTAATGCAATGGAAAAGTATTTTTATCAATCTCCAAATGAAGAAGACATCGAAAATTTGGATGCTTCTTCAATAGAAGATGAGAATATTTAAAAATGTTTATTATTTATTTTTTTAGTTTTATATTTGAATAAATCTATTATTATTATTTTTGCGTATAAAGAATATGATGTTTTTTATTGTCTTAGACATTGAACATAGTTTCTAGACGAATTGAGTATCAAAATCAATTTTTCCCAGATTTCTACTTAATACAGACATAAAACTTATTAAAATGACAAATTTTCAGTCAGTCCAACAAATTTAACAAGAGGAGCTTATATTTAATTATTATAATCTTATTCATAATACCGAAAATTTCACATTTTTCCGACATTTTTTTTGGATGTCGGAAAAATTTGAGAATTTTCTTGCATTTGATTATCCTTGCTTCTATAATTGAACAGTACTCGGATCGAAATCAATCATAAGCAATTTTAATTTTTTTTTTCGGAAAAATTTGAAAAAAAATTGACATTAAAACTGAAAGATGAAGAAAATTGTGTATGATGAACTGATGGAGTTAAACAAAGGCTATATTAATACTTTTAATGCATTGTATAATCTCAAGACATTCGAAGAAAACGAAATTGACAAGATTTATCAAGATATAAAATTAAATCTTATCGAAACAAAAATATTATTTCCTGATCAAATTCTAGAGGCGATTGGTGTTGCGTCAAAATTCAATAATAAGTATTTAAAATCATATTGGGCAATATTTAAAAAGTTATTTGAAGAATATAGACCAAATAAATTTAGATCTGAGAATTCTATCATTAACTACTTTGTTTACAAAGAATATGGACATTTTATTAATAAAAGAGATCTAGATTTATTCAATGTTTTCGAAAAACAAAATATTTCATTAGATGTACATGAATCAAACACAATTTTTAGAGCCATCATGGATGATAACAAAATTTTATTTATTTCATTCATAGAAAGTGAAGGATTTAATGATAAAATGCAACTAAGCAGCATGTTTTATCCAGATAAACTACTTTCTTTACTTGAATTATGCTGCTATCATGGTGCAGTTAATTGCTTCAAATTATTGAGGACAAAATTCAAATCAACAATCACCCAGCGATGCCTTCACTATTCGTTTTTGGGTGGAAATCCAGATATAATGAATGAGTGCATGAAAGAACAAAATCCAGATAAAATATGCATGAGATATGCAATTATTTCTCACAACATTGATTTTGTTTCTTTTTTGATGAATGAACACAATATTGAAATTGATTTAGATGATTGTTTAACATTCAAAAATCTTCATGCATTATTTGTTAATTTTGACCAAAAAGATGATATTAATACTTTCTTTCTTTATTCATCGACATTTAATATTCCATCACTTTGCGAGTATTTACTTTTACAAGGTGCTGATGTAAATACAAGAAATGATGAAGGATTAACTGCTCTTCATTTTGCAGCAAGAGAAAATTGTCCAGAAACTACTCAATTTTTAATTTTACACAATGCCGACATAAATGTCACAGCCAAACTCATGCAGCTAACAGCTCTTGATATCGCCGTAATGTATAATTATGTCAGAGCAGTGGAAGTTCTCTTATTAAATGGAGCAAATGCTAATGCGAAAGCATACGATGGATCATCAATGCTTCATATGGCAGCCGGTCATGGTTCTAAAGAAACAGCTGAACTTCTTATTTCACATGGCGCTGAAATAAACGCAAAAGATAATAATGGGGCTACTCCACTGCATATTGCCGCACAATATAATTTCAAAGATATGGCAGAATTGCTTGTTTCCCATGGTGCTGTTATTAATGCAAAAGATTATAAAAACATGACTCCATTTTATAATGCTATATATGGTAATTGTATTGAAACTACTGAATATCTTAAATCACTCGGAGCAAAGATATGAAAAAATAAAAATTTATTATTAAATCTAAATGCTTTAAGTGCTATAGAGCTATATATAGAATTTAATGAACTACTATTTGAATTTGCATAACAAAGCATTTATTAATATCAGATACTTTCGATACTTGGCTGCAATGCAAAGCATATTGATGCCATATTTGATTGTAATTATATTAGCGAGAAATAAAATTTATATCTTTGCTACTATTTTTTGATATAGAAACTATTTCTTATGTATGAAATGGAGCAAATGCATGCAATAAAATTATTAATATGAGAATAATTATGAATAAAAATACAATTTATATATTACATAACAAAAAAATTAAATTATAATTAAAATTATAATGTAACACATTCGATTTTTTCTTGACATATTCCTAATCTTATTGATTTCGTGAAATGCACACCAGGAGACATCTTCGAAAGACAAATAATTCTTCCATAATCAATATAAGACATCATTACATCTGTTCTCCATAAAATTGAATTAGGGAATTTAACTGACCAAATCATATCAGTCTTTTCTGCTTCAGCAATTATTTCTTCTTCCATCGAAACAGCTATTTTAATATTCATCTCTTTTTGCTGTGATTCGAATCTCGCAAGTTGAGCGAAATTAACAGCATCTCTTGCAGCTTGTCTTGGTGAGTTTGCATCGTAGAAGAGCACATAGAAAGAAAATCGCATCTTTTCAAACATGAAGAAAGAAACAAATTGCGAAAACAAGTCTTCCAATTTGCTCGAAAATTCAAGAAATTGAGAATTTGAAACAGAATTTGCAAAGGAAAAATTGACAATTGCGACATTTTGAATATGACTTGCTTTCTCTCTCTGAAGAACAGTTGGTATGGAAAATGTCAATCTTATATCCTTATACAAATCTTTAAGCGTCTCTTTTTTATTGTATAATCCTGTAACATCATTAGATATAGTGACTTTTTCTCCTTTTGTTATCAAATCATCTGGCAAGATCTTTTTATGGAATGTTTCGTAGTTGTAATGATGTTTAACACCTCTTACATCTGTCATCTCGCTTGGAACATTCTGTATTAATTCACCTCTTATATTTCCAAAGACTTCTTCAGCAACTTCGTTTTCATCAACGATTTTTTCATCTTTGGAAATTTCAAAAGTTGGAACAGGAAAACATTTGAATAAAGTCATATTAATATTTCTGACTTCGTCTTTGTAGCCCAAGAAAGCATTGTTATCATCAAAGAATGGATTGAAATACTTCGGCATTGCCATCATTCTCTTCATTAATTCATTACTTGTCTTCAATCTTTTGTAAATTACTAATCCGTAAACAAACATCACAAAGAAAGCAATGAAAAGAAGAATAGGAGCAAATATGAATACAAACAAAACATAATTAGCAAGAAAAGATAAGTTCGTTGAGAAGTTTGTCAACAAATTATTAATTGGAGCTGTACAAGATAAAGCAGAAGGAACACTCATGTATATAACATCTTTTAGGTTCTCTTTGACTAATGATTCTTTGAGAATTATGAAGAAATCTCTCATCATTATTGCTGTACTGTTCATAAAGTTTGCAAATAATGATGAATTAACGTGTTGAAGAGTTTGAATCATCAATTCTGATTTGACAACAGTGTAATTGATGAATTCGACGGAGAATGTATTATTCTTATGGAGGAATGAATGATTATATGACGAATTATGACTGAGATACAAATAATTACCTAATCCATTCAAGAAATTAAATGATAACTTCACATTTTCAAGACCGGTTTTTATTGAGTCATTATAGTTCATCATAATTGGAAGTATTACATCATCATTGGCTATTAAAGGCGCAGTTTGTGATATCAATAATGTGCATTTAATGAAATTAATAAACTGGTTCTCTGCAAAATAGAGGCTTATTGCATAGAGGTAGCCTATAAGTATTGGAAATATGCAAACAATGCAGAAATATAAATAGGAATGATTACTAGTTCTCGATTGTGATGAGGATTTGATTTCAGGAAGAACCATCTTCGAATACTTTCTGTATAAATATGATGTGAAATCCTTGGAAATGTGCATTGGCTGACAGGAAAGATATTTATACAAATCTTTCGAGTATTTTTCAACAAAAATGAAGACAATCAGGAATAAAACCGTTGTTGCTGACAATCCAATTAATGAATATTGAATATACTTATGAACCGAATCTCCATAATCTGTATATTCAAAATATAGGTCTCCACATCGCCACATTAGCAACAGGAACAATTTTTGAGTGGTATCAGTATCATTAATGAACGTTTCATTGCCTATCGCATATAATAATTCTAATTGGGCAGCCTGAAAGAGATCAGTCATAGTTTGATTGCGTTTTATATATTCTATTGATAACAAACTTGAAAATGATTCATTGATCTGTTTGATGCTTTGATTCTTCGATTCTTCTGAATACGAATTTTTATAGTAAAGTTCAGTCGGAGTCTGCCAGGAAAGGATAATTTGGATGTATGCATTGTACATTCTTTGAATTGACCTGTATTTTGCGATAGGCTGAGATGATTTGTGAGTTACAAATAAATAAGAAACCAAAACACCTAAAACAACAATAAACATATCAACAATAACAATAACTCTGGCGAACTTATATGTTTTTGGTTGGACTTTTGATATATTTTTGACTCTTTCGGCATAATAATTATCAGATTGATCAACAAAAGGTTCATTTTCTTCATCAGTATAAGATTTGTCATCTTCCTCTTCTTTATTGTTGTCTGTATCTATTTTCTTTGAACAAACTTCTGGATCTAATATGATATTTTTCAAAAATTTGTTATTTCCTCCAATTACAGCATTATGTCTTTCAAAGAAAGGTTTTGCTCTTTGTACAAGTTTTATCAACTCAATAAAAGATGAATATGCTAATTTTGAGTTGTTTTGGATAATTTGATACCAATATTCTTCTTCTAACTTGTAACACATTGACAATAATGATGAAGATATTTTGGATCCCTTCAAAAGAGTCGTTCCTGATGCAAGGAAAATGATAGATCTAAGCATGGAAGAGATATATCTGTTAGTTGTGTTATAAACCGACATTTTTTCAGCAAATTCAAGGATCTGTTGATGCGATGATGGATAATAAAGCTTATACAGAATCAAAAATACGATTAATGAGTGATTATTTGGAAATGCTTCCATAACTTTGGAAGGAAAATCGAGAGAAAACTTTTCTTGATCTTTTCTGACATCACTAACACACAATATACGTATTAATCTCTGGTATTTATAATTTATTGGCTCAACTTGATCTATTGCATTAATATGCTGACGAATATTCCATCTAGAAAGATATGTATGAATTAATGCAATTATAATAAATATTAAATCGGCAACTAGAATGTAATATACTGCCTTTATCGCATCTAATTTTGTTAATCGAGAAATGAAAATTGTTGTCATGGAAGCATTGATTATAAATACTATCTCCAGGACAACTACAGAATGCCAAGCACTATGGTATACAGGAATTTGAAATGTTCGATATAGAAGAAGAATTCCAAATATTAGGAAAATAAATGTAATGAAACATATAGAAACTTTTTGCTCTTCCGAAAATTCTATGTAAATCAAGGCCATCATTGCTACAAGATAGAAAGAAAACACTTTTGAAGATAAATTAAAATCAAATGTAATATATGGAAGCCTTTCAATACGAGAATCTGCTAAAAGTCTCATCAATCCAAATAATGTGCCTGGTATGGATAACCCAGATAAAAGGCAAATTATTAATGCATTTATATCTAAAGATTTAGTGAAATTGAATAGAGAAGTTGTAAACCCTATGCATACACAAGTTATTATGAATGGTGTGATTATGTTATAGAACGTATTGAAAACTAAAGTCGGCATTGGTTGAATTGCTCTTGATTTTCTTTGACTTAAGCGTATGCACATCGATATTAATGATAAAAGAAATATTACGATAAAAGTATATAGCGAAGGAGTTGAAAAAATCGATTCAATTCCATTTTGAATTTTTAATCCAACAGCTTCTCGGAAATATTCAATGCCTTGTATGCGCTCTTCTGAGTTGTATTCTCTGATTGCGATAATGACAGAAGTTAAAATTTGAGTGTTGATTAATAACGAATTTATCACCGCGATGATATGTTGTCCGATAACTTGAGCATTACTGATAGCACCTAAATCATCAAAATATCTACAAAATGTAATGAAAGGATTCAAGACTTCTACATTAGACAAATAGTCATATCCTTTCATTAATTTGTCAACTTTTTGTTATTAAATATTGTAATGTTCTATGCAATAAAAAGATTGATATGAAATGCTATTTTGAGCAATTCGGTCAATTGAATTTTTGATACGAGTTTTTGAATCCATTGAAAAGAATAATTGTTTTCATAGTCAATAAACTTAATGTATACAAAGATATAAAGATCTTCGTAAATAAAAACCATTCAATTGAACGATAATTATGAAAATACTGGTTGATCAGTGTGTCGGTTTGGTGAATTATTTAATATGATTAAATTTTTTCATATAAAATAAACCGTTTAATTTCAATAATTTATTTAAACAAATAAATCCAGTAACTAGTTAGTAGTTTGATAATAAATCTCGAGTTGAAAGATAAAACGTCACTTTTTGATGAAATTTCAATATGGCAGATTTTTCAATAATTTTATCAAGGGATAGATCTTAGTACATCCTTTGAAGATGACAATGCTTCAAAGTGTTGACAAGTTACTTAATCCAAGATAGTAGTAACTGATATATGCTATATAATGATTTCTTGAATAATAATCAGTAAGTACTTAAATTATTTTAAATACCATCCGACTATAAATCATTTCCTTTGATTTTTCGCATTTAATAGAGAAAATTAACAAGATCTTTCGTATTCTGGAGAATGGATTATGCGTACAATGTTGTTTTGCGAAACTATTATAAGACTTAATGAAACCTTGGTGATAAATCAACAAACTAGTTCTATTTTGAGAAAAAAAAATCAGCAAAAATTTATGAAAATTAAATATAGAAGCTAATTAAATAACATGTTTACAAAAAAGAAATTATTAAATTTAAAAATAAGTTAAATAATAATTGATTCAATAACACCGCTCAGTTTTTCGAAAAATTGATCAAATAAATCAATATTTCCTGCAACAAGTACAACTTCAACGCTAAGTATTCCTACGTCGACAATTCTAAGCCGTATGACGAAGTCAAGGCTGTTGCCGCGTACGAAAAATGTCAAATCATCAGGGAAGATGAACGCGTATCTTTCCTGGTCAAGGAACTGCTGTATTGCGTTCGCTACTGTTTCTTGAGGTGCCTGAGTTTCGACCGAGTGCTTGATAATCGATGGCATCGTTGGAATGTCGAGAGAAAGCATAGAATGCTCGATAGCGCTGTAACATGATGATAAGGATGGTAATGTTGGTGGTTTTTCTGTTAACGAATCCGTAGAAGATGAAGCTGATATTGTTCTTTCTGCCGGCATCATTAATGGCATAGAATCTGGCACGTATTCGACCTTTTCTGGCCATTGTATTGAATCAAATGATACCAATCTGTCGAGCATATAACAAAATTCTTTGGCAACAGTATGATCTTCGCAAGTTAAGTCGCGTTCGAGTTCCTCATCAGTAAATCCGAGTTGGTGTAACACAAGCATTGATTCTGGAGGTATTTTAGCGATATCCAGTGGTGGCAATTGTTGAGGAATTGGTTGAGGCGAAGGACATCGATATAGAGGGGATAAACCTATTCTAAATGCCGGATGATTCTTAATTTCAGGTAGAGTAATGCGTTTCGATGGATCAACCGTGAGCATTTTCGTAATTAAGTCTTTGATGTCCATAGGGAAATCCGGCATTTGGTATTTTCCTGATCGTACTCTTGCAAGCAACTTACGGACGGTTGGTTCATCGAAAGGAAGTCTTCCGCACATCAATGTATAGAAAACAACGCCGCAACTCCATATATCAGCGGCTCTTCCGTCATAAGGGAGGCCAATGATCACTTCAGGAGCTGTATAATGTGGTGATCCGCATGCTGTATACGCTGTATTCTCTGGCATCCAACGCGCGAACCCAAAATCAGCAATTTTGACGTTATCATGTGCATCTAACAGGATATTCTCGGGTTTGATGTCTCTGTGGCAGATTTGGTGAATATGAAGAAATTCTAAACCATAAATTAATTGTCTAAATAAATATGTTGCCATCTCGACTGAAAATGATCCTCTCTCAACAAGAAAGTCGAAAAGTTCACCGTGAGCTGCATATTCAAGAATGATATATAAGTGACGTACTGATTCATAAACATCAACGAGTTTTAATAGATGAGGATGATCAAGAAGCCTCATTATTGATATTTCGCGTTGTATTTTTTCTTGCATCTCAGGCGCAGACATAAATAAAGATTTTTTCACGATTTTTATTGCGACTTTTTGTCCAGTTTCTTTATGTTCAGCTAGTTTAACCTTTCCATACGACCCCGAGCCTATTGACTTGACAACATAATAGTCGCCAATCTCGGGGCGCGTCTCTGACATCAATTGAGAGAACAAAAAGTGATCACCTTTCTTAGAAAAATTGACTGAAAATCTTTGTAAACTTTGAATACTCAAAAGGCCAGACCTCGCCGATCATTGAATCTGATGTTAGGATGGCAATGTGGAATACTCATGCGTGGTTATCTTATTTAGTTTTGATATTAACCTAATATTTTTTTTTCTAAAAAAATTATTTCTCATATTTTGGAGATGGATTCGAATAAATGAATGAATGAAAAACAACCATATAATATGTATCTTTTAATCAATTGTTGCTTTGAACAAAACGCCATTATTAACTTTCGAGTGTGCCCTATCCATCTGATGGAAGTGTACGTTCCGTAAACTACTCCTCTTCATTAAATAGAGCTTTTATTTAAAGCATTACATATTTCAATTCACTATTTTCGAACTTTTTAAGAATATTCGCTCGGCATGTAATAATATGTATTTAAGGCAGATATCAATATTGAGAATAAGTTCCCTTTCTATTTATGCATACCATTATTTACTTTCTTCTTGAGCTGATACAAATATTTTTCAATGACAGTGATTTGCCTTAACTTAAGGCTACAAATCAATTTGTATAGGTTAAGTTTCTTGATATGTGCTATAATTGTGTCTCATTATTAGAATAAATTTGAGATGAATTTGAAAAAGCAATAACACTCTTTCAAAATACCAACTATCCGATACACAAGTTGATTATTAACCAACTATCCTTATATATTAAATATCCTTAAATCATTTTCATAAAAAATTGACTAAGATCTCGTATTGAGAATCTTTACAAATTGTAAACCTCCAATTGGGTAAATATCAGTCATAATCCTAAATTTAAATCATTAGTTTTTTTCATCGATATTCGCACCATGTGAAACGAGAATTTCAGCAGTTTCAACGATTATTCAATGCTGCAATATGAAGTGCGTTTTCTCCATCATTATCTTATTCATTCATATTTGCACCATGAGAAATAAAAACTTCGGCAGTTTCTTTACAATTATTCCGTGCTGCAATATGAAGTGCGGTTTTTCCATTTTTATTTATTCAATTGATACTCGCACCATGTGAAAAGAAGTATTCGATAAGGGATGGATTATTAAACATCGGTGAATAAACAAAAGATTAGTTTGATCGAAAGAAACTAAAAAGGATTCAAGATTATTGTAAATTCCATGGAATTCTAAGTTGATATCTATACTGCATTCATTCATCAAGAAAGTAACAAAATCAATGTTGTGTGAAATAATTGCATATTCCATGCATTCTTTAGATGGTTTTTGATATTTCAAATATTCGCTCATGATTTCTGGATTTTCCCCTAAAAATGAATATTCTAGATATTTTTGAGTTATTTCTGAGCTGTATTTCGTTCTTAATAACTTAAAACAATCAACTGCTCCATGGTAACAACATAATTCAAGCAATGAATACCCTACATAAGAATGTGAATACAATGTGCTTTTAAGTTTTTGATTTTTATCAAATCCATCTCTTTCCGTGAATATGATGAATCTTTCTTTGTCATTATTCATAATTGCTCTGTATATTGTATTCTCTGTTTGAATATCGAGATCTTCTGAATTAACTTCTCAAAATCGGCCGTCTTCTTTATAAAACAGGAAGTTTTGTTGTAAACAGAAATTCATCAAAAGTGACACCTCAGAAAAGCTAAAATATTGAATTTTTGGAACTTTTGATAGAGCACGTTTTTAAATATTAATTAAAGTAAATGTATATTTTGTAAAGATTCTTTTTAATAAAAAAATAAAATTTTGAAGAAGAACACAAAATCTTCTGAAAAATAATATCACATAAACTCATATTATTTTCTAATATATAACTATTTTATATAAAAATCAAATTCAATGATCTTAAAAGCGAAGATAAACCTCAAAATTTACGAATATAATGAGTGGGAATATAATGCTTATCTATCATAAAACCATATGAAATATCAATTTTTGCTTTACGCCTAATTTTTGACGACAATTAGCAAAAAATGTTAAATGTTAACACTCAGTCCATTTGAATATGAAAAATAAAATTGACTTTGATTAAATGTTTTTATTTATCATGCAATTCTTCTTGCGACCAAAGATTTGAATAAAAGTTTCAAAAAATAAGATAGCTTAAAAAATAATATACGGTAGTGTTTACTAATAGATGAATAGTATATAAATTCTATTAAAATGGATTTGATCCAAAAAAATATAAAACCAAAAATAATTGTTATAATTTAAATGAAGAAGTAATTTCAAACGATTTTATTTATGATCAAATTTATATATTTTTTTGGATCAAATCCATTTTAATAGAATTTATATACTATTCATCTATTAGTAAACACTACCGTATATTATTTTTTAAGCTATCTTATTTTTTGAACTTTTATTCAAATCTTTGGTCGCAAGAAGAATTGCATGATAAATAAAAACATTTAATCAAAGTCAATTTTATTTTTCATATTCAAATGGACTGAGTGTTAACATTTAACATTTTTTTGCTAATTGTCGTCAAAAATTAGGCGTAAAGCAAAAATTGATATTTCATATGGTTTTATGATAGATAAGCATTATATTCCCACTCATTATATTCGTAAATTTTGAGGTTTATCCTTCGCTTTTAAGATCATTGAATTTGATTTTTATATAAAATAGTTATATATTAGAAAATAATATGAGTTTATGTGATATTATTTTTCAGAAGATTTCATTCTATATGCCTATGAAAAGTACTCTCAAAACTAACTTTTCCTAATTATAATTAAATCTAGAATATTGTATTATGCTTAGTATTATTTCATTTTTCTCATTCAATTTAGAATTTACAAATGTCAAAAAATTGAGAGCTGTCACTTTTGATGAATTTCTGTTTATTACAGTTTGAAATAAGTATGACGCTATTGACCTCTTCGACATGGTATTCATCAGATATGAGTTTATGTGCGTGGGTGAAATAAATTGAATGGTTTACAAGCGACTCGCCCAGTGGGATTACCTTTAGGTTGGGTATACAAAGTTTATTCGTTTTAACTTTAGTCATGCTTTATATAAGTTATATGATATGCGAGAAAGAGGGGGCAGAAATGATTTTTAATTATTGAAAGAAATTAAATTTAAATTTTTTAAATTTCATATCTTTAAATTTTTTAATAAAGAAAAAAACTATTACATTGGTGGTGGTGGCGGTGGTGGAGGAGGAGGAGGTGGTGCATCTACGCCTAAAGATGTTGGCTCTTCTTCGTTTATGTACTTGTAAAGAGAAGTCTTGACAATTGGATTTCCGATAACATTAGAGTAGTCAAGAGCAGAACGTCCGAGTGGATCCTTGAATCTGACATCGAGATCGTCCTTTTCGAGGAAGAGATCGACAACACGTTCGTGGTTGTGCATAACTGCGTAGAGTAATGGTGTAAGTCCTTTTGCGGCAACTCTGTTGTATTGTACTCCTTCGACGTTGAAAAGTAAAAGAGCTTCGTCGTATGCGCCAGTTCTTGCGGTGTAATCGAGTGGAGTATTGTTGAAGTTGTTCGCGATGTTAATATTGATGCGTGGTTCAGAAACAAGGACTGTAACTGTATCTGTGTTCTCTAATAATGTGGCATAATGTAATGGAGTCTTTCCCCAAACGTTTTGCTGGTTAACGTCGCAGCGAGGGCAATCACAGAAAACACGACAAACATCTGGGAAGCCAATCTGTGCGGCATAGTGAAGAGGAGTCTTATCCCATAATGCCTTGGAGTTTGGATTAACTTTTTCGAGAGTAAGGAGGTATCTGCATGTTTCTGTACGTCCGGCAATAGCGGCTAGATGGAGTGGTGTATTTAATTCGAAGTTTCCTTCGTTGATTAATGCATCTTCACGTTCGGCAAGAAGACGGACGCATTCTGTGCGGCCGGCCTTTGCGGCTGTATGTAATGGAGTATTCTTTTCTGCATCGACTAAGTTTGGCTGAATTCCTTCCTGAGATAAAAGTAATCTTGTATTTCCGACGCAACCTGCTAAAGCTGCATGGTGTAAAGGAGTCATCTGTTGGTTGTCTGGCTCGTTGATATCTAAGCCAAGAGTAAGAACGTAGCGTAAACATTCTTCATTTTGGCATTGAGCTGCGTAGTGAAGAACGTTCAGTCCGGCGTTTGTCTTTGTCTTAATGTCAACGCCTTCTGTGGCGCAGATGGCTCTAACAATGGAAACGTGACCAGATAATGCGGCAATGTGGATTGGAGCAATTCCGTCTTGATTCTTCTCGTTAACTTTGATGGCTGGAAGTCCGAGTAAGTAACGGGAGCATTGAGTACGGTTGCTTTTAACAGACCATAAAAGTGGTGTAGATTTTTCTAAATCTGGCTCGTTGATATCGACTTCTGGGATCTTGCTGAGGTAGCGAACACAATCTGCATGACCGTTCTTGCAAGCAAGAATCAATGGTGTATCTCCGTCGCCATTTCTCAAACTCATTTGAGCACGAGCAAGGTGGAGCCAAATAATTAGATCTAAATCGCCGTTCATGGCTGCGTAGTGAATTGAAGCGTTTTTGTTTTGATCTAAAATGTCTATATCAAAAATTTTATCTTGAATTTGGCAGATGAACTTAAAAGCTGTATCACAACGGTGCTTAGCAGCAAATGGAAGGTATTTTTCGAATTCCAAGCCAAAGCCCTTTAAAAGATCGATGATATCGCAATCTCCACCGAGAATAGCAAATTCTGTGATTGGAGTTCCTTTGGCATCTTTTACGAAGAATTGTTGATAACGCTCGGCGATAAATTTGAAACAACGACGTGCGCAGTAATATGCACAAACAGAGAGAAGCGGGGGTTCATTCTGTAAAAATGGTGGTAAAACATGATCTGCATCGATGAGCTTTGCGTCTAGTTGCAAACCTTGGTTAAAGAGTTGAGCTAGAGTGGCGTCATCATCAGATTGGAGTGCAACGAACAGTTCTTCCGGGTCGCACTGCATCGATTTAAAATCGGTGTCACGTTTTCATATAAACATATTTTATTTCACGTAAATTGTAAATCAGCTTTTAAGACCATTATTTTCACTTTAAAGAAAATGAATAAGAATCAAACGAATTCCATGAATTGAAATAAATTTCGGGATTTTGAGCAAATTGAAAATTGCCCGAAATTATTTCTGATTAATTATGGACAACTTTCACGGATTTAGTCTTATCAAAGATGATCTATTTCAAATGTGTAACTGATATTTAAGTTTTAGATGAGTTATGAGACATTTGGAGACTTAATTGTCCATTTATTATTCTATTTCGTTTAGTCAATGACAGTATCACTACAATTCAATGTTTTCACTGGTATCACAAGTTGCTTAATGTAAATAACCAGCTCTGATATCACATATATGTTCTGAAACATCATAATTATAGTTCGATATTGTCTAATTCAGAACTCAAAACATGCACCAAAATCAAATCTAATTTACTCGTAGAAAATATTATTATTGTTAATGAATCTGAAAGGTTCTATGCATTACATGTACAGAGTTTTAAAGTAATAAAACTATTTTCTCTGAACAACACACCTACCCACTGTATTTCGCGCGTGGTAGTGAAATTACTCATTTTTTTCAATAGCCATGACATTTCTATTCCATCGAGTTGTGAACAGAACATTATTAATATTTATCATTAACAGATATATAATTTAGATGCTCTTTATCAATTTCTTATATTCTCACACAAATCCTTGTTCTATTAGTAAATAAAGTTTAACAAGCACATTAGACACTATATAGTGATATATAATAACTGCTTACCGATAAAAATATTAACTTTTCGCCTTAGAAATTGAGACATGAAGATATTTATGTAAGAACATTCTTAAATAATTGATAAGAGATAATTCTTAACATCTCCCCAGCTAACGGAGAGTGGTGTTTTTCCTTCATTATTTTTTGCATCTTTATCAGCTCCAGCTGAAATAAGATATTTAACCACATCAAGATGACCATTTATCGAGGCACAAATGAGTGGAGTACATCCAGCATTATTTTTTTCTTCTATGTCAGCTCCACATGATATAAGATATTTTACAACTCTTAGATGACCTTTTTGTGATGCAGCAATGAGAGGATTTTCTCCATTTTTATTCTTAGCACATTTATCAGCACCAACAGAGATGAGATAATGAAAAATATCATAATTACCTTCATTTGATGCAACAATGAGAGGAGTATCTCCATTATTGCTTTTTGCTTCTATATCAGCTCCGGCAGAAATAAAATGTTTAACTGCATCAAGATTATTCCAATATGCTGCAATAATTAGTGGAGTTTTCCCATCTTTAGTTTTTGCGTTAATTTTAGCTCCAAAAAGGATTAGATACATAATCATGCTAAGGATATTATTATGATATGTATTAATGAGTTGGGGCAACACATCGTCATTTTTTGCATCTATATCAGATACAACTGAAACAAAATTTACGACTTCCATATATTTTTCATAATTAAATGCTTTAATGAGTGAAACCCATAATTCATTATTATTTGCTGTCATATCTGCCCCAATAGAGATAAGATATTTAGCAACGTTGAATTTACATGAATTTATTGCTGTAATGAGAGGTGTATATCCATTATTATCTGCCAATTCTTTATTAGCACCATTAGAAATGAGAAATTGAACCACTTCAAGCTTACCATATTTTGATGACCAATGAAGTGATGTTTCACCTTTCAAATTCTGTGCATCTTTATCGACCCCAATCGAGATCAGATATTTAACAATATTAAGATGACCCATGTATGAAGCCCAAAAGAGTGGAGTATTTCCATCTTTGCTCTTTGCTTCTTTGTCAGCTCCCACAGAGATAAGATATTTTATAACTTCAATATCACCACCATATGATGCCAAAATAAGTGGAGTGTGTCCATAATTTTCCTTTGCATCTTTATCAGCTCCATTAGAGATCAAATATTCAACAATTCCAAGAAAACCAGATATTGATGTATGCATGAGTGAAGTACATCTGTAAATGTCCTTTGCTTCTTTATCAGCTCCAATAGAGATACGATATTTAAAAACTTCAAGATGACCGAATTTTGAAGCATAAATGAGTGGAGTACGCCCACCATTATCCTTTGCTTCTTTATCAGTTCCAATAAAGATAAGATATTTAACAACTTCAAGATGACCGCTTATTGAAGCACAAATGAGTGGAGTCTGTCCATCATTATTCTTTGCTTCTTTATCTGCTCCAATAGAGATCAAATATTCAACAATTTCAAGATAACCTTTCTTTGATGCACATTTGAGTAAATTATTGCCTGCATTATCTTTAACTCCGCTATTAACTCCAGAAGAAATAAGATTTTTAACTACTTCATAATGGCCTTTTTGAGATGCCCAAATTATGGCTGTTTGACCTAAATTATCCTTTGCTTCTTGATCAGCTCCAATAGAGATAAGATATTTAAAAACTTCAAGATGACCGAATTTTGAAGCATAAATGAGTGGAGTACGCCCACCATTATCCTTTGCTTCTTTATCAGTTCCAATAAAGATAAGATATTTAACAACTTCAAGATGACCGCTTATTGAAGCACAAATGAGTGGAGTCTGTCCATCATTATTCTTTGCTTCTTTATCAGCTCCATTAGAGATAAGACATTTAACAACTTCAAGATGACCGAATATTGAAGCACACATGAGTGGAGTACACCCATCATCATCTTTTGCTTCTTTATCTGCTCCGATGGAAATCAAATATTTTACAGCATCCAGCTGTTTGAATAATGATGCCATTGAGAGCGGAGTAATTCCATATTTATCTTTTGCTTCTATGTTGACGCCGCATTTACAAAGATATTCCATGAGTTTGAGATTTCCATCACATGATGCTTTATGAAGAATACTATGGCCATCCTGATTTCTCTTATCGCAAAAACCTTCATCATATGCTAATGAATTAATTTTTTGATCTTCTTTTCTTGAAATTTCATCAAGAAATTCGTATATACTATAAAAATCATCAGAATTCTTTAATTCTTTAATTTTTGGAAGTATTTCTCTCGGATTGAAACCATTAATATTTCTTAATCTTATAACTGAATTCCTATATGATTTGTAAACAATTTTTTCATTTCCATTTGCTAAACCATCTATTTCATCCATTAAAATATCGCTGCAAAACTCTAAATTAACATATTCAAGTAAAGGATAGTAAATCTCGGATTCTTTAATAAGATTAATGATGAGCCTTGCAAATGTATCTTCATCCTTTACTGCAAGTTCATTATTGCTAAATAATTTATGAAGGATTTCAATTCCGAGTTTTTTTGAAATTAACATGAGTTGATTTTCATCAATTTTGGAGAAATGTGTTGAGATAAATTCTATACACTCTTCGATCTTTTTGTCTTCTGAAATACAAATGTAATATTCAAGAAATTGAAAACAGTTTTCAATATCTAATTCCATCTGATCGAGAACGTACTTTTTATAAATATCAATTAGCTCATTCATTTCAAGAGCGATTCCTACTTGAAAGAGATCTTATAACACTATTTCATTACATTCAATTTCTTTTTTTTCGTAATGAAGGATTTCCTTTAATACATTATAAGTTGATGGAGATGCAATATTAATATTAACGTTGAATTTTGAAATACAATGATCTAAAATATATTGTTCACATAGCTTTTGTGAAATTGAAACTGCAAAGGATTTATAAAGCAATATTTCGACATTATTGATCATTAAAGTGAGCCTTTCTGATGTCTGGAAGTAATTAATTCTTCGAAGATTATGGTTACTAAGCTGAATGATTACCATATTTTAAATGGCAAATGATTTCAATGGAATTTGTGATACTTTTTTTTAGGTTTTTCAATTCGTTTTTCAAATTTTGTGATGTATTCAAAATAAAAATTAATTATTTTATTGAAAAAGTGCATAATGAATGACATCCGTTTATTTCAAAAAGCAGATAAAGTTATTTCAAATTAAAAATTTTCCACTTACTTGGTGGTACGTTTTAAGGTAGTTTTGATTCAAAAATTACCGCTTGAGTAGGGGAAACTCAGCAAATTAGATTGATTCTGAATTCGATTTTTTGAGATTATTTATTCACAATTTAATTTTGGAATTAAATTTATAATTAAAATTGAGGAATTACTACATACATAGTCGAACTGAACTTGATATTTTGAAATTTAAATTATTTATCAAAATTAAAATTTAACTTGAAATTTATAATTATTTAGTCATATTTTGCATAATTCTAAGTAGATTTTGTAAAAAATCAAGAAAGAAAAATTTTAACGTGCTTTATTTTTTCTTTTTTATAATAATACATATTATTATATAATTAACATATTCATAATGTTTCACCCTTTCAAAAATATAATCCTCCTCCTCTCAAATAAACGTACATACGGGTGGCCTCTTTTTTCAAAAAATTAAAATTTGAAATTTTGGGCTCAAATATTAGAGATTTTTTCAACCTTCAACGATATATGTTGTCTATATCAGACCTCCTTTCTTTTTGATACTTAACATTGTTCCTAAATCTTAGCCGTTAAGGCTGTTCTGAAAATATTTTTTTTTCGAAAAAATTCGAAAAAAATTCTTAAAATTCAAAAATCCCTTAATTCCTGAGGATTTTGGAAAAAAGTTTTTACATGAACATGTGTATATTATATGAAGTATATTGATAAGGTAAAAATCAAATTTTATTGCATATTCATCGAGAAAATAAACTAACGAATCCCTCAAAATTGAGAGGGTAATCCTCCTCCTCTCAAATAAACGTACATACGGGTGCACCCTTAACATACTTTTTTTTGGATTTATGAAGGCAATTATGGAGAATTGGAACGAAAATTTTTATGTAAGAGAATTCATTAAGACTTAAACTTTCACGAAAATAGAGTAAATATATCTTTCTCATCAATAGCAAATATTTGTTTACATTTTGGTTTCTAATTCTCGAATCTGCTATTTCCTAATCTCTTTGTATTGATTGTCATGCTGAAATTGCTGAATGAATAGCTAATTGAGGAGAAAAAAACGGGCAAAATAATAAATGAAAAATATTGGGGCAGACTTCGTTGGAGGTTTTCCTCGAATTGCAAGCCCTTTGAATCATACCCCAAAGACAACGAAGAAGCCCCGCCCAGCATCTGGAGATACAACTGGAGAAACAATGAAATCTTTATCTAAATTAAATCAGCAATTATCTTCGAATTTATTTACAGCAGAATCACAAAGAGATTTACTAAACGAAAGAATTGATATGCTTGAACAACAAGTGATTGCAGATCAAGATTTTATTGCCAATTTGAGAGCGCGCATCGCCAATTTATCAGAATCCGCAACAATTAGTCAAGCTACATCACCTCGTAATGATCAACCTCAGAAAAAAGTAGATCCAAAAGTAATTGCAGCTGCAGCAGAAATTACAAGCGATTCTATCTTTCCATTTTTACAAAATCGACCTCTAGCATTCTTCCACCTTATGTGTAATAAATCAGATGTCAGCATTGATGAAATAATCGATACAATTTCTTCAGATTTGATTGTTCCTCTTTTCCATTTCTCACTTAAGCAAATCAACAGATTTGCAACATTCTTCTCCCATATGGGAGAACTTTCAACAACAGCATTAGATCCAACTTTTATTGAGTTGACTGCTGAATGCGTTAGGAACGCCTACTTCAGTGAAGTATGCTATGTATTCATTCGCGATGAATTAAGCGGAGAATTCTTCTGCACATTAGGAAATAAATTATTACAAGTCAATCTAAAAGGAATGACATCAACAATAGCAAGTGTTGCGCAACTACAAAAGCCAACAATCTTACTGGAACCAGAAAAATACCCAGATTACTCTCCTTCTCTCGATCCATTATTTAATCCCGGGAATTTACCAGAAATCATCATCCCTGTTGGCCGAAACGCCGTTTTCTTAGTAATCAAAACAGATCCACAAGCTTACGATTACACAAATGAAGACATTGCCCTCGGAACAATGATATCTAAATTACTTTTGCCACTTTTTGAACAACATTTCGGATATAGAACGATGATGATGGAAGTAGAACATAGAAGGAACTTGAGACAGTTCGAATTAGACTTGTCTACAAAAACATCACTTGAAATCCTCATTCCTTTCCTCTTGGAATTGTTTAATTCGTTGATTTGTGCAAATGATGTCAAAATTTTTGTTTTTTCTGGCACTTTTTTGCTAACTTTTGAAGTTGAAGACCACAGGTTAGTTCAAAAGACACTAGACAGGAAGGGAATTCCTCAATGGATATATGAAAACAAAAAATACGTTTACACTGAAAAATTAAATTTAGATATACCAGGATTTGACTTTTATATTGATGGGTGGTCCACTGATAAACCATACATAGCCTATCCTGTTTACGGAGACACAAAAGATGTTATAGGTGTTGTTTGTGTGTCAGATAAAATTGGATCAAATAAATTTTCAAATTGGGACATGGAATTCATGGAATCGATGTCGGCAATGATGGCAGTAGTGTTACCAAGATGCATTGATGCACTCCAGGAGAAAAGAAAATCAGAAGGTGAACTAAGTCTTGAGAAATTACCTTTAACTTTGGAAAAAATCGCTTTTGAAGATTTAGAAAAAAGTGACAGTTATAAAAACATATTGATGAAGACAATGGAGCTGATTAAAGCAGAATGGATTTCATTTTATATCAAAAAAGACAATGAAGATGCAAAGAGAATCCTTACAATGCAAAATGATGAAATAAAAGATGAAATCATTGTGACATCAGAATTTGTTGAACAAAACTTCAACACAATGAAAGAAATAGTAGCTCCTGATGTTAAAAGAGTCGAAGGATTCGACATTGTTGGTAATTTCAACGCGAAATCTCTGATTTGTATAACAAATGTTCGTCATGACGAAAAAGTTTTCATTATTGCAATGAATAACTTATCAAAAACAGGCCAATTCTCTGATGAACATATTCCTATCTTGTATGTAATGTCTAATTACTTGATTTACACATTGAGATTGCAAAACAAAAATAATCAAATCGAAAATGCGAAATCAGGAAACGTAGTCATGGAAAACGTTTTCAAAACTTCATCAGAAGCATTGAAATCATCAGATCCTTTCTCTTTCTTATTGAATCAGTTTGCAGAAACAACAATGCTCAAAAATTTTGCTGTTTTCCGTGTGAGATTCCAGATAAAGAAATACGAAGTTCTCGTGAAATCTGAGAACGCAAAGAACGAAATGATTGATACAAATGATATAATATTTACAAAAACCGAAGATTTCTTTTACACGGCAGATTTCAAAAATTCTGCGTTTTTGGAGTCAAAAATTGTTCAAAACTTCCCTGAATTCAATCAGATGATTGTTCAAAAGCTTCATGATGGTCTTTACTTAGTTCTTGCCGGAAATGAAGTTCATCAAAACTATCAACAATTAATTTCTTATTTCTTGCCAAGTTTGAAATCATTTTCTTTGGCTTTTCTTCCTCGTCCTCCTCTCTGCAACATTGTCAACCTCCACGCAAGCAAACTGTTAGATACAGATGTATCTTCAAGGCTGTTCGTAAGCAGGAGCCTCTCCGATAGCGAGAAAACAGAATGCGCTATGAAATTTTTCATCAATGCTGAACTTTTAAACGCAATTGGAGGTGATTTGGAAAAATTGACAAATTTTGTCACTTTTACAAGAGAAAATTACAATGAAAATCTGAAATTCCACAATTTCGAACATGCTCTTGATTTTACACAATTTGTTTTTGTATGTTTGACGAGAAACAAGTTCGGAAACTGCATGAATGTTGATCAAAAAGCTGCTTTACTTTGTGCAAGTTTATTACATGATGTAAATCATGATGGAACTAATACTTTGTTTTTGAACCAGACTAGTTCTTATTTAGTTGATCTCTATGGAAAAGAAAGTACTCTGGAAAGACATCACGTATCAGAAGCACTCAGAATTGTAGAAAAATCAGGAATAACACTAAAAGATAAAAGATTTTTCGTAAATGCAATTTTGGCAACAGATATGTCAAAATTTGAGGAAAACGTACAAAAAGTGACAGTTTTAAGAGGAAAATTTAATAAGACTGATAAAACACAAGTTCCTTTAGTAGCTACTTTGTTAATGATGTGTGGAAATGTAGCAAATACGACAAGACCGTTTTATTTCGCAAGTGAATGTGGAAAAAGAATTTTGAGCGAATACCAAGAAATTTCCAAATTGGAAGAACAAAATGGAATTCAAAACCATCAGAAGATATGTGGAAAGAGCATAACTGATCCATTACCTGAAATTGAACTTGCATTCATTAATGAAATTGCATTGCCTTTGTTGGAAATTTTGGAAGATGTTTCTCCTGATTTCAAAGATTTTAAAGTCCAATGTCAAGATAATAAAGAACAATGGACTAAAGAGACAAAGAAATGATTTTTGTTTTATGTCATATATTGTAAAAAGTACCATGTATATTTTATTATTAAAAATGATGATTTTTAATTTTCTTTAATATCATGTACCCTTTAGCTAATAAGAAATTGCTTGTAATAGTTTGTATTTACATGATCTAAGTTAAATCCTCAATCTGGATTTCAAACGGTGATAAAAATTCAAATATTACCCTATATATGCGTCTATTCTCAAGATGCCACAGGAAACATTGCTTAAGGTTTTCTCCACTCAGATTTTTTATGCCGGTTTTCAAAATTGTATATGAATTTGCATCGTTTTATAAAAATCAAAAAATTTGATTCTTCTCATACTAAATTGTTTTCAAAAGCAGATCATGATTATGAACTGAAACCATTCTGTCAAATTTATTTTATTTTTATAAATAAGAAATGACACAATTACCAAGCCTTGTGCTTCAATACACTAAATTTAATTATTGTGTCGGCACCCCTGTATTATTGTTCAAATGTAAAGGCGATGAATTCCCAAAAATAATTGTTATGGCCTTAACAATTTTCACTTCTTTCTTATTTATGCATCTTGCTATCAGAATTATGCGCATTAACGGCTTTGCATTAAAAAACTTATCAATACCTAGTGTAAGATTTTGTCTTATTAATGTTGTTAGATTCGTAGTTATGTACCTTTACAATGAAGAATTCGTAATTGGTTATAATATTCAATCCAGATCTCAGTTACACAAATTAAGTATTTATATTAGTGATTTTCTCGTTCAAAGCGCAGTTATTTTTCTTTTAGAAATTTCTAGGTATATGCAAGTTCTCAGTATTAAATACGCCAACATTTTAACAACAACAATCAATATCCTTTACTACATAATCCTTGTTCGATTTATTTTCACTAGTATTTTAGTTATTATTCCATTTTCCAAAACATCTTCACTTTACACATTCGTATTTCGTACATACGTTCCATATTACCAAACCGAGTTTTATATCCTATTCTGCGCCGCTTTAGTTCTAATGAGCTACACATTTATTCTTACCGATAACGGAAGCTTGTTTTTAGATGAGAGGAGCTTGGGTTACATCAAGATTGGAATGTTTTTATTTGTAACTTCGTTCTGGGCAAGGTATCTTCTTAATGAATTTTACCAAATGGTTTATTATGATCATAAAGTAGATCATATGTCAAGAAAACAATTTTTATATGCTGATATAATGTTCAAATTCGCCCTTTATTGCTTCCTTCCTCTTTGTTATTACTACATGTTGTTTTCATTTATGATACCTACTAAGAAGGAAGATTCCAATGATCATCTTGATGAAGTATTAGAGGTTTCCATTTTTTAATTTTATAAAATGTTTGTTATATCTCAAATTATTTTTTATATTTTAGCAAAAAAGAGTTCATTATGTTTCATCTACTTGAAAATGTCTTTTGTATAGACTAATAAGTAACAAGAGATAAATTTATATACTATGGGCTGTATAATTTTTAATCGGAACTCAAATGTGTTTGCATTTAAAGATAGTGATTACAATGTATCTTACATCTATTGAAAATAACTATCTTTTGATCTATTCAGATCGAAAGATTTGGGAGATTTTGATATTCAATCAAAATCTTAATAAAGAACATATGAAGATTAAAAAATCTTAACATAATTTTGAATAGTAATCATATCTAATATCTTTTTTTATTCTCTATAAAAATTTAACCCGGAGTGATAGCATCTATTACTGCTTGGTACGTTGCAAGGCCTGCAACCATAATTCCAACACAGGAAAGTGCTATCATGAAAAGATTTGTTGGGTTAAACCATCTATATCTGCTAACAAGTACATACAAAAGTGGAGGAACGAAGAAATTTGCCAGACATCCACCAAAGGCTCCTCCAACCTCGAAAACAGGGTGAATCTCTGGCAAAAACATTCCAACGGTAACAGGAGGTAAATTTGTAATGAAAATTGTAATTAAGCGTTTTCCAGTTGGAAGTTTGGAAGGATTTTCGACACCAAACATAACAGATGCTATATCCTGAACAACGCTAAGTCCGATAATTGCATATGAAGCATTTACAACAATAAAGAATCCGACGCGGACTATTTGCATCACAATATCCTTACTATCAAATGATGATATCGAAATCTGCTTTGTGTCAACTCCGAAAATAAGATAACAAATTGTTCCTGGAATTACAACAATAACAAAGCTGGTAAGGAAAGCGCCACCTACAAGGAAAAACTGCTTGCCCATGTTAGGGTCGTAGTCGCGTACTAACGGCAAAACAACAGATGGAAGTGCAAAAAGCATCGAATAAATTGCAAATGCATTAAATACGTTGAGACCACCTATGTTGGTTTCGCAAGTTGGATTAAATCCGTATTTAGGGAAATATCGTATTCCTTCGTATATCATACCAAATAAGTAAAGAAATTGAGTACAAATAGCGCCAGTAGAGATAAGAGACAATATTTTGAGTTGTCTTGGTATCGTTAAAGCTACAGGAACAAGTAACGAGTAAATCAAAACTAAAAGTGATCTTCTAAGTCCTTTGTCCCATCCTTTTAGGCCGGCTAGAACAGCCCATCCAATAGCAGATTCAGCACCAATATATATATATCAGCAGTTAAACAGCTAAAAGTAAAACATAAGTTAATAATTGAGTAAAGATTTCCAAACCACCTTCCAACAATTGTTGTCGCGAGTTGGTTGATGCTTTCTGTATTGGTTTTACTTCGAATTTTTAAGATAATTGCAGTACAAGTATATGAAAAAATTGCAACAGAGGCTAAAGTGATTACTGCTGATACGATTCCTGTTAGTGTCATTGAGTTACTTACACTGAGGACTTCTGCGCCTGTAATCATGCTCAATGCGTTCATATAAGTTGGAAAAGAATGCATATATTTCCTTGGCTTTTCAGCTACAGTTGTAAACATCTCCATGGATGATGATTGCGTCATTCCTGTACCACTTTCCCGGTTGGACTCAACGCTATATTTGATGATGTCAGATTCCATTAAAAAAAAATTCAATAGACTATTGAATTTTTGATGGCACTTTTCAGATTTAAGATTTCAAAATTAACATGAAAATTATTGCGAAGATGTCCGTCTGAACCAAATAATAGAATTTTTAATTTCCAAGTAAATTATTACCCGATAGGGTTGTTAAAAATATCAAAAATTAGCGTTTTGAAGACACCATGGTGTCTTATAATTTTCCCTTCCTTATTGGCGTGTAGAAATAAATGCGCCAATAGATTGAAGAAGAAGAATTGTTTTTCTCTTAATGAACTTTAATCCTTTTGATATAAGAATATTAAAAACATTAATATAATTTCGATTTCGGAAATTAAATTTCCAAATTTTTTGTCGATTTCGGAAATAACAGGATCCCGCATCCAACACGCAACAACAAAACACAAAACACACTTTTTGGTTCTTTCATCGTTTTAATCGTAATTTATGTAATACATGATTTGGATAAATTTTACAAAAATAGAACCTATATTATATTCTTTTCAAAGATTTTTGCAAATCATCAAAAATAATTGTATTTTAAAAAACGATCAAATTATCCTTTCATTATTTTAAACTTAAATTAGTTTTTATGATTGACTAAAGCAATCATATTTATTCATCATTAAATAAACAAAAAAATAATATTTGAGAGTTATTTCAAAAAAAAAACACATTGAATTTATTAATTTGTCTCAATTTCAGTATTATAAATTTTTATAATTTCAATATTTTGAAATACACTTTTTAATATTTCAATATTTATGATATTTCAATGTATTAAGTGGTCTCAAATTGAGCTTCTCAAATATAAGTTGGCCTATTCAAATAATAAAATTAAATAATATTTAAAATAATAAATAAAAGTGATTGAGGTCATAGCAAAACGGCTGTTTCAGTCATTAATTCTTAAAAATAAAAAGGGTAAAAACTAAATACAATGGGTAAAATTCAATAGTGTCTGTGCTATCGTTCAATTTGAAGGTGTCTTTTGAAACCGCAAGACACATTGAATTTTTGAATAGTGTATTATGGTTTGACAGACACCAATGAAAAAAATAAAATGATATTTATTTTAAATATATAAGATCCTTATATAAAATATAAATATTTTATCGTTTTATTTTCTTGTTTTAGAAATGTTTTTTATTGAAAAATCAATAAAACTAACTCCAAAATAAAATTTTTGATTTAAAGACACTATGATGACACCAGGCAAATCTTCCAAGACACCTATCGTCGGGAATCTAACAACCCTATTACCCGATGGGGGAGTGGATAACATTTCCGATAGCTTTCAATATTTGTATAATACGGAATAATTAATAAACAGAAATCGATAAGTTTAAAATTGATTAAATGACTTGATTGTAATTATATTTAGAACTTCCAACCATAGCAAAATTCATTACTAACATGATTTGATAATTTTTTGGACGAATATTTCGAACAAGAAATTTTCATGTGTCAAAATTTTTTTGAAAAAAATGGAAGCAGTAATCTTCGATTTTAATGGAACATTATTCTGGGATACAGAGAAACATGTGTACGCTTGGAAGTTACTCTCCGAAAAACTTCGTGGATATCCATTTACACATGAAGAAGATCTTTTATTAACTGGCCGAACAAATTACCAGCTTCTAGAATACATATATGGACATCCAATCGATCGTGCAGAAGCAGATAAGATCGCACTTGATAAAGAAGCTTTCTATCGCGACTTAGTTCGTAATGATAAAGAAAATTCACATCTTGCACCAGGAGCACCAGAATTATTATCATACCTCAGAGATAACAAAGTCCCAATTACAGTCGCAACATCATCCGAAATTACCAATGTCAGCTTCTTCATTGACTTTTTCAACCTTAAGCAATATTTCGATACTTCCAAGTTTGTTTTTGATCAAGGGCAGTTTCCAGGAAAACCTGCTCCCGATATTTACATTCTTGCAGCAAAAACGCTCGGAGTTGATCCATCAAAGTGTATTGTCTTTGAAGATACTGCATCAGGAATCAAATCTGCACATGATGCAGGCATTGGCCAAATATATGCAATTGTTACTCCAATTACCAAAGACAAACTAAAAGATTTACCAGGCGTCACAGGGGTTATCGAAAACTTCAATGAATTTGATCGATTTGTTCTTAGTATCAATCATAAATGAAAACTATTTTACTTTTTGATTATTTTTTATTTAAATATTATTAAATGAGTTTAGAGAAGATTAATTAGAATACGATGAAAATAAATAAAATTACCCTTCAAGAGAAATAACACACTGCTGTCCTTAAAAACGTTTTTGGTTCCCACATTTTCATGAGGGTCTCAGCATTATTTAAAACAGCTGCCCATAGAAACACTTATGTTTAAAATATTGCCTATAATGAATTTGAAGCGGATTTTTAACCTTCAAGTTTTTATCGTTCATTAAAAACCGTCAGAACCTCAATTTCCTACACAAAGAACTTAATTTTGAAATGATTTTTATTTGAAGATGTTCGATTATTTCTAGAATACAATGTCCTAAAAAATGCTTTAAAAAAATTTATCATCATTCTTGCACTTTTAGAATGCAATTGTTATAGACCGAAAATAGATTTTTTCGGTTTTCTCTTCAAATAATTGAAAGAATGATACTATTATAGGTTTATTATATTATATAGCATATAATCATGCTATAGCCGAAAATTATAAGTTTTGAGAAGATTGAATATAACACAAATAAATTTGAATGTAAGTTAAATTGCTTGTTGTTTTTAATATGTATTTAATGAGAAATCCAATATTGCAAAATTCAAATTGAATGATTGAAAGAACAGAAAAAGTCATTCTTTTCAATTTCGAATATGTTTCATTATATTTATAATTATATGGCAAATAAGATATTTAAACTTGATTTTTGAAGGAAAATTCACAAAATTGAATATATTCAAAGAATTTTTATTCAAAAATAAACTAGTTATTTGAGTTTAATACTAATTATCTATTCAAACTACAAAGTTTGTAATTTAAAATATTTTGTGAGATCAGATTGAATTAATTCAAGGTTCTTTTCAATTAATATTAATGACCATATTACGCATTTTCGAACATTCTAAACGAAATATATAAAAATGCGAGACGAATGTTAAATTTGCTAGACATAAAGAAGTTGTTTACCGAGTTTTAGCTCTTATCTCTAACAAAAAATTAATTTTTAAAAAAATGACCGAATACGTTTCACAGCGAGAAAAAAATAAAAGGCAAGATAGAATTTTCTAGACATAAAGAAGTTGTTTACCGAGTTTTAGCTCTTATCTCTAACAAAAAATTAATTTTTAAAAAAATGACCGAATACGTTTCACAGCGAGAAAAAAATAAAAGGCAAGATAGAATTTTCTAGACATAAAGAAGTTGTTTACCGAGTTTTAGCTCTTATCTCTAACAAAAAATTAATTTTTAAAAAAATGACCGAATACGTTTCACAGCGAGAAAAAAATAAAACTGTACACTGATTTTCATTTTCATTTCCAGTCACTTTACTTATTATTTTTTCTTTTTTTCATTTTAATTATAAATTATTTCATAATACGTTTATTTACGTTACCATTTTCTTTATTCTTTTGAATTCCATACTAGACACTTATAGAATATTTTGATTGTTAACGTACTTCATTAGAATGAATCCTTACAAAGGGTATGTCGATCGAATTTACCTAATTGGTATTTCCAATCAGATTGAAGAAGGTAAAATGACATGGGAAGAAGCTTGCACCCATGTTCCCATCGCCCCAACCCTTCAATCAAATGATTTAAAATATTTAGCTGTTTCAAAATCTTTTTTACAAAATCAATTTAGCTTACAGAATATCCCATTGCCTAAAGGCAAGAAAGGTCGTAGGGTCAATCCCTCCGACCAAATCAAAGCTCTTGCTGTGATACATGACCACTGGGCCTTTCCCTGTGGTCAAACAAAACAATGGAAACGTTTGAAATTACAACAAATTGATGTATCTTATAGAGAAGTACGCAGATACTTCAAAGAAAATCATTTCACCAAGACGCGATTAGAGCATGCCGGGCCAGAAACAGCAGTAAGATATTAGGCGCTTTCCCCCAATCTTATCTGGCACGCAGATGTTCATTATTTTAGGGGTGTTCGTGGCCAGTATATTTATGGCATAATCGACGATTTTAGCCGCAAAGTCCTAGCGTGTATACAAATACCAGATATGCTGGCAGCGACGACAGCGAACGTTGCGGCTTCCGCCTTCATTGAATTTGGCGCCCCTTATTGTTTCTGGACCGACAACGGTTCAGAAAATAGGGGCGCCTTTCAAGATCTACTTGATCTTTGGGGCGTCCAATGGCGGCATACAGACTCTCATTCTCCCTACCAAAATGGGAAGATTGAGAGATTCTGGCCGACATTGGAGCGCTGCCAAAGCATTCAGGCTATTCCTGCCTTTATTTGGGAGTACAATAATAACACACCGCATGAAGATCTCCCAATTAATCCATTAACTGGAACAAATTACACGCCAAATCAAATGTATTAGCTGAAACCGAAATATACAAATGCAGATACAGAAAGGTTGTGGCAAATATGGGATACAGATACAGGCATGACCGCTGTTGACACATTCACAGCGTAATAATAAACATAATTTTTTAATTTCATTTTTAACAAGTTTTTTTAAATGTATGTAATGAATAATTCATTAGAATATGATAATGCACATTGTAACAGAATAGAACAATCACCAAATTTTTTTTTGAAATTAAAAAATAAAAGTAAAAAGTATAAAGTAATCTAACCAAAAAAGATATTTAAAAGAATTTTGGAAAAAACAGAATAAGGATAATGATATTATTTTAGATACACAATCGATGTACTGAAGAATAATCCGGTAAAATGATGATATAAAATTAGATTATTTTACAAGTAGCTAAAAGAATAAAACTATAATATAAAATAAATGAAGTTTAATGAAACAATAAAGGTTAAATAAATAATAAAGATTTTTATTTTATATCAGTATTGAGAAGAAGTAACAGCTGACACTTGGTAGACAACTTCTTTATGTCTAGAAAATTCTATCTTGCCTTTTATTTTTTTTCTCGCTGTGAAACGTATTCGGTCATTTTTTTAAAAATTAATTTTTTGTTAGAGATAAGAGCTAAAACTCGGTAAACAACTTCTTTATGTCTAGAAAATTCTATCTTGCCTTTTATTTTTTTCTCGCTGTGAAACGTATTCGGTCATTTTTTTAAAAATTAATTTTTTGTTAGAGATAAGAGCTAAAACTCGGTAAACAACTTCTTTATGTCTAGCAAATTTAACATTCGTCTCGCATTTTTATATATTTCGTTTAGAATGTTCGAAAATGCGTAATATGGTCATTAATATTAATTGAAAAGAACCTTGAATTAATTCAATCTGATCTCACAAAATATTTTAAATTACAAACTTTGTAGTTTGAATAGATAATTAGTATTAAACTCAAATAACTAGTTTATTTTTGAATAAAAATTCTTTGAATATATTCAATTTTGTGAATTTTCCTTCAAAAATCAAGTTTAAATATCTTATTTGCCATATAATTATAAATATAATGAAACATATTCGAAATTGAAAAGAATGACTTTTTCTGTTCTTTCAATCATTCAATTTGAATTTTGCAATATTGGATTTCTCATTAAATACATATTAAAAACAACAAGCAATTTAACTTACATTCAAATTTATTTGTGTTATATTCAATCTTCTCAAAACTTATAATTTTCGGCTATAGCATGATTATATGCTATATAATATAATAAACCTATAATAGTATCATTCTTTCAATTATTTGAAGAGAAAACCGAAAAAATCTATTTTCGGTCTATAACACTTTTAGAATGCAATTCAAAAGTGCAAGAATAATGTCATTCTATAACATTATGGATATTTTTGTGATATACACTTGAAAGAATTTCAATGTGTTCTCAAAAATATCAGTAATGCAATAGAATTCAAATAGTCACTTTTCCAAAATTTTTGACTAATGCACACGTTTTTTTTTTCTCTCTTTTCTGCATATGTTGCTTAAGTCATCTTCAATATAGAGATGATAGTAATGGAGTTGTTATTGGTTGTTCATCAGATTTGAGAGGTGAAATTGTTATTCCAAGAAATGTCAAAGAGATATACAGCGAAAATTTAAATAGTTATGCATTTCAGAACTGTAAAGACAATATTTTTTCACTTCAATTTGAGTATTAGTCCATATAGTTTTTATAATACAAAATTAGAAATAGCAAATCTTAGTGAATGTACAAAACTTACATTACTTAATGAATCAATCTTTATACATTGTAAGCTATTAGATATAATTATTCTTCCACCAAATATATCAAGTATAGGAAGTTTTTGCATTTCAGATAATGCGATTTCAATAATAGATCTACCAGATTCTGTAGAAAACATTGAGTCAAATGCTTTTTATAACACCGGATTTAATATTATTAACATTAAAGAAAATTCTAAATTAAAATTCATAGGAAGCAAATGTTTTGCAGATTCACAACTTTCTTCATTCTATATTCCAATGAATTTAAGTTTCATTGATAAATCTGCATTTATTAATTGTCCATTAGAAAGTGTTACAATTAATCAACAAAATCAATATTATACATCTGATTCATCTGCTCTTTATTCTAATGATCATTCAACATTAATTAAAGTTTTTATTGGAATTTCAGGTGAATATATTGTTCCTAATTTTGTTACAAATATTTCAGATGGATGTTTTTCTCAATGCAGAAATATTACATCAATTCAATTTCATAACAATATATTATACATTGGATCTTATGCATTTAGTTACTGTAGATCATTAACAAATATTATAATTCCAGAAAAATTATCATACATTTGAGATTATGCATTCAGTTCTTGTTCATCATTAACAATTATCACAATTCTAGGAAATGTATCATACATTGGAAATGCTGCATTTAGTTCTTGTAGTGAATTAACAAATATCATAATTCCAGAAAAAGTATCATACATTGGAGATTATGCATTTAATAATTGTTATTCATTAACAAATCTTATAATTCCAGGAAGTGTATCATTTATTGGAAAAAAAGCATTCTACAATGCCAATGCATTGTCTGAAATAACTTTCTAAAGTAATAATAATATAACAATTGGTACAAATATATTTAAAGGAATCGATAATCCAATTAATATTTATATTCCTGGATCGTTTAATATTTCTACTAATTATAAATCTGGACTTTCAGAGAGAAGTTATTTATATATTACTCAATACACAGTTTTTTCTGAATCATGCAAAATATTTTTTGGTGAAAAGAAATTTATAGTTCATATCGAAGGCGAACGATCTTTGATAAATCAAAGAACAAAAAATATTATTAATTATATATCTATTCCTTTCTATGGAGGAAACCTTATTTATAGAGATTCCACTAACCAAACAATTATTAATTGTTCATCAGACTTCTTCGGAGATATTATTATTCCGAAAAGTGTCAAAGAGATATGCAGCGAAAATTCTAATAAGTATGCATTTCAGAACTGTAAAGACAATATTTTTTCACTTCAATTTGAAGAAAACAGTGAAATTACAAGTATTAGTCCATATAGTTTTTGTAATACAAAATTAGAAATAGCAAATCTTAGTGAATGTACAAAACATACATTACTTAATGAATCTATCTTTTCAAACTGTATGTTTTTAAAAACAGTTATTCTTCCACCAAACATATTGGAAATCAGAAATAGTTGTTTTAGTTATGTGAATTCATTATTATCAATCGATATACCAGACTCATTATTATATCTTGGTGATAAAGTATTTGAAGGAAGATTGCAATCCATTAATATTTCAAATAATTCAAAGTTAGAACGCATTGGAAGTTTCTGTTTTGCTGACAGCCAACTTTCTTCATTTTATATTCCGAAATCTTTAAAATCAATTGATACATCTGCATTAATGTGTCCATTAATAAATATAATAGTTGATCAAGACAATCCAACATATAAATATGAAAATTATTCTTTGTTACTAAAAGATAATTCAACATTACTGAAAGTTATTAAGTCATTCACTAGTGATTATATTGTTCCTGATTATATTAAGAACATTAGTAATAGTTGCTTTAGTGACTGTAATAAAATTACATCAATTCAACTTCATGAAAATATCGCATCCATTGGAAGCTATGCATTTTATGGGTGTGAAGGATTAATTAATATTAAAATTCCAGAAAAAATAACAGTGATTCAATCTCATTCATTTTATAAATGCATTTCTTTGAAAAACATTACAATTCCAAAAAGGGTTAAGGTCATTGAATCTTATGCATTTTCAAACTGCTTCTCATTAGCAAATATAACAATTCCAGAAAGCGTTACAGAGATTAAATCTTCTGCATTTTCAAACTGCAATTCATCAGCAAGTATAACAATTCCAGAAAGCGTAACAGTGATTGAATCTAATGCATTTTTAAATTGTGCATCATTAACAAGTATAAAAATTCCAGAAAGCATAACAGTGATTGAATATTGTGCATTTTCATTCTGCACGTCATTAACAAGTATAACAATTCCAGAAAGTGTGACAGTGATTGAATCTTATGCATTTTCATACTGCGAATCATTGGCAAGTATTACAATTCCAGGAAATGTATCATCAATTAACGATAGTGCATTTCGGTTTTGTACCAATCTAAAAAAATTACGTTTCTAAGTAATAATAATATTATTAAGTTTGGGAATGATGTATTGGCCCTAATTTCAAATCCTATGAAAATCTACATTCCTGGAATGTTTAATATTTCCACAACACTAGAAAACGCATTTCCAGATATGAGCCATTTATATATTACAAAAGATACTTCTTTTTCAACATCTTGTATTCCATTTTTTGGAGAAAAGAGAATAATAGTTCACTATGATGGAACATTTATGATCACAGATCCGGTCCTAAAAGATTTCATATATAATCATTTCATTTTATGGATTAAACCATCGACAATAATTCATATAGAATCTGAGTTCCAACTACGAAGACGATAAATGACGCTAACCTAATCTTTCAACAATTTATTTACTTTTAATTACATCTTTTTAGCACATAAAATTGCTGTTTTTATATAATTATGATGCGATTTTTTTACAAAAGAGTTATGAAGCTTCAATGTCTGATATGATATTATGACTTAACATAATATACTCATATAATTTAATAAATAAAGAATAAATTCGAAACATCTACTAGCAAGGTGACTTAGCTCTACACGTCATTCTGCCACACCAAAAATGATTGGACCATCATAATTAACACCTAGGATCAGATGTATTTTTGTATTAGTCTCTGTGTTATCAATGTTGGATACTTGGCAATTTTTCTGTCAAATTTGGAAAAAATGACATCTAAAAGTTGCATGATGTCTTCGTGGTTCCTATATGTACACCAAGATACGAAATTATCGCGATAACTTTAGGCACCTTTAAGCTCTGTTTCGTTGTTACAGAACTCTGTGATGTCACCTCACATTCTCACCTTAGAAATCTTGATGATTTTACACGAAATAAGCTTAAGTGAAAAAAAAGTCATTGGGTCAATTAAATAATAGCATAATAAACAAATATAGTTTAATATAAAATAAACAGCATAAATAAAGAAAAAAATTAAATTCCAAAAACAGAATAAGATCCAGGCAAAGGGATGCAATAAGTGTTTGTAGTTCCTTTTCCTTTCAAGAAAACATCTTTTCTTTCAAACGCGTTGTAAATTCCTTCCGGAAGCGTGTGGAATGTAGAAGGAAGCATCTGAATTGTATCAATGTAAGAAGATGTTTCAAGTCTTGCTGAAACATTTACTGCATCTCCCCATACGTCGAAAAGAGGTTTCTCACGACCAAGAACACCAGAAATGATTGGACCATCGTAATTAACACCGATGTTCAGATGTATTTTTGTCTCTGTCTCTGTGTTGTTTCGCTCCATGACCCATTGTCCACATGACATGCAGAACTCGACTGCTTCGTGGACAGGTGTTCTGTCGGATACTTCATTGAACAGGCCGGCAGCTGCCATGTAAACGCCATTGATCATTTTGATTTTGACCAATGTTGGATACTTGGCAATTTTTCTGTCAAATTTCGAAAAAATGACATCTAAAAGTTGCATGATGTCTTCATGGTTCTTATTAGTACACCATGATACGAAATTATGAATTCCAATGAAGATAATGACAGCGCGATCGACACATGATATAATATCCTCTCTGTCGCTTTTGGACATCAATCTTGTCGCGATAACTTTTGGCATAATCTTGGAAAGAAGGTTTTCGACCCTGTTTTGTGCACCTTTAAGCTCGGTTTCGTTCTTACTGAACTCCGTGATGTCTCGTAATATGAATGCATATGACATTTCGTCACCCCACATTCTGACGTTAGAAATCTTGATGATTTTACAAGAAATAAGCTTAAGTGTACCTGCACCTGTTCGAACTGTTAACGAATTATCGATTTCTGTTACATTTTTTGCGTTGGCATTTTGAGTAATTTGGTTTTCTATTACTCCTGAGTCTTCATTCTGTTCGAACAGCTGGTTATAGGTCTGTAGAAGTGATTGGTTCTCATTAACATCCATTAATATTGTAATAACGTGTTGTTGAATAATATCTTCTTTTTTCCTTTGAAGAATTTGAATCGCGGAGTTATTAACGTCTTGTACAATGCCTGTACTTGATACCATGAGAATTCCATTCAACGATTGCTTGATAATGTGCCTGGAAAGTGAAACTTCTGACAAACTGTTTTCTTTCTTCTTGTTTGAAGAGTTGAAGAGGTCAACAGCCATGGTAATCGCTTGTTTCGATGAGTTTGGAATAACAAGAAGCATGTTCTTGTACATTTCGAACTCAATATGATACAAATAAATTCTATACAAGATAAAAAGCAAATAAATGAAGTCTACAATAGCAACACCTGCTCTATTGGTAATTCTGATTGCATCGTATGAGTTATAGAGCTTTTTGATCCTTTCTGTCGCAATTTCATTTAATTTTACAGTCAAATTCGACAAAGTAACAAAAGCAAGCTCTGTTGCTTCTTGTATGATACTTTCGTTCTTTGTTTCGTTGAATTCAAGTACTTTTGAGTAAATTGATTCAACATATTCTTTTTCTTGAGCCAAAATCTTCGAAATTTCCTCTCTGTCATTGGAATTTATCTCGGATTCAACGTAATAGAAGTTGTTGCTTGAGATATTCGATGACAAACTGTATAATGCGTTGAAATTTTGAAGAGATTGACTATTTGGCTCATTAACTAAAGAAACGAAGTAGTCGTTGAGGATATTAACAATTGGCTGTTGCGCACATGCTGTATCTTGGAAAACTGACATTGTAATTCTTTCATAATATGAAATAGAGTGGAAATAGGACATAACAGGGAAAGGATAAGAAAAGATGATTCCACTCCATACAAGGAAGAAGAGAACAGAGAAAATGACGTATAAAACTATGCCATTTAACTCTTTTACAATTTTTTCTTTCTTTGAAGGTTTTCTACTCATTATTTCATCGGCATCAACAGGTACAAAGGTCTCTTTGTGATGATACTGAGTTCTCTGTTGTTCCAGATCCTGAATTTGTCGCATCTAATTTATCTGATCCCAAAATATTTTCGACGTCGTTGCTGGAAGACTCAATTCTGGTATCTTTTATGAGTGATGTGCCACTGAGAAGCCTTCTTCTGACATCTTCGAGTGAATTTGGATCAATTTCAATCAAAGAATTCCAGAAATAGCTTCTTTCTTTCTTCCTACGCCTTATCATCATGAATGTTGAGCCGATCATGATAACAGCAAGCGTAACAATGAAGCTAATGATGAATGCGAGGTAAGTATTCTTAAATTCCGTCAAAAATCTGAAACAATTATCGTAAATTTCCTTAAAGAACAAGGAATTCGTGAATATTGATGAATTAAATAAGTCACTGGCCATGGTCACTTCTATCGCAGTCTCTTTTGAACAACTGAAATTCGACATTGACTCAAGAAGAATTGCAAGAACAGCTTCACTTGTATGATACGTCAAGTTGTTCTTTATGTATTTGTTTATTGAGCTCCATGTTAAGAGAACGTCTTCTGGTTTCGAAGTTTGAACATTATAATAATAAACGGCATCAGAGAACATAGAAATATAGTCATGGTAGTTGAGAAGGACGGACAAATTGTTAGTGATTGAGGTCAGATTCTTATAACTCGGGTTGCAATTTGAGATACTATTTGCAGAAATGTTGATAATCGAGTTTATAGGCTTCGATTGGAGTACATCTATGGAGTTGATCAAATTGTCAGCCAGTAAATTGACAACTGTTAAGTAGTTCGAAGGATTAACTCTTGCAATTGCGACATAAAATACGAAAAAGAACAAAAGGAAGGATAAAATGCTGAAAGAACGACAGCCACAACTATATATACTACTAATATGCATCTGGCTTGATAAATTTTGGGTTGTTTGTACTTCATAATTATGACTTGAGTATCCTTGGCTTTTTCTGCTAAATCTGGCCTTACTGTTTTGGAATGTAATAAATTCTGATCCTGAATTTTCCGAAATTCCGGCGGAATTGTCTTTTTCCGATGAAATATGTCGCCAAGCCATTGAAAGATTGGCATCTGCTTTAAGTTCTGAGTAGAAACACGATATAAAGTTCGTAAGACGTTGGGAACTTGGACAGTTGATCGTATAAACCTTTGCATATTTCTCAAAATTATGAATGCAGTCGTGGTATCTAAATAAACAAGATTCAATATCATCGGGTTGGGCCATAGCTATCATATCAACGATTTCGAAGTAAATTCTTCTGCATTTATTTGTAATTTTCATAAGATGTTTCATATAACTATCAACAACACTCTCATCAGGGTTTAAAGAGAATGCTTCGTATTGTAGATCACATAGTAATTGCCTTCTCATCAGATTTCCGCTGTTCTTCCTCATAGATCTGATTTCCGTGATATCTTCCGCTTCAATTTGATGCATAAGGCATAGATATTTGTAGCAATCCACCTTCAGATTATTATTATCTGTGTTTTTGCTGATGAATTTGGCAAGTTTTATTGCTTCGTGAGGATGAATATAAATATAACTGTAAAACTTCTTTGTCATGTCTTTTAATGCTTTCCTTTCAATAAGAAGGTCTTCGTTTTCACCTTCTTCGACATCAAAATTCTCAAAATTGTCAACTTCTTGAGTTGATGAACTTTTTTCGTCGGAAAGAGGTTTTTCTGATAGTTTTAATGCATAAAATCGGTCAATAATGAAATTTGTAATGATAAAAGCAAGGATAATAAGCACTGCAATGATGAATGTCGATTCTGGGTAAAAAATATCGTGCCAAATAAGGTAAAGAATACAGGCAATAGTGTCTAATGCAGCAAGAACCCAAAAGAAGATCATTATGAATTGATCTGACTTCCTGTAGTATGGAAATTTCGTTGTAACGATAACTTGAGTGACTGCAACTAAAACTGTGGCTCCTAGTAGACAGTATTTAGCGTAGTTTTCGTAAAAATGAATTGATATACGTGCAATAAAAAGAATTGTAAAAAATTGACTGACATACATTAAAGGTGATAAATTCCAGCCAGATAAGAAGGTTGATTGGATGAATATAGGATGTGATGTTACAATTTTATGGATTAAGTATGTAATTGTGATTAAAACCATTGAAATTATTGATAAAATTAGCATTGTCATATTTAAAGACCCATTAAGTGCATACATTATTTCACTCTGAAATGTAGCAATTGTTTTAAGTTCCATTATAGGGTTTAAGAATTCGAAGAAAAATCTTGCTGTATATGTGAAAGATTTCGTGAACATGAGAGATTTGTAAAAGGCAAATATCGATGACACTATAATCGTGATGAGTATGGAATATATAAACATTATTATAACCCTTCCTTCTCTTGGAATATATGTTAAATACAACATACCCATAAATATATCATATAAGTCATTTCTCATAACGTCACCGTCCTTCGGGACTAGGAGGAATCCTGAAATGTATGGAAATGCCAATACATAATAAATTATATGTTGCACAATGTGAAACCAATTGGGTAACCTAGGGCTATTGTTCAGCATATGACCAGCTTGGTAGAATCTGCCCCATTGCTGGTCAATGCAGTTGTACTTTTCCATTTTTTCAGCAACAGAAATAAAATTTATGTAAATTTTTCAATGATAGTTGATGAATTTTTTACATTAATTAATATGAAATTAATATATCCCTTACAAGATTTTTCAGTTGCAAAAAACCGTCATGTTCTGAAATCTTTGAATACACATTATTTGTTGCTTTTTTTTATGACTCATTATGAAGAAACGTTAGTTTCAATCTTTAAAAATATAAGTCATTTGCTGAAATATAAATAATTCCTTTTCACCACAAGTCAACCTTTTAGAATTGAATTGATAAAATCTCAAAAAGTTCTTGAAAATGATACAGGCAGCTGAATTTAGGAGTATCTTAAAGGATTAATACCGATATATATGTTGGAGAGTAAAATGAATAACAATTCACATTTTTTGAAATCATTTTTCCCAGGGCCATAAATATAACAAAAATAATCCTTTATATACTGTATACATGAGCTAATTCGGTTCATCATATAGGAGAAATGACATCAAAATGAGAAAATTATCAAAAAATTAAAAATAAAACAAAATTTTGTATGATTTTTAGATTTTTAGTATCTTACATAATTTAATGGAGGCAAGCACCTGGATTGTTATCTGTACCAACAGAACGACCACAGCTGCATGAATGCATTGTTGTATCTTGTGGAAGAACAACCTTGAATGCTGATGAAAACTTATCGTCAACAAAATCTAATGTTGAATGTCTCAAGTAGAAGAGGGATTTTTCATCAAGTACAACTTGAGCGCCATCTTTCTTGAATAAGCTATCACCCTTTCTAGCATGAGAGTCAAAGCTGAAATCGTATTGAAATCCACTGCAACCGCCTGCTTTAAGGCCAATTCTCATCATTCTGTTTTCGCAATCGCCAATGAGTAACTTCTTAATCTGTTTTGCAGCTGCTGGAGTGATATCAAATGCTGGTCTTGCTTTTGCGAAGGAGCGGATAATGGAGGAAAGCATTATGGGAAATGAATTTCTTTTTTCCTTATTTTTTGAATTGTTTAGCGGAGTTGATAATCGCCTTTAGAAATTTGATTTATTATGTCTTTAACGCATGTTTCACAAGAAAACAAATGGGAAAATTTTCATTGAAATTCTATTAACGATAAGAATTCAATTTTTTCAATGTATTTTAAAAACTATTTTGAGATAATGTTATCATATGTTGGATATTAAATTTTTAAATAACAAAAAGTGCCAGTGCTTGACCATTTTCTTGGATTTCTATTATTCCATTGCATTCTATCAAAAAATAGTTATGCATTTATCTCTATAACATTGATTACAAAAACAAAACAAAATTATATTAAAATAATAATATTTCCAATCACGCTGACATCCTTGCCGTCCAGCAGCCGAACTTTATGATTAATATTATCACTGCAATAACAGATAAGACAATTACCCAAGTCATGACATATAATGTGAATTTCAACGTTTGAGGAACATATTTACCTGGAGCTTCTTTAACATAAACGCGTACAGTCATTGGTTCGAATTGTTCGAATCTATCAGATGATGAAGGAGACACTTGGAACAAGAAAGATCTATCAGATGGAACAGCATCAACGTAAGTTGTCTTTCCAAGGTTTCTCATCCATGTTCTATCAAGAATTATATTCGAATATGCAGAAAGAATAGTAATAGCAGCACTTGTTGAATATCCATCATCTGATAAATAGTCAAGATTAAGAGAGTACTGAATTTCAAGGTCTCTATCATCTATAGATATTGATGATCCATCCTTTGGAATTAAAATACCAACAGGATATGGATTGGTGTAATTTAATTGAATTGAAGAGGTATAACCATATGTTGGATCAATTGAATCAACAACAAATGATATATTTATACCTGTTTTGAAGACAGATGGAACATAAGATAGTGTTATTTTGGTATAATCACTATTGTAATATGCTTTTAACTTAACTCTGTTCTTTCCTGTTGAATCTTCTAAGTAAACTAAGTATGAAATACCCTTAATTTCATCAGGAACTCTAACACCAATCTCCCATTTGGTTCCTGCAACAAAAGGAACAGGTGCTTCACTCAAAAATGTTACTTTTGAAGGTATTCTCGAATAAGGATTTGCTCCATCGCGTTGATTAATTTGATTTGAATTAGGAGCAGTTTTTGTGTAGTAAATGTGCAAGGCAGCATTAGTGATTACACCTCTGTTTGCGTTATCTGTTTCCTTGAATGTGACTGTCCATGTTCCTCTTGGATTTTCTCCTAAAAATTTGTAACTTGGAAATTCCATTGATCTGATATCCAAAGCTTTGTCGCCTTCTGTGAGGATTTTGACTTCCGAAACTGTTCCACTTGGGCTGATAACATGTGAATTTAATGAACCAAATGATAATTTTCGTGCTTGAAGTTCTAAATTAATTGAAATTACGGATTTCATGTCATCGCCATCAACATTGAAGGTAATATTATAATCACCGTGTTCCATAACGAGGTCCAGTTGTTTCTTTTGACTCCATTCTGATATATTTCCTGTTGATGAGAAATTCAATGCTAAATCTACAGCTCTTCCTAGATTTAGACGGCCAAACCCTGTTCTTCTATTAAAGTTGACTCCAAATGCATTCTTTTCCCAGTTCAAAGACTCTGGATATGTTTTATCGGCTGTCATAGCTGTAACATAGAATAAATCAGCTAAAGTAAGACTTGGGTTTGCTTCCATGAGGACAGCTAATGCTCCTGCAAATAATGATGCACTCGCATTCGTAGAAGTATAGTTATCATATTGATCATTGTCACCTGTTGAAGATGCTGTTGGAAGAGGAGCCATATCAGCGCATGGACATGCTATAAATATACCAGCACCTTCAGTACCGTGATTTAGTGGTAATCCTCGATTACTTACGCCTGAGACTGAAAAAATTAGTGGCCATCTACCTGGAGGTGAGAAAAGAATATCACTAGTATGATCAGATCCAGCAGGCACAACAATTGGATGCTGCCAGTTATCTTCTGATGGCTTGTAAAGACAGTCATTTGCAATTTCTTTTGGCAATACATCTGGTTCTATGTAACGACAAAATCTTCCTTCACAATTTGTAACTTGATATTGAAGAATAGCGATATCCCATTCTTGGCTGCGATGGCAAATAACTGTTTGTGGATGTTCATGATAATTAGATGAATTTGAGAAGAAAAATGATGCAACATTTGCATCGGAAGCAATTCCTGTATAGTTTTCATTGAAATTTTTCTTGGCAGCTGCTAAGCCTAATGAGGCTGTGGCGATTGTATTATTTTGAGGATTTAACGTTATATTTTGCAAAGCTCCTGTAAAAATATTTTCGAATTGGTTTTCAATCGCTCGGTCTGTGTATGATGCATGCGTGAGTAGTGCTCCATCACTCATAACAGTTATAATCTTACCTTTTCCTGTAAACATATCAACGTATCGGTGCCCCGACCAGTTAATATCTTCGTCGCTTAATCCATTAAAGTAAGATGTTCCAGGATTTTGAAGCCACCAATAACAGAGAAAATAAAAACACATTAAAAATTTCAAGCCGTGCTTTTTAATTAAATTTTGAAAGATATTTCAATTCATACGATAACTTCGATGGATCAATTCGATAGAAAACTTGATAATTAATTAAGGGTTTCGTTTTGCGAAAAAAACGTACAATACGCAATTTCGCTCAAAAAAAACATTTAGCTAGCAATTTCGACATTTGACTCCACTCAAGACGTTACTTTTTTTAATTTTGCGGTATCATATTTTTGGAAAATCTTTATGAATATTATATAAAAAGTCTCTTTAATATCTATATTTCATATTTTTATCGATTTTTAAAGTTTTTGCGAAAAGTATTCAATTATTTTTGCTATTTGGTCGGATAAATGTCAGATTTGCGACATTTTCTGATATGATATTCAGATTCTACGTTGATAATAATGCTTATAGTGTTGCATGCTAAGATCAGTCATAATGTAAACCTCTCAATTTTATTGTCGTGGGAAGTATCTCAATTCCTTCAAAAAATTGAAAAACTATTTAATTTTAAAAATATAATACTTTTAATTAGTTAATTAATTGGAGATATTTTTAAAAAATCACTTTTGATAATACTTTTGAGAACTTTAATTAAAAAAATATATTCAAAAATATCCAGGATATCAAGAGGGAATTGTTCCTTATGAGGTATATAGTTATGATGTATACCTCATAAGGAACAATTCCCTCCTTAAAACGAGAAAACTTGTTCGAAATTGTTTATCATTTCGAACAAGTTTTCTCGTTTTTAATAACAAACTAAAGGCTATGAGGCACTGATTATATATTAGTGCCTCACAGCCTTTAGTTTCTAATAGATAGCTGGGAAACTTTCTCCAAATGATAAGTTATTCAGAGAAAGTTTCCCAGCTATCAAGAGGGAATTGTTCCTTATGAGGTATATAGTTATGATGTATACCTCATAAGGAACAATTCCCTCCTTAAAATCGTAGACATTTTTATACTTATTAATCAACCATTCAAAATCATATTCCTCTGAAAAGTTATTTTATTAAAAATTTAGAATTTTAATAAATATAGAGTTTGAATTTCATACAATACCTATATATTTTCAATAATGGAATTTGAAAACCATTCTCAAAAGTTCTCAGAAAACCTTTTTTTCATTAATTTTAAGAAATCTGAGTATTAAATTAAGTGATAAATTCGTTTGACACTACTTTAATTTTTAAATTCAAAAAATTATATGTGCTTCTTAAAATGACTCAAAAAATTTTATTATAAAATAATATATAATATTAAAAATCCCACAACATTTTTTACTTTACATAATCGTACTTCCTCGACGATTAATTTCCACTCAATTTTTATCGTTGACCGAACTTAGCATGCAACAATAGAACCCTCTTGCTATTGTGTCAAAATTGCGAAACCGATAGCAAAAATATCTCGCAATATCAAAATTGAGATATTGAGTGAATTATGCATTATAGAGATTAAAAATCTGATTTGTGAAAACATCTCATCAGTTTCTAGCTAATTCAAAAATCTTTACTATCTTATTCGATTAAAATGAAAAGGGAATAGTTTCATTATGCTTTAAATGACAGCCTTATAATATAATCATAGTTTTCGCTCAATATGCAGCATTTTTTTTTCGAAATCTATGGTCAATATCCTAAATACTGATTGCTTTGCATTCATATCTCTTACATTTTCTATACCCACATCACTATTCATTGCTATTCCTATCTTTTTCATTTTTGTTTGTTTCTCATAATTTCTCAAAAAACATGATAACTTGATATTTGTAAATATCATACTTTATAACGTAAATAAGAACTTGACCTATTAAGAAAAGCAGTAATGAAAAGAAAATCTGAAATTCATAAAAATTACAAGTTTCTGATGACAATTAGCTTAATTAAACCAGGTACAAGATTATATAATTGTATTTTCTATCCAATTATCCATATAATATCTTATCCAGAAAAAATAACTTGATCAATACCAAATGATTTTTTAACTAGTAAATAAAGTATTTTCTTTACACACACATTGTATATCATAGTTTTTTTTTTGGTTTCGCAAAACATCCAAAAACAAATATGCTATAAAAGTGACAATTTTAGCAAAACGAAACCCTTAAATTAATCAAGAATGTTTTTATATTCATTTAATTTTTGTGAGAATTAATTATCGAAAGGTTAAATTGTTTTAGCATTAATATAACACCCTAGGATACAACTAATTTTTCAGAAATTGCATTTATTCAAAAAATTCAATCAACATTTTTCTATTTCAATTTTAAATAGATACTTGCCATGAACGCAGTTTTTCAAAATAAAAAAATTTACACACTTAATTTTTCTGAGTGTGTGATTATAAACAACTGAATATCATATCTTCGTAATAGCTGTCGTTTAAAGAGTAGTTCCTGTAAGATCTCCAAAAATTAGGAAGATCTTGGAAGAACTACTCTTTAAAGAGGAATATTTGTAGGGTCAGTATAAGCTGTGACCGTATAAGCTATCATTTTTGAATTGAAGACTATTCTTTAAAATACTAGATAATAGAAAATATATGAGTGAATTTAAAGACACAAATCATAGAAATTCTAAACATCATGGTATTTCAGAAATTTAGATACAAATTTTTGCATCGAGTAAAAAAGTGCTTCGAATTTGCTCAATAAGCTCACAAATGTAAAGCTTTTGTATAAGCTTTACATTTGTAAGCTCATTGTGTAAACTTGTAGTTCGAAATTTGCATCGAGTAAAAAAGTGCTTCGAATTTGCTCAATAAGCTCACAAATGTAAAGCTTTTGTATAAGCTTTACATTTGTAAGCTCATTGTGTAAACTTATGTTGGATAAGGTTTTGTCTTTGCATTGAATTTGATAATTTAAGCAAATTTTTGGTTTAATGTAAAGACTTTCAAGTTTAAGCAAATTTTTGGTATAATGTAAAAGATAAGCAACCAAATAAGAGATTATTAATCACTATTCTCATATCAGAATTGCCTATCTTGAAATAATTGGAAAAATAGGGTTTTTGGCCAGGTGAAGTGTACGTTTAAAATACAAAACTTGGACCCACTCAAACTCATTGAATATAATTAAGGTGGCTGTATCTGGTTCTAAAAAATATATTATTGAATTTGATCGTGCTTTATTTTGAAATGATAAAATCCAGATTTTTATACGAAATTAAAGATAAAAGATCGAAATTAAAATGGGTGTTTCCTTTAGAAGTATCAGTCGAAAGGTTATTCTCCTTTTTAAAGAATCAGCTTATCTAACGACTGGCGTGAAGCATAGGCACCCTTAAAACTGAAAATTCAACTATGTTCAAATCATATGCGAAGAGCTAATAAAAATAAGTATTTATAGAAAATTTAAAAATATTTTATATATATAATTTTAAAACATGAATCTACATTTTTCTCTTCCAAGAAGAGCGTTAACATACACTAAGTTATCAAGCATTTCTTTATCTAGAGTTGCCTGTTTTCCAATTGTTTCAAACAGAGTGATATCAGTCACAGAATACTGAGAAGAAAGAGATTTTCTGTTCAAAACACAGAATCCAAATTTGCTGGAAATGTATTTTCTACTCAAAAGTTGCATTTGTTGCATAACCATGAAATCTGTTGTTGAAAAGTAAGGACTGAAAGCGCCAATGAACCCTCCAGTTGTCAAATAAAACAAAACTTTGTTAATAACACACAAACTAATAACTGGAGTGTCAATTGTAATGTTGGCAAGTTTTGTCATATCACTTTTTTGACATAACCCTAGAGCTCTTGATTCATTCACTCTTAATACGTATATCTCTCCTGTCATGCATCCAAATGCCATGGTGATATCATCCAAAGTGCAAAGTGAAGTGACATTTTTAACACCATCACTTTTTGAAATAATTTCAAATCTTTCTGCGACATCATTATAAACGAAAACAAAAACAGAACCATCGTCAAATGATACCCAGATCAATTCACCACTCCATGTCATGGTTGACGGTTTTGACGATAGCTGGCAAAAACCTCTTGACATTGTAATTTTTCCTTCTTTAATTTTGTAGTTTGTCAAACGGTTTTTATCGGCAACAACAAAAGAATCTCCTTTCTGATTCATTGAACAACAAATTACTTCTTCACTGAACATTATAAATGATATCACTTTTATCACATCACCTTTGATATTCAAATATTTGATTTGGTTGTTGAAAACAATTAAAATTGCGTCTGATTCACAAATAACTGATTTCGCTTCACTTCCTTCTTCAATTGAAATCGGTTCGGATGAAAGTGACGGTTTATCTGACGATAGAACTGTAACTTTTAACTGATTTTGTAATTTGTGAAGTAAAACCGTTTTTTCTTTTGAAGAAAAACCGTCACAGACATCTTTTGTGTTTTCAATCAGTTTAAATTGTTTTGTTATGTCTGTATCATACGGAATCACTGTCATGTCGCCGTTCTCTATCACTGCAATCGCAAGTTTCTCGTCTTCTGCCATGACTAATGATATAGTGTCAAAACCGCTCAAACCGATATCATATAAATTGTCATCAACAAGTAACAGCGATGTTTCATCATCAAATGTAACAAGATTGTATCTATCGTCGCCAATGAAAGGTGTCAGATGGGCAGCGGTTTTTCCTGCGTATAAAAGTGACACGCCGTTAGTGAAACCTGTTGGCAAAACCGGCAATTTGTAAATTGCTCCATTTTGGGATGCACAGAACAATTCAGTGAACGCATGGCCAAAGGAAAGTGAGGTGATGATTGATGGGAACTTTATGTCCTGACAGACCTTCTCAAATGAGAAATCGTAGAGTGAAATGGCCCCATTCATGACTAATGGGTCATTATCGTAGGAATAGACAGCGAAATAGTGCATAGAGACTGCAACGGCTGTTACTTCACCACTCAAAACCTTATCTTCGCGTTTGAATGACTCGTTTAAGATGGAAATTGTATTTTGTCCTGAAACTACAACAATTCTGAATCCTGTTGCGGCGACTGCCCTTATTGGCTCCTCAAATGTTACGACGTCCTCTCCATTCTCTTGGGAAAGGCCTTTTTCGTGTACTAAATAAATTGATTTTCGGAAATTAATGAAAGCAAGGGCTTCGTGTGCGGTATCAATATCTGCTTCGCCATAGACAACTTCAGTTTTACCACTGCCGGTCACTGCAAGGCATCCGCTGTCGACTTGCAACAATTTTTTGACTCCAATTGTTTTGGCTGGACTTGCCTGAGCTCTGTCTGCGCGGTCGCTTATGACGGTGACTCCGTTCTTACCTAGACCAAGCAATTCCCCGTTGAAAGGAAGAATTTTATTATTCAAAATTGTTCCTTCCAAAGGGATTTGAGGGACAGATGCCCAGTTCGATACTTTCTTACGAGCATTAGATGGCTTTTGGACTGTAAAAACCATCGATGTACCGTCATCTAAGTTTGTTATGACGGATTCATTCGGCAAAAGCCACATTGACTTAATTAAGGGGGCGCCGGGTATAAACGTGGCCTGAGAATTACTCAGAAAGTATAAATTGCCGGATTTGAGTTGAACTGCGCAACAATCGTTTACAACTTTAGTAAAAGCTTGGATTGGCTCTGTAAGAGGAAGTATTGGTGAGTTTCCGTTTGTAATGGCTTTGTTTGTGACGTTAAAATGTGATGCTTTGCCTGGAGATTCGGTGTCAATGAAATATTGAACGTCTAAGTCGGCATCTTCAATGGAAATGTCTTGTTTTTTGGCTGTGAACTTGACAAACTTCTGTTCTGTGTCGTTTCTGGCGAGAATTAAGAAGGAATCGTCGGATGATAAAGATGTTACAGATTTTATTTGGAGATTTTCGATTTTTCTTGCGCCGAGAAGTGGGTTTTGTATGTCCTTGATGTCAATAAAGAAGAAATGGTCGGATTCTGATGCAATTAAAATCCAATTTTTATCTTTTGAAACGGAAAAATACTTAAATTTCTCTGTATTCTCATCAACTGATGTAAATAGGTCGATACTTGATATTTGCTTTAGTGATGTTCCAATTTCTGTGATAATTAACTGATTATCTTGAGTTATCGAGACAAAATAGTTGTTACTGTGATTATTCGATCCATGGCTGTTAATAACAGTACCCCACAGAAGTGGTGTTTCAATATATATTGTCTGATGTGCTTTAAAAGAAATATCTGTTCCTTTCTTGTACAAAGTTGCGATTTTTATGCATCTGTGATAATAAAGAAGAACATCGACCTCCCTCTGTCTTACATCTAAGACTGTGCAGTTTTCAATTTCACTCTGTGGTAGAATTGTCGAGTGAATGAAATGCATCAATAGGAGTGTTTGACCCTAACTATCCCCTAATTAATACCAAACCAAGATTTTATAATTCATAAAATAAACAACAGCATAAAACTAATAATAAAACTCAAATTAAGCCAATAAAACATCATATATTTTTACAAAATTATTGAATTTTCAAATGGAATAACTTCATACATAAATAAGAGGACAAAATTTAGTGGTGTTTCCATGTCACTCAAGAACTATTAGCAATGGAGAAGAATCGATGATATGTAAAGCATAGAGATGCAACATAAATTTAAATTATAGCAATAAAAGTAAAAATCAAATGCTAACATATAAAAATATGTAAATGATATTGATAGATAGAAGTTTTTATCATGAGAAACACATCCAATTCCAAGTTTGTGTCTTGATAAAATTGGAACAATAATAAAAATAAAACAAAAGATAAAATATATAAATATAAAGATTATAAAAACGAAAATAATAATTTGATTTTGAATTCTTTCAAATAAAATAAAAAAATTATTCAAAACCAAATGAAAATAATCATAAAAGAAGTAAAAGATAAAAGACAGTAGCAATAAAATTTGGTTCAGATCATCCTAAATTGTAATGAGAAAATGTATCAACAATTTGTTGGGAAACTTGGCCTCCGTAAGGTCTATTTATGTGGGAAATGTAGTTTGGAAGGAATCTCTCCATGAAATTGTAAACTTTTATACTTGATTTCAACAAATTTTTGTAAGGTTTTGATTTGTAGTATTTGTTCTTGATTTCGTCGAACATTGTGACCAGATGGATCCTTGAGGCTCTATGGTTATCGTCATTTGCGAACTCAATCAACGCCGGAATTAATAATTCGAAAACAATTGGATTTAGAAACTTGTCTTCTAGAGAAACAAGCACCAGCTTGGTTATTCTCGATAATACAAATGATGAATCAGGGAATTGTGCACAAAGTCTGATAATTATTTCAAATAATCTTCCAAAATCGTTCTTAAACTTGATAATTCCTCGTGATTCCGCATTGATAATGATATCTAATGATGTGACTGTCAATTCTGTTAGTCTATCTGTTCCTTCTACTAAATAATTCCAAGAAAAATTCAAAATTGTTTTGAAACTATCACAGAAGGTGTCTGAAATCAGCTCGTTGCATAAAAGCATCAGTTCATTGACAAAAATTGATATTTCGATTGAAGAAGGAAGTCAAAAACCGAAAAATCTGAAATAAATTGTTGTCTGATCACTGTTGAAGTTTTATCATCGACCGACCAATTTTAAGTAACGAGCAGATTAAATAGGCCACATCTTCCTCATTTCTTGTTTCAGCAAAATTTGAAAGATCTCTTGAGACTTTGAACGAAAAAGAGGTCATGCTATTGGAACTCTTCATCTTATTGAGGGATGCAGCTGATGGAAATGAACAGTTTGTGTGAATTGGAACATTTAATTGGACTTTTAATTCATCTGACGAATTTGCACTGACAAAATCACACATTGATGATTGTGTTAATGAATAACTAGTAACTTGGAGCATTTCGTAGTGCGTAAATGAGTATTGGTTATCTTCAAAGGTATAATCTGTGTTTGAGTCAGAATAGTCTTTGTTTTCGTCATTGTCAACATCTTTTTGAGCTTGTTCGATGATGGAAATGAAGAGATTCGGGATATTAATGTTGGATATGTGATCAACAATCAATTTGTGCTCTTTATTGCCGTTAAAGATGTATTCAAATAGTGATCTGATACCGGAGTTGTCGGAAAATCGTAAAAAGTTAAGAAGAAACGGAGAAATGAGCAAAGAGGCGTCGCGATCACATTGAATGATACCCATGAATATTGAACAAACTCTTACTGCTATTTTAGATGAAAAATCCGGTGAATAATTAATGAATTTTGTAATTTTCGAAAAAATGAGGCCTTTTTCGGTCATTGCTTTAATAAGATTGATTTGAGGGTTTGCTGTAAGAAGTACTGCGTTAATTCCGATTGATCCATTGTTCGGATCAAGTATAAGATCAAGAAATTCTGAAATATGGTGAATTAAATAATTTGTAACAATATCTGAATGCTCATTATACGCATCATGAATATTAAAATCTAATACAAATTCTTTTAGACTTTTATCAGGAGGAATTTCCTTCCTCCCGAAGCTAAGCATTTATAGAATTTCGATTGATCAAAAAGTGACAAAAATTGTGTTTGGAGATATAGCAATTTTTTTCAGATCACGATATTAATTCAAATTTGAATTTCTAATTTCTAATTAAAAAAATTATCACTCATGTTATCCAAATTTTTGAAAGAAAAATTGACCATTTTTCCAAAACTATTTGTAAAGTCCGATCAGGTTTCAGAATTCAATATTTTTTAATTTTACATACTTGTACACATTCTATATTTGTTTATCATTTGAAAAAATATAATTTGGAAAAGTTGTTGTTCAAAATTCTCAAAATTTTGAAGACTAGATCTGAAGTTGTGTCATTCGCTCTGAAATCTGTGATCTTGAGCTAAATTTGATTTTGCATCATTCTTCTGCTCTCATCGATTATACCAAAATCAAACAAAAAAATATGAGTAAATAATAAAATAGTTGAGTTCCAAATATCTTTCAATAATTAACTATAAGATGTTTATATGTTAACCTAGCGATCTAGCCAAATGGAAAATTTCAGATTGAAATTTTAACAATTTTTATGGTAACGTGTGTGATTTTAGGGCAAATACGCCGGAAACCCTGGGAAATAATTGAGAATAAATTACATGGAATTTGCCGGAAAATACCATGTAAAACTCTCAAAAATTCGGTCCCACACACGTCATTAATATATGAATAGCTTTGTAAAATCTTTTTTGCAGGTCCCTGCTTGATACTTTCATTTATGTAAGAAAACAAATCACGTTGTTGCGAAATTAGTTTTGTTTTTATAGATCTTTTATCCAAATATCTGATTTTTACATTATTTCGTCCAAAAGTTTTCGAAACTCGAAAGTATTGATGGCTCTTTGGTTATTTTGCCCATGTTTCGCTCAAATTGTTAAGTAAAAAAAATTGTTGTGTGAAAACAAATAATTCATAATGACTTAGCAAAATGTACATTAATTGATAGCGAAATTTGGATTTCTGATATTTTTCAGATTTTTTGTAAAGTTACGACATTTTAAAAATGAGTCAAGGTATTACTCTGAATTTCGAATACATTGGTGCTCACATCGATGAATATATTCGAAATGAAAATCTTTTTGATACATTCGATCACGAAGACATCAAAACAATCATGAAATATTCCAAATTAACCACAACTCAGTTTATTTCTCTTCTCAAACAATCATCACCAACCATCAATGCCAACAAATTATACAAATGTACACGAAATGCGAATGTTATTATCCAAAACATCGACGAGGTCTTTTCAGTTCTTAAATCAGTCAAAAAATACATGAAATTCAATATATTTGATGGCATCATTGATTTCTTAGAGGTAAATGGTAATGAAGTGCGTAAATCTGCAGAAGGAATCACAAAACTTCAAGAACAAAATCAATCAATTCAAATTGAACAGAATCAAACACAAGAAAACATCAATCATTCACAATATCTTTTAACTAAAATCTCATCACTTAAGGCAACTAATGATTTTGATAGTGTTTACCAATTCTTTGAAGAACTTTCTTCTCAAGGCAATCGCGAAATTATTTCAAAGGCTTGTGAAGAAGGACTTTGGAAGAAGACAACAAAGTATGGAGAGAATGTACTTCATGTTGCAAGTGACAAAAGAAATCTTAATCTTGTCAAATCACTTATCGAATATGGCTGTGATAAAGAAACAAAGGATGATGATGGAAATACTCCACTCATTTCTGCATCAGAAAATGGTCATCTTGAAGTTGTTAAATATCTTATATCAGTTGGAGCTGATAAAGAAGCAAAGACTAAAAATGGATGGACTTCACTCATTAAAGCATCAAATTATGGTCGTCTTGAAGTTGTTAAATATCTTATATCAGTTGGAGCTGATAAAGAAGCAAAGACTAATGATGGATGGACTTCACTCATTAAAGCATCAAATTATGGTCATCTTGAAGTTGTTAAATATCTTATATCAGTTGGAGCTGATAAAGAAGCAAAGACTAATGATGGATGGACTTCACTCATTAAAGCATCAAATTATGGTCGTCTTGAAGTTGTTAAATATCTTATATCAGTTGGAGCTGATAAAGAAGCAAAGACTAAAAATGGATGGACTTCACTCATTAAAGCATCAAATTATGGTCGTCTTGAAGTTGTTAAATATCTTATCTCAGTTGGAGCTGATAAAGAAGCAAAGGATAAGGATGGATGGACACCACTCATTTCTGCATCAGAAAGAGGTCATCTTGAAGTTGTTAAATATCTTATATCAGTTGGAGCTGATAAAGAAGCAAAGAATAATGATGGAAAAACTGCACTCTCATATGCAAAGACTAATGATGTAAGAGATTATCTAATATCTATTGGAGCTAAGTAATCTTAACATATAATTTTCAAAACGCGATAATGGTACTTCCATCACATTATCGTCATTTAAAAGCTTTTAATTCTATATCAGATAAATAGATACAAAAAGTAAAATCTCATATGTATATAATTTAATATTAACAATTACATTTTTATTGAGATTATAAGTATTCAATTTTTCAAAAACATATTTTTTGTTATTCTATTTTTTTTGTATGAATTTGTAATGACCAAAACAATTTGATTTACATTATATATATATATAAGATCGTTAATAAACATTTATGTTATCGAAAACAATATTTTATTAAAGGGTATAGTCCACTAAAAATTTTTAAGTTTTGACAATGAAAATAAGCTCTGTGACCATGTAAATATATATCTATGCAAAACGAGAGGTTATGCCATAATTTTTTTTAGTTATCAAATTTTCCTTTTTTTGAGAGAAGTCTCTCAATAATTTGAGAAGAATCTTTGATATAAAGAGATACACATTTGTAGAACGAAGTAAGTGTTTTCCAAACATTTTATATGTTCATCCTGTATAACAATATAAAGCTGCATAGTGCCATCTTGTGCGTTTGCTATTTTATGTACTTTTCATTGAGATAATCCCTCTTCTCGGGTGATTTTAACAGTCAACTCAATTTTAAAATAAAGATTTCATCAAAATGATTTCGAAATTCGGATATTGATTATATAAATAGCACTGTTAACATATTTTGGATGAGTAAAAAATACCTTGTTTTGTATGCATTTAGTACACCTTTATTTTTGATTAAAACTATAAAATTTTTATTCCTTATATAATAAATAGTATATGTTACATAAACATGAAATTCAATAGCATTCAATTTTGGATTTTTTAGATTTGGTAAATTTTAGAAGAAATAAAATCAGCAATCAAAATAAAGAAACTTTTTTTGTATCTTCTATGATTACCTTTTGGTACTAAATTTTGCATTAATAAGTAAATTATCTGTATTATTCTGTGAGCACAAGCCCTCAGTTATGCTGGTAGTGAATGATGAATCGTCATTTTGCGAAGAGAACGCGATTATTAAGGTAATTTTGAGAATTGTCTTGAATTATTTAAAATTAAAGTTAATTGAATAGGTAGGATAACTAGCCTTTGCTAAATTTGTATAATTTGACCTTATTCTAGTTGGATCTGAGAATATTTTGCTGAAATAATAAATTATATCGCCGATTTATGAAAATTTCTCTGATGGGACCGACTCGCTGAAACGTATTAGTGTTAATGGTAACTTGTCTGAATTTTCAAATTTTTTTCGAAATCCAAAAAATCACAAACAAAAGCATCAAAATTAGATTTGCATTTAAGGTTTTCATTTTTTATTGGAAAATAAAAATATTTTTTCCCCAATAAAGTTTGTTTTTACTTTTGAGAGGAATAGAAACGTTATTTTGGAATTTTGAAAAGACAGAAATGTTCCATTTTTAATGTAGATTCCAAAATGGGGTCAAATTTTTGATTGAACCGTTATCCATTGAAAAACCTCGATTTTAAAATGTTATTCCAAAATATTCATCTAATGATATAGTATATATTTATTAATTATTACTTTTTATTCAATTTTCACTTTTGGCGGGATTTCATTTTTTTGTTGTTGTATGGGCCATATTGTTCACCCAAAACGGAAAACAAAGGCAATGCATAACATTTTACTCCACGAACGTCGTCGACTCTCAGCGCGACAGATGCTTGGTGCTTGCATAATGACCGGAATGCCATATACAAAAGGTGCTCGCTTTCTTTCTCTTTGTGGAACTAAGCCCCCTGTGAAGAGTGGTGTCATGAGACAACAGAGATTTTGTGACGATAAGATTAGAAGACTTAAAAGTATTTCCCTAATGCTGTCGAGAAAGTCCTTCAGTGGTTACTTATCCATTGATGCAAGATGGACGCACAGGCGAAACTCGCCAAGTTGTACAGTAACTGCGCTCGATGCTGTCACAAAAAGAGTTCTTGCATGCGTGAACATCAACCATATTGGTGGAAACAGACAGCATGCTCAGTATTCCGGAGCTTCCAACAATATGGAAAGTGCTGGAACTCGAATCATCTTGAAGCAATTAAAGAAATACAATATCTTGAAAGATGTTAAAGAGATTATTAAAGACCGAGATAACAAAAGTGTCTCTGTCTTTAAAGAATTTGGCGTCTCTCATCTTGAAAGATTCGATCCAGGTCATGTATCAAAAAATATCTCAAAAGATTTTACAAAGTTCTCAGCTTCTCATAAGACAGTTGAAGTTTTCAACGACAAGACTCAGAAGATTGAAAAAATAGAGAGACCTTTCTGGGGTCTGAATGCAAGCCTAAGTATGTGGCTTTGGTCATGTTTTGCCGAAGAAAATATGACAAACGTACGAAAATGTGGGAGAATTGTGTCTACCATTACGTAGGCAATCATTCTTTTTGCGAACCGCACAATTACAAATGCTTTGAATGGCAAAAAGGTGTCAATTCGATCCAACTTCAATTCATGCTCTATGACTGGGTTCACAAATGGACACCCATAGTTTCCAAAGTTTCTTCCATTGGATCTACCTGCATGAATGAAGCGTTTAACTCCAAAATTGCATGCTATTTGGACAAATCAAGAGCCTGGAAGAACATTAACATTAGAGTTAACGTTGCAATCTTAGAATGGAATGATCCAGAGCATTTTCTCGGAGATATACAAAAAGCATTACATCTTCCCCCACTTCCAGAAGATTGTGTCAAATCATTTGAAGAGAATTGTTACTCCAAAATGATATTGAAACAAAAAACTGTTACAAAAGGTTCTAAAAAACAGAACAAATACAAAAAATCCATTCAGAGTGTACCAGGAGGAGATTATCAAGTTTTCAAGTCCGAATGGGAATCAGAAGACGAAGACATTGATGACTTTGATTAACGAAAATTACATTTTATTTATTGTTTTTGTTTTTAATTAAATTATTATTATGCTCATTTTCTTATTTTGATTTTTTCTCATTATGATATAAATAATTTATTAATGCATTTATCCAATAATTATGCTATGATATTTTTATGCCTTATTTCATTTCTCTTATATTTGATAATCTGGTAAAATATAGTTCAGACTATAATCATTTTAGATTATTGATATATTTATATAGGTTAGAATAAAATTAGTTTCATTTTCTACTTTTATTTTGAATTAATAATTTATAATATCAAATATTATGGCGTAACCTCTCCTTTAAAATATAGATATATATAGGCCTATAGAGTTTATTGGCACTCTCAAAACTCTAGAATTTTGAGTTTACTATACCCTTAAATAAATTCATTTTCATTTTTGATTCTCCATGGAGAACCTTTTCTCACTTAACATAGATCATTTATTTTTTCACACAAAAAATACAGCTTCTATTAATTACGAACAAACATTTTAAAAAGCTTTCGACTGTCATTGATGCATGTTTTTTTAAAATAAAAATAACTAACCGTAAAACACGAAATCTCTTAAATTTTATAATGTGTATTTTTGCACCATTGCTAAACGATGAATACTTTCATCATGTATGTCAAATATTTTTCAGCATTAAATTCATGTATTACATGTATTCTAGAATAATCGAATTAATTGCAGCAACAAATAGAAATGTATGCTTGAACTCTTAATATGTTGCTCTCAATTGTTAGCCCAAATACTTTTTGGACGATAAATTTCATTCATCCTATTTGTCTTAATACAATGTTGGATATTTAATCTTTTCATCTGATTTTACAAAATTGCCCATTTGCAGACAGCTTATGGAGGACTATGTTTAGAGGGAAAAAAACGTTTCCACATACCTCTTCTTTGTATATTCAAGGTCCACAATATGAAATATGAATCTCATTCTTTATTAAATTAATGAATTTTGAAAGCCTTTACAATAGCAAGGGACATTGATCCACATTATCCTACTTTTGGATTTAACGATTTCAAATTTAGTAGAATTCTGCTATTTTTATACATCATTTTGATGATCCATTATTATCTGTTTAAAGATATGTTTTTTATTCATGACTGATATTTTGAGTAAAATATTTTGTCACTTTTATTTCTTACGTTAAGGGTTATAAAAAATGTTCGAGCAGCGTCGTATTCGTCCACAAGCAAGTCAACACATTACTTTTAAGGCAGCTAATGATATCGCCAACAATTTGACACACTCGAACAACTCTAATACAAAACAGTCACAAACAATTTCATTTCGCTATGACGAAAACTTAATTCCAGTTCTCCCGAAACAATGCCCTATCAAACGTATTTCGTGTCATACTATGCATGATCTACTTGCTGGCAAATATTCACATACTGTTCAGGAAATCGAGATTTTTGATTGCCGTTATCGATATGAATATGATGGTGGTCATATTGATAATGCAATGCATGTATCTAGTCTTGAAGAAATCGATCGCCACTTCTTTACTCAGCCAAAATTCAGACCAAATTCAGTTTTTATTTTCCATTGTGAATTTAGTGTAAATCGCGGACCAGACTGCGCTGAATACTTGAGGAATACTGATCGTCAGTTGAACTTAAATAAGTATCCATTCATTTACTATCCGCACGTTTATATTCTCGATGGCGGATATTCAAATTTCTACAAAATGTATCCTGAAGACTGTGACGGTGGCTATACTCCAATGCTTGATTCTGAGCATTGCGAGAATGGAGACTTGGCCCAGTCAACGACTCAGCACAGGAAAAATTTCAAGTTAAGCAAGAACAACCATACATCATCTCTCTCATCTTTTTCTTCTTCATTATTTGTACTTGTACCAAACAAGCTTAAACGTTCGCCACTTTCAGCTACTCTTCCGTGTGCTTCAACACCTTCATTATTAACAGAAGATTATCAAAATTTCCCTAATAATAATGAAAATGAAGACTGTACACAAAACCCTAGAAGGGTTAAGAAATTTGGACGATCTTTACAATTTGATTGCAGCGAATCTAGTGATGACGGCAAGGAAAATAGCACTGACAGTTCATCTCAAAAAAATAATGATGAATCTGATTTCAATGATGATTATGAATGCCTATCCGATGATGATAACACTATTGAAGATCTTTTTAGTGATGATGACGATGAAATCGATGACCGCTTAGAATTTGATGTAGAAGTTGACCCTTTTAACTAGAATTATAATATAATATATTATTTCTCGATTCAATTAATTAATTTTGTTTGTTTGTTATTATGTAAATGTTTTTATTAATGTATTTATTTATATTTTAGGGAAATTTTCAAGAAATAATTGGAAAATTAAAAATAATTTTTCCAAATTTTAGAATTTGAATCATAATTACATGGGTTTATATTGCATAACAAAGGTCTCTAACAATATCAATTGGATGGTCTTTCATTGACTCGAACTTTTCTTCATAAGTGAAAAATTGACCACAAACTCCCAAAGAATTGAGAGTAATGCCAAGCCTATGACGAGCTTGTTTACGAGGTACTAAGAATGCATGATGTTTTGTAAGAACAAAGTTAAAATGTTTGATATCATCTCCAAATTTTCCTGATTTCATTCGGGATGTTAAGTCATTCCATGCATCTTTTACGCATTCTGGAGAAAACCATTCTATTTTCTTCGAATAGTAAAGCCATGGGAGGTTTTTGCCTTTTGACATTACGTCAGCAATTGGAAAATCTTCTGTTGGAATATATTGGATGTGTTTATGGAGCTGTGAGCATCCGCTTTCATTTCCCGAATTGTAATATCCGATGCCTTTGTTTCCAAAATCTAATAAGAATTGAGAAAAGGCATGAAAATCAGTATCATTCAATGGATCACCTTGTCTATCTGATGGATTATCAGAAGAAATTACAACATGACCTGGTTTAAATGAGTATAAATTAATTTGAATGTTGTGAGCGGCTCCATTTTGCAAATGGGTGGCCAAAATATGAGGCGGATATGGAGGAAGTAATGGATCTTTGGATTCTTCGCGTGGAGGATGATCACCGGTGTAAACACTTCGATCATAAAAGTTGAACTGGAACTTTAGTCCATCTTTTTCAACAATATGATGTTTCTGTGATATGATGAAAGCAGTTCTTGCCTTAAAGCAATCAAATGCATGAGTCAGTACTTTCTCTTTTAGCGAAAGCATTTTTTATTTCAATTCCCGACCGATCAATTAGATTTCAATTTACATGTCAAATTTTCCACAAAAAAAATCATTATGAGTGAAAATAAAATTTTACTTTGATAACAAATATTCAATAAAATATAAATAAAATTAACCACTTCTCTATTAAGGCAATAAAAAAACATAATTTTGAGATCTGTCAAACTTTTTATACGAAGTTCTGAGTTATTACAAAGCGGATAGCTTGTATCGATTATTTGTCTACAGATGGAAGATAATTCGAAATGTTTATCTTCGATGAAAGATTCTTGTATGATAGATCCATGGAATTGTTATGCTATGTGAAACATATGGTCTGGTTATTGAAATTGCAATGTAATCTAATATATCTTGTGTTTGTTGATCAATAGTATTATGTTGGTCTTGGATATGCACATAAACAGACTTACTCCCGAAAAAAATTTTGCATTGGCCTTCTAACTTTGTTTCACTAGTAATATATAAATGACTGTTTTTCGCAATTAATGCGTTATTTACATCGTTAACGCGAAGTCTTTCACGAATATAAATATTTAAAGGAATGTTATCGAATATAGTTTGAGCTTGCAAATTAATAATACTGTTTATAATTTCAATCCTAGTTAATGATGTACAGCCTTTAAATATATCGTTATTTAGTGTTATGGTATTGTTTATAAATTTAATACTTTTTAGTGATATGCACCCAAGAAATGCTTTTTCAGCAAGTGTAATAATATTGTTTATTAATTCAATTATTGTTAATGATGTGCATCCATCAAATGCATTTGCACCAATCCTTGTCACAGACTGTGGAATTATTACACTACGCAAATTTCTACAATAAAAAATGCATTATCATCAATGGATTCTATTCCATCTTCTATTATGGCATTTGATAAAGATTCGCATCTATTAAATAAACTTTTTCTAATTTTCGAAACTTTAGATGGAATTGAAATATTAGTAAGTGATTTTCTCAAATGCAGATTGTCCAATATGTGTGACATTTTCAGGGATTGAAATATTTGTTAGATTAGCACAATTATTAAAAGCACAAAATCCGATGGTTTCAATATTATTATGGAATTGAATTGATGAAATACTTAAACTTTGGAAGCAATAATCACCAATTTTTGTTACATAATTAGGAACAATCAGTTCATTGTCCGCATAAGTCGGAAGAACTTTAAGTAAGGTTGAATTTGTTCTTCCATAAAACAGACATTTTGAATCATATTTAAAATATTGGTTTTCTGGATTAATTTCTGTGTTTTCTAAAGGACATTCAGCAATTGCTGTTGAGGGCATTGAATTCAAATTTTTAGGAATATATAATGAAGATAATTTTTGAAAGCAGTATGTATCAACTTTTTCTAATTTCGAATTATGTGAAATATTTATGGAAATTAAACCTGAATCATAAAATGCCATTGTCTCAAGAATTTTAACAGAATCTGGTAATTCTAGTGATTTAAGTTTATAATTGAATCTAAAACAATGTTTTCCAATACAAGAAATATTTGGGGGAAGAATAACTGTTTCTAGGTATTTACAATAGTAAAATAAATATCCATTTAGTATTGATAATTGTTTGCATTGACTTAAATTAGCTGTTTTTAGACCTGTGTTATAAAAACTATAATTCGAAATACTAACAATTTGACTATCATCTTCGAAACTAACTGCTTTGATAGTTCTACAATTCTTGAATGCATAGTTATTTTGATTTTGACTATATATATATTTGACAGTTTTAGGAATAACAATTTCTGCATCAGAACTTGCTTCGCATCCTGTAAGAGTTTGATTGTTAGCATCACTGTATGTAAAAGAATAACTTGATTTTAAAACTAAGACATGCCTAAAAACTTGCATCTAAAAAAATAAAATTAAAATTTTAAAAAAAAAGATAAATATTTGGAGTTCATCTTACATGAAAATCTTTATGTTATGATTTTAGATTGTAAAATATGTAAACTATTCAATTTTTTAAAAATTGAGAATATGCAACGTCGTTTCGAGAATTTTTATTTGGTAAGATTTTCCATTAATAAACTTGTTTATTGTAGCATAACTGTTTTGATTATTTAATATAGCTATCTAAAACATTAGTTTTTGATGAAATCTATGATATATTAAAAAGTTTTAAAACAATCTTTTTATGTAACAAAAGAATTTCTATGCCGATTTTAGCTTTATCACTCAGAAATACCTTTCGAAACTTTCAATGATATTTTTTAATTTTTTGATAGACTAAGAAAATAAAATGGTTTAAAATTGAATATTTGGAAATTACATTCTATAATTTTTTATAAAAAAAAGTTCAATACTTAATCAAAAAGTGCCAAATAATTTACCCATAATTTTTTATAAAAATCAAACGATAAATAAATAAAAAATACAATAATTTTTTATATGGAATAATATATAAATAAAAAACAAATAAGAATATATAAAATAAAAAAAAATAAAATTTGTTTTCAAACCCATGCAAAACCTGTTTCTTGGCAATTGAATGCATTCTTTGACGTTGCAATCAAATGATCAAGAACAGCAAATGGCATTGGGTTCTGTTCCTTTTCAGTGTCTTCCATTTCGCACAACGATGACTTACGAACACGATCTGATACAATTTCGGATGTTTTCTCTCCATGTTCTACCAAAGCTTTGATATAAATCTTCAGTTTGTCCAAGTTTCTTGAGAATGATTCTATAACCAAAAGCCATGTGGAGCTGAAGCTTCCGTTCATTACGTAAGGAGGGATGAACTCTGATATTGTTTGTGTCATTGGCAAGTGGCAAACTTTGTGGTTACTATGTGTCAATCTTGGCATTGAAACTTTGCATCGATTTGTGCTGAACAAGATTGTTGGATACTGTGGATATCCACTCATGAACAAGAACTTGATTGCGGAGATCGCTGAGATGTGTGAACTAATGCTTTCTCTCATGAATATGAAATCAAGTTTGGATCCTTCCGAGTAGCTGAATAACCACTGATAAACTGACTTTTTAATGTCTTGGCTCTCAATTTTTCTTGATTTGACAGCGAAAGGTTCTCTTCCTGTTTCTCCTTTTCTCTTGAGAAGTTCGAGGATGATCTGTGTACGAGTGATTTCTCCCAATCCGCAGTAACTTCCGCCAGCCATCATCAGCAATTGCTTGTGTATATAGTATAGCTGCGCGTGGCTGATGAAAGCAGAACGGAACTTAAATGCAGGATGATTTTTGATGAAGAAACGAGAAACGTACAAAAAGATTTCTTCGCTGAAATTTGGTTTGAACAACAAAGAACAAATCAAAGAGAATGACATTGTTTGGCCATTAACCATTACGAATGTCATTGTTGCTTCTTTGTCGCCAGGAGCATCAATGTATGCATGGAAACATTGATTAGTAAGAGCAGGGAATCTGAAATATGTTGATCCATATGGTTCAATTGTTGTTTTGTTTGTCTTGAAATAAGGAGGATGTTCTATTACGTATTTCAAGACATCTTCGCCTGTTATCTGTTTAATTGTTGGAGAAACCTCAAAATTATACCTGTCACTTGCGATTTCTTCTGCAAGTTTCATGTGAACACCGACACTTGAGTAATAATTATCAATGTCATCTTCGATGTCGTGTGCCCACATCAAGCTTTGGTCGTATTCGTGGAGTGTTGATCCTTCTTGCATTTTTCCAAGTGATTTCGTTGCTTCTTCGCAGAATTTCTGGGATTTGCAGGTCTCACTTCCCAAAGCGTTTCTCAGGATGGATCTGAACCTTGATGTTTCGCACATCATAACTTTCTTCAGGAAATCAATTGGAGGGTTATCAAATGTTGACAAAATATGTGGCAGCCAAATGAACCAAACTGTTGCTTGGTCTTGTTTGAAACAGCCGAAAATGTGTTGGTAGAAGAGATTCGTTGTTTGTGGATTCTTCTTCACAATGGCGAAAGCTAAACCTAAAGCCATGTTCGTGTATTCCAAAGATTGCGGGACAAAGTTTTGAGGAATAATTCTTTGTGCAATCACTTGATAAACAGTTTGGACGTTGATTTCATTTGGAAAATTGGTGAACATGAAAATCAACAACTTCAAATGATAATTTTGAGAAGAAAGCTGCTTGAAATTGAACTGTTTCATGAATCCGGAAACATCATGAATTGCCAAGAAATAGTACAATCTTGTCTTCAAAGCAGGGATGGTTTGTGTATACGCTTGTGGAATTCTTGAAAGCATATTGTATATACGACTAACACTCTGTATATTGAACTGCAATCCATACCTCAAATCTCTCTCAAATTGTGGATTTTGAGGTTGAGAATTCTGAGGATCTTGCGGTTGTTGATTATTTGTAATTCCAAATGTTGATTGAGTTATTTCTGGCGGCTGTAGACTGAGAGTGAACAGCTTGCAAGCTTTCTTCATTGCGTTGGACGATGACAAGAGAGAAGCAGCAAAGTTCGAATTAACAAATGCGAAGTTTTGTGAACTTCTAAACAATTGTTTTTCTCTTGCACGAATTTGATTTATTTTGAATCCAATGTTTGAAATAGCAGCGCAGTTCTTATCTAATGTAGTCAATCCTATAATAGACCATTTAGTAATGCCTGCCTGATCCATTGGATTCTTCGAAACACACCTCAAAAGTGAAATTGACTCATCAAAAATTGTCAATCTTTGAACGGAAAGTAAACTTGGAAGGAAGAATTTCGAGTCAGGATAATAGATATCCTTAATCGCAGCGTGTAATTCGTTTTCAGGAGTATATAATTTGATCATCGGCAAGTTCAACGCGTAACTAGGGATGTTAGGAAGGTTGATATATGTTTGGCAACTCGTATCAATGAAAGCAAAGTCCAAATTCATCAAAACAGGTCTCATCAAATTCAATATCAAAGAAAATTCATCTTTTTTGTCGAACATTTCGTTCAAATATAAACCTCTTGCTGCTTCGAAATGACACAACTGATGATAACGAATAGCATTCTTTAATTGCGGTTTTTGTAAAATGTAAACTCCGAGTGAATCATCAGTCATTGTTACATTATTCAAAAACTCCGCGTTTTGGAAGAAATTCTTGTTCGGAAGAGGGTTTTGGTCCAAGAAATGAACTGTTGTGTAAAACACTTCACTCAAAGAAGAATTAGGGAACATCTTCGTGTAATACATGATGAAGCGATTTAGTTGTCTGTTTATATCAAGTTTTTCAAGAGAAATCGCCATCATTTGCTTCATTTTGTTTTCTGGAATGTAATTTATCAAATTGGAAATTTCCTTTTCATTGTAAAAGTACTTTGAAAACACATATAAATGAGATGCTTCGTGTTGTAATGACCACGAGTTCTGCCACAAATTATCAATCGATTCATTCTTAGAAACAAATGAATCGTAATACATCAAAACAGGATCATTCAAACTCGGCTTAAATTCTTCAATCAATTTTTCAATTATTGAAAAATGATCTGCATTCAAAGGTAATTTGAGTTGTGGTAATTCATACAACAAATGAGACAAATCCTGTGGTTTTAATGCATCGATTAAATTGTCAAAGAGTTTTGTGAATTGTACATCTCCTTGGCATTCATCTGACCAACACAAAACTGTTGCAAATGAACTCGATTTCGGTTCAGAAAACTTCTTATTTTGGGAAACAAGATATTTGTAAAGATCCGAAATAATTTTGCCTGTTACAATTTCTCCACCGAATTTGGATACTTCTTTCAAAGCTACCTTATAGTATTGCATGATATCCAAGTTCATTTGTGAACTGAAGATATTTGACAACAATAAAATTTGAGGGAAATAATCGTTATTTGCAAACAAAAATTTTGACAAATGTGAAATGACCAAAAACTTAAAAGATAATTGGGATAACCACTGATTATTATCCATTGCAGGGATGATTGCCATATAATCTTTGAATTGTTTTATCAATTCCATATCGATTTTCTGGATTTCTACATCGGAATGGATATCAGAGAATATCAGATGGACTTGGTTTTGTGCCTGGTCTTTCATCTGAAGGAAGAAGAAAGAAAGAACAGAAAACAAAGGAGCTTTGTAATCATTATTCATGAATTTTGCGAAATTCCTGTAATAAGAAATGAATTTTCTTATTGCTTGTATTGTTTGATTATTTGGTGTGTTTACAGCAAACGCCATCAATAATCCAACAAGGAATCTGTTGCACCATCTCTCTGTCATTGGATATTTTTCAGGAAAAAGTGACATCAATCTTAAAATATTTTGAGAATGAGAATTGAAGAAAGGGAAATAAACCAATCTCTTTCTCATTATTTCGTAGGAATCATTCAACTGTATTCCATCATTAATAACATGGACTAATCTATTTGTCGTTATACATGTTTCCAACTTCAAATTTCCTCTTTTTATCAAAAGTTTGTGGACATCATGAGAATTGTAAATTATTGGACAATTCATGATATTTTCAATCGAAACAAAATCATATTCATACGTCAAACAAACAGAATGAACATACAAATATCGTAGCAATATGTGTGAATCATTGTCTAAATTTGAATATGAAAAAGTGACGTTTTCTAAATTGTCACTTTTATTGTCTTTAAACATTTGATTCAACAAACTGAACAAAAATATTTTGATGTATGTTTTGTTCGGATGATTGATCTGCTTCTTCTCCATCTCAATGATATTTGTCAAACCGTTTTTATAATTCAAATAATAATTTGCCAATTTTTTGACAATAACTTCGTGTAAGAAACATTGAGGCGACGATAGGAAAAATGGCAAAATGTTCAGTTCATCTTTATCTGTTATTAAGCAGTTGATGATATTGTAAGCCATAGAAGGCTTGAAATTATCATTTTCGCCTGCAAAATACGTATATAATCTGATGGCCATTTCTTTAAGTCGTTTTCTTTCTTCAGGTGAAGTGGCAAAATTAATTGAATTTGCAACGACTCTTAATGTACGATTAACAATATCATAGATGTCCAAAACATTGTCAGGATTCTGCAGAGGCTTCTGTTCTTTGAAATACTTGTGGACATTGAAAACAGCGAAACTTGAAAACAAAAATAATTCCCTGATATTGGAACTTTCATTCAAAAGCATCAAAGAAATTGTTGTATAATCTTTTTGTATCATGAAATTGAACAATGACTCGGCACTTTCATACGAATACTTTTTGAATACTTTACAAGCATTCAATTTTAATTGAGGCCTTTGAATTCTGTAATAAATAACTGTTTCTATCACGTTATTTATCAAAGATTGGAAGCTGGCTGGCTGTTCGTTTTCTGATTTGACAGTTTTAGTTTTAACTGGCAGTATTTCGATGATATCGAAAATAAATGACGACAACCATTCAATTGTTGACAATTTTGTCTTTCTGTCAATTTTCAATGCTTGTAAAGCAGCAATTAAATACTTTACAATTTCTTCTGTCTGATCATTATATAACTGAGTCTCAACAGCGAACTTTAGTATCCTCAAATCAGTCTTTGAAGGTCTAAGTTTCGGTGGTGTGAAGTGCATGATTTTTGTCAAATCTTTTGGCAAAAAATCAAAAGTGCCAAAACCGGCTTTGACACCTTTTTGGAGGTTTCTCAGATAGACGTTTACCCATGGTCTGTTCTTTTTGTCGTTGAACAATTGAAATGTCTTGTAGAACATGAGGCTTGCGAGAGATTCGTTTTTACATGAAATTGAGAGTCTTGCGATAACTTTGTAGATGAAACTCTGCAATTTGTATATAGAAATTGAAGGATCCAAAGGAGAACCTCTGTTTACAGGGTCAATGATCTTCATCTGGTACTTGTCTGAGTAGAAAAGGAACCTTTCTTCAGGTGGTGCTTGCGAGGTCAAATATGTATAAAAAGTGTCAAATAATTCCTGTTGAAATGGGCAATCATCGAAAGTTCTCAAGAAATTGAAGTAAACTCTGACAGTGTTAACTAAATTATTTGGAATGTTGAGAGCTTTCTGGATCTTGTTTAATATGTCTTGTCTGTGTTTGGAGTACATGTTTTGTATAGAACTAATCAGACCAAGATTTATCAATATAGGATTGACAACTTTTCTCACTGAATAACTTGATCTCCTTGACAAGTAAAAACATTGTTTGTACAAGTCAGAAAAGACTTCTGGACAGTTCTCGTTATTAGCATTGTTAACAATCAGGTGCTGATATATAATGTCAAAGCCTCTCTTGTACTCGTTTTGTGAGGATTGTAAAATTGGAGATAAAAGTGTCAGCCACTTTTTATCGAAAGGAACTTTGTCGATCAATTTGTCTGTTAAATCTAAGGCGTATTTAACAGTATCGACATTGAAAAACAAGAAACTAGATTCATGAAGGAAATCATAAACTCTATCGTCTTCTATCGTCAATTCATCGAAAATTAAATATCTGAAGAAATGGCCGGTGAAATTGTCAGGTAAATTGTTGGTGAATTTGTCTTTGTTGTTTTGACAAATAATGTTAACAATTTCTCTGACAACTTTACTTTGGCAAATTTCTTGATAAGATAATTGGTCGAATGCTTTTTGAACTAATTCGAACATGAAGTCAATGAGGCTATCCTTCTTACACTGTTTGTATGTATCGAGGATGATATCTAGAGCATAGATTTTGCCATTAATGGTAACTTTTGTGTAGGATGGACGAATGGTCTGTTGTTCTTCAGCGGCAATAGGTATGAAATCAGCGATAGTGTTCAATAATGGCCTTAGCTGATCGATTTCCTGGGGGTTGGTGCTCTGGGAAAGCATGTGTGATAAGCAATTTAGCAATCTAAACTTAGTTTGCTTCTTTAGCTCCTTGAAAAGAGCTGCAAAGTTCTTGGTTTTCATGGTAATAGCAAATGAAACGAGATCCTTCTTACGTCCTTCGTCTGTTTCAAGGTCTGGAAGGAATAAATTGAACCATGCATCGATATTCTTCGGAGAATCAATGGCAGGGAACATATTTATCGCTAACCTTGAAAATACAAGCTCTGGCTGAAGCGGAATTAGAGCAGTTCCCCAGTTTCCACCAGCTTTATTCAGCATTTGTACGAAAGGAACCAATCTGCTGTTAGTTTGCCTTCTGCTGTAAATTTTGAACAGCCCATTGAATGTTTCTACAAGGTCAGCGCAGTTCTTATCGAGGACTTCTAAGAATAAATTAAATATTGCAGTGCAAAGTTGTTCGTTTTGTTCAGGATTTATGTTAATTGGAGACTCCTGGACAAATGTGTCAAGGATAACCTTGTAAAGAAACTCTACATACAACTTATTGAGAGAATTTATATTCTCAATCGTATGATTTATCGCAGCAATGATAAAAGCTGATGGATTTTGTAGTTTTGGTAAGAATCTGCTTACAAGGAATGTATTAAATGTATGACAATCTGCTGAAGGAAGATAATATTTCACATTGTCTCTGAAAAATGACTGTGACCACTCTACAGGTAGTTTAATGATGATGTCGCAGTAAAAAGAGAATATTTCTTGTATCGTTCTTCGAAATAGTTTGAGTTGTCCTGTAAATGGCTTTCCGTTGAAGATAATTGTATCTTTGTTATTGTTATTTAATATCTTACCCATTAGATCAAGTAGTTTTGCGTTGTAATGTGTAAATCTTGACAATATATCTGTCTTTGTATTTTTCTCGTCCAAATTTGGTTGAAAAAACTGTCCGAATAATGTGTTTATCATCTTAATAATAAGATTATTGATTTCTGCCCATTGTTCTGGTGAATCATCGTAATCATCGAGAATTAATTCTAAAATCGACATCAATTGTTCAAGAACGTCGCCTAATTTCGCTGGATTTATCTTGAAGTGGTCGCATATTTTACGTAGAATTTGTATTGCTTGCCATACTTTAAGACTTAGTAATTTATAAACATTTGAAAGTAATTTTTCGATAGAATTAGGCTGAGAAAGTATACGTTCGTTAATTCCTTTAGCGAGATTCGATAGCATGTTTAAAAACCTTCTTTGACCTATAAATGGTTTTATTGCAAAATAACTCAAATTATCAATAATTTCCTTTTCTACTATTGGCGATACGATGGATAAAAGATTTTCGTCTGTATGTGAGTAAATTGAAGAGAGAATATATAAATAATTTAAATATATATGCATAAATTTCAAATCCTTTGATATTTTTGAGCCAATATCAATAAGGGATGTTAGCGCAGATACTGGCATTGTATGTGTCTGTTCGTAAAGCCTAGAAATAACGCGGAGTGCCTTTGCGCAAATTTGTTCAAAATAAGGAAAGAAATCAGGAGAATCCGCGTAAACTAAGCACCCATTTGTGATATGTATGAAAGTGTCGTAGTATGGCATTATTGTGTGTAAGTCGTGTTTTTCATAAACAATAACTGAAATAAATGCTGCTAAAATTAGAAGAAAGAGATTGTGATCGACTTTATTAATGTCCGTAACTGCAAGCTTCAAGTATGTTTGATAAAACTTGAGAAAGTCTGGTATTCTATCCGGTTGCCCACGAGGTGCAAGGCTGAAGTGATCAACAAGTATACTAAATGCTTGTTGTTGCAATCTACCTTCGAAATTAAGCACTTTTATAAGCTTTTCTTCGATTAACCCCGAAGTTATTGGAGTTAAATATATTGGCTTTATGATGTGGATCAGTTCCATGCATCTAGATTGCCTATCTATTACATCTTGAGATGTTGCGGTTTGATAATCACTTCTCGTCGGTAAAGTTTGGCATAAAAACTCAATAATAATTTGGATGTGAGCTTTTACAAGCGAATCAAAGCCGGAAATAAGAAAGGATTCAATTAAATCAATTACTTCGTCGCTTGCATCTGGTAGATTTGGCCTAGAAAATAGGTCCAGAATGCGCGCGTTTATTTCCATTCTCTTTCCTGGGACGATTATTCCACCAATTTTTTTTTCAGGCAATGAATATTTAAAATTGGAAATTGATTGTGTTTTTTAAATCTAATTTATATAACATGTTCTTTTGCAAGGTTTTTGTTGGTCATATGACACTCAAAATTCATTCAGATTTGACAAACTTCTTGATTTCATCCCAAAGAGTCTGTAAATGATTTTAGCCCTGATTTTTGAATATTTTATAGATACAACATTATGTAGATTCACTAAAATAATCAAAAATTGCAATATAATTGTTAAATACTGTTTAATGTAAAAGGATATGCTTACGTTCTCATAGTATTTTGTTTGGAATTGAAGCAGTATATAGATATGAGGGAAGAAATACTTATTCCTCCATTTGAATATATACCAATACTATTAATGCGATAGTTAATTACTTTATTGTTAAATGATCGTATTAACTATCTATTATCGAGCTTAATCCTACTAATTTCATTTCCAAAATATTGGCGAAAAAGATTGCAAAATAACATGCTCAAATTGAATATATTTCTATAATATATACAGAGCAAAGAATATATTCATATGAATATTTGAAATTGAAAATTATATTGATTCAATATTTTTATATTTAATTCGCAGAAAAATGGTACTTAGTTTATAATAGAAATAGTGAATGTTAACCATTTTTCTAGGATATATTTGTAGGAAAAAGGAAAATAATTGTATTTTATTTATAGTTTATTGATCCTGTTGATTCTGACGATTCTGATATTGTTTGTGATAGCCTCCGCGGCCACCACGATTTCCACCGCGGCCTCCACGATTATAACCACCTCTATTACGGCCATCATTATGATATTCGCGATTTTGATTGTATTCACTTTGTTGCCTCTTTTGTTGTTCACTCTTTTCAGCATCTCTCTTTTCTCTAACGACATCTGATATTTCTTTCGGAAGAATTATATATTTAATTGAGTTACCACGAATGCATGTTGTTTCTGTGTCTTTTTCTTCGTTATTAAAATCAATTCTTGCACTTGCTAAAACTAAATTCTGGAATTTATCTGTTGAAATCAAAGTACCAGAGACAATTGTTCCATCCTTGAGCGTTGCAGTTAAAAACTTACCTACCGATGAATCCAAGTATGATGAAGGAAACATTTTATATATTCAGACGAACCCTTTCAAATTTATCGTTATTCATGACTACAAATTATATATTTTCGATTTATTTTATTTAGGAATATATCATGGTACAAAAATAAATACTAATCCACTAAAATTTTGCTATGGATTTATAAGATTTTTTTATTGAAGTTCGAAAATTAATTTTCTGTTCAAGTAATGTTAATCAATATGCAAGACTAAGATTATGTAAGTGTATTTCAATTGATGTACTCTCAAAAGCATATTTTTGCATGTGATTTCAAATAGAGTATTGATATTAGCCTCGATTGAGGATATACAAGGAAATTATTAGAACTTAGATAATATGATCAATATGTTAATCTATTGAATGGCAATTGTTTCGAAGAGAATAATATTTTGGCACTCAGAAACAGAAATTTTATGTGAAACATATTAGTCTCAGCTTTGAGCCAGACCTTGTGACGAAATTAAATTGATGAGAATGAATTGTTTCTTCTAAACTCAGTTTTTCATTGTCAATGGATTGAATATCTAATAAAATTAGGGAAACGTTTACAGGATAGTAATATTTATTATGTTTTTATTTCACAAAAGTGGCATTATAAAACGTTTGTAAAATATTTTGAAATCCTGAGAAAGATAAACTTTATTCATTGATCGGAATGAGAGGATGGCCTTTGTTTTCGGTCATTCCTTTCAAGTAAACCTTTCAAATGGTGTTGATTTCAAGCTTTATGATATTGAAAGCATTTGGTGGGTATGCAAATTTTACGACAGCAGGAATAATTTTTTTTTAGTGTGCTACCCTCCAAAATTCAGTTTTGTGCGGTGAAACCTGTTATTGAGGAAAACTGTTGAATCTGGTCGTACCGTTTCGAGCCGTGTTTAAGCCATGCAAGAGTCAGACTTGGATGATATAAGTTATTACCCAGATTTTCCTTACTTTTACCACCTCTCTAAAGCTGGGGACACCGCCTATCGTTGGGGGTAGCTATTAAATAGAACCACCAAGGGCATTTTTTGAACTGCCGTTGTAGTGTAGTGGAAACATCCGACATAATGATTTATTATGTCAAGGCTTGATTCCCATTTAGCCAATTTTTTTCTTTTTTGGATCATGAATTTTTTTTTGGGTCACTATAAGATTTGTTTCATGTTCTAAATCTGCTGCATATGTAATCTATTTTTATTTACCTATTTTTTACAAATCTATTGGATTGCCAAATTTGAATATATTTAAAATCATAAAACTCCAAAAAAACTATAAATATATGTTTTATGCATAGTGCCGATACTCAAATATCAGATTACTTAGATCCATGAATAATATCCGAATTTTTTTTCTTAAAATTAAACTTCAAAACTTCTTGCAATCTTATTCTTCATCAATTGTAAATTTTTAAAACCATTTTTTAAAATAATTTTGCGTAAATTTTATTCTCATGTTGTTTTAATCGAAAATTGATACATTTTCAAAAAATAATATTGACTTATGAAATTCATTTTTAAGGTGAAATAGTATTGTTTTTATTAAAGTATATGAATAATATATAAAAAATTAATGAATAATATAAGCAGATTTTTAGTTTACAAAACAAATATGAGCAATGCAATTTCAAACTTTTGCTGGCAATTTCGATATTGCTCAAGTTTGTAGTATTTGTGATACCTATAACATCGGCTTAATCAAAATTCGATTTTTCTTATGAGTTATTGAGAAAATTTGATTGTTGAGAAGGATTTCGACGTTTTTGATAACTAAGAGCTGAGCTTATAGGTTTCAGTTCATTTATGGCTGTAGTTTGATGCGTAGATCTCTTTTTTATTGTAAATTCTTTCAGCATGGAGATCGAGAATGAATCTTTTGAAGACTTTATGAGTTTTTACCACCGTAAAGAGGTCCTTCGAGGAAAGATAGTCCAGACTACATGAAGATGTGGGTTAACCAAAAAAATCAGATGGTTTCCCCATATTCATGTAGATCTTCGAAAAAATGAGCACCAAAAAAGCCAAAAAAATAGGCTTTTTATTGGATTTGTACACTAGATCAATAATCTATTTAGGATCTGACACTCTTTTTAGCCAGAGATATGAGGTCCTTTCTAGGAAAACGATCTATTCATCCATAAAAAAAAAGAATTATCGTTTTCCCCAGAAATTACATGGGGAGTGGTAAAAGTAAGGAAAATCTGGGTAGTTGATCTGAATCTTCAATATCTAAGTTGATGTATTATTCTAGTTTTGAGCATACACATAGATTTTAGTGAGTATTTGCATATATGTCTTATCATTTATTAGTGGTTTACCGCATGATTTGCATTAAAATAGAATTGATTTGAGGAATAATTGCAAATAAGCGAGTAATTATGTTATCACATTGGATAACCTATCTTAATATTATATTTTGGACGAATTTTAAGTGTCACAGAAATTGAAAGCAATAATATTTGCGGGAAGATTTGAATGATATTTCGGTTGGCGGGGAAATTTGAAAGAAAAAGAGGCGCCAAAAAAGGTGCCATTTTTCATTTG